TTTTCCGCAATAATCTGGATTTGGAATAGTTTAGTCGCGGAAAAATATATTCTTCTCATATTTTTTAAATGTTTTTAAAAGTAGATTCATAAGTCAAGGCACGTTTTGTTTTTAAATATTTTTCTGACTATTGATAAACACTTTAATAATGAGATATGTACTACAATTAATATAAAAGAGGAATAATAATTAATTAATTTTTAACCCGATTTTGATCAGAATTTTATTATGTTCAACTTCCTTTTTTCCGGGACATTAAAATATTTAATTTCAATGATTTTCTTTTATGGCTCGAAAATGCTTGCTTAAGAAGTTTACAAAGAAAATTAAATTAAATAAATGAAGTTATTTATCACTTTAAAATTTAAACCACTATCCTCAAAAATATCTCATGACTAAGATTTATGCTTGATTAATATTATTAATGTATTGATTAAGTGGCACTCAATAAAAGTACTCAAAGTTACAAAAAATGAACGATAAATTCAAGTTGAAATTAAATTACATTAAAAATGCTTTTTCTGATAAAATTTTCGCTCCGTCAAAGTAAAAATCTTTTCACATGTAGTTGGGAATGTAATTTCTTTATCTCTACAGTTCAGCGATAAAATTATCAATCGAATTCATTTGATATGACTCGATATGTTGAAGGAAATGATTGATATATTTAATTATTATCATTAAAAACAAATATTCAAGTTGAAAATAAATCAATAAGATTTCATGCAGAAATTTCACACAACATTTCATTGTAAAAAATTTGTACGATGTTAGAATATTTCAATATTCCGATAAATGTTTCATTCATATAATAAGCAGATATTTGTTTAAGTAATCGTATAACATTTGAGCAAGAAATTCCATGATTTTCAATGGAAGTAAGTTTTCGACTGTTTTCTGATATGAAAATTTTTCATTTCTTTTAATCAAAAATTGAACTGAAACAGAAAATTTCACCTGATGCGCATAATGTCCAAGGAATAAAAGTTATGCACATAACCAATATTTCTTCCACTTAATGCGCATAATGTTTTCATTTCCCATTTTTAAAGGTAATCATTCGAAATTTATTTTTGATGGTCAATTTGTCATCTTCAAAATTTCTATAGAATAATATTAACGATAAAAAACTGTTCCTGGTCATCCCCACCATCAAACGTAAATACCGAATGCATTCTTAAACTGAGTCATGCACTTTATGATTGTTTCAAGTGTTGATGTTGACAAGTACTAACGAGAACTTCAATTTTATGCATTTTTAACATTCATATTTAAGTTGATGCTTAACGACATTTTCAGTTTTTAATAGTGTTGTGGCAGTTTATGCACGCAATAAAAGACTTTAAGTACATAGAGTTAAGGTTTAAATTATTTTCAATTTAAAACTAATCTTTTGACTCGCATTTCTCATTTTATATTCACTTTTTAATCAATTTCACAAGAATCATTGACGATCACGATATCAATTTGCGATTATTCAAAAATAACATGTCGATTATCACAATCACTTCACTCTACAGACAATTATTGCGATGGGAACTTTGACTTCCATAGAAAAGGAAGTTTTACGTATTACTTTCGCATTTTACTTGCATCGTAATTCTCGAAAAGCCATTTCTGTGCCTCTCGATGCTGATTACAATCTTCCATGAGAAGTTTTTGGTTATCATTGCTTATGGCCATGCAACGATCAGATGATTTGTGGTGTAACTGTTTGGTGTCAAGACGATAAGTCCAGAACTAAAATTTGATTGGAAATAAAAAGTTTTTCATGTAATAAAAGTTTTATTTTTTATTAGAGGCACAAACCTGATTTCCTTTACCACCATGGCAAGGATAAAGAATCACATCAGCTCCAGCATAATCAAGACATGCTTCATCACGTCGAATCTCACCAGTTTTGCTAAGCATCCAGTACTAAACATTTTATTTAACGATAGAGAAATGTTAGTAATTTGACTTTCATTAAAAGAGATCATAAAACGTTTGTTAGCAGCAAAAATTATGAAGGAAAATTAAGCAAGATTGTCTTTAAATTCTTTTCACCATTTCGAAAGAAGCAGAAAGAATTAAAAGGATTATTAAAACTATTTAAAGAAATAATAAAGAGAGAAGAAAACATATTTGAGATCCTTCACCATGATTACCAAGTGCTAACCCAAGCCAACCTGACACCTTCACATCTTAAGAGGAAAATTAAAATTTAATTCAATTTTCACCACAACTCCATAAATAAGTGCATGAGAGAAGTAAAATATATTTTCGAGAAGATGGTGGAAGAAGAGAAAATACCTGATTCCCGCCTTGTTGATGGCAAGGCCAAAGTCCCACAGGTGGACCTTGAATATCGTCTGGTTTCACCGCCGAATCCACACACATATTAGAAGCATTATTTCTAATCTATAAACACGAAGGTGAATTTGTTGTTGTTTTTAAATTGTTTTTAAAAAGAAAAGTTAATTTGTTTTGCTTTTAAATATTTATGTGATCATAAATAAAGAATTAAAATCTTCAGAAGTCAATCACTTTTCACTTGTTTTTATTCAAGTTACTCTTGGTTCTTATTTTGTGCATAACTTCTGAAGATTCAATATTTAAACTGGTGATTCGGTTTCTTAAGTACATTTAAAAGTTTGAAATTTCAATGCAGTGCTTCTCAAACTTTATCAACCTGTGGTACGTATAAAAGTGAAATTTTCCAGCTTTTATCAACACATTTGGTTTGAGAATCACTTTTCAAAATGTTCAACTTTCAATACTTAAGAATATCTATCAGCAGTCAACAAGCTACTTCCATGTAAATAAACGTAAACCAAATAAACTTCAATCAATGTTTTATCCCAATCATCCGATCTTGTTTATCCTGGAAAATATTGACTAACGTGACACTCAACGTAAGACTTAACAACCTCAAGATAACAAAGAGAAAATACTTTTAAACTCCACGACAGAACAGATTTCAAAAGATTTGATTTTGTGTGTGTGTTTGCAAAGATGGCGAAGGATAAAAAAAAATTAAGGAAAAAAAATAATTTTTGCTACTAAACGGCAAAAAAGAAAATGGAAATTCGTTTAATTACTTGATTGCCGCCCTGTCTGTGACATGGATAAAGTGACACTGGCTTACGTAAGCCCTTTTTACCGCCTTGTGCATCGAGACACGTTCGATTGCCACGTGCGAAGTTTCTTACCTTTAAATTGCATGTTTTGGATTGATTAAAGTTTATGTTTAGATATAAAGAGAATAATTTCAATTAAGATGAATGAATGAAGACGATTAATTACCTCTCCTTGTGCAACTGCATCGCCAGGGATGAACTAATGAAAAAAAGAGAAGGAAATCATGAAGATTATTCAACATCTTAGATTGAAAGAATAATTAGGGTCGTTGAGTGTTAATTAAATCAATTACATCTTTCAAACAATTTCTCGCCTTCAACTATTCAAACAATTAAAAAAGTTTAATTTATTTCTAACCAATTTAAGAGCTAATCGACAACCCTATTTGACTATGTGGTCTGAAAAGTTTTTAGAAAGTCATTTATCTCACCAATTCTGGAAAAATGTTATCCAAATACCACTGGAATGATTTGCATTTTAAATCCTTTCGAAGTTGAAGTCGTGCACTGATATCGCCAAAGTCACCCTTGTCAGATCCAATTCTCTGATAATAATATTTGGCATAGTCATCCATCCATACTTCAGCTAAGCGAATGGAATTCCTTCGGAGAACATTAACACCAGTTCGCCACTGAAATAGATTTTTATTCTTCATATGATGAAATTCATTTTTCTGACGTTTTGAAACTTTACCTTGTAGGGTGAACGCTTTCTAAAGATGTGACCTACATGAGAGCAAGGAACAATTTCTAAAGTGCCACCACACATCCAAGTTTTGAAGGAAAGTTCAAGATTCTCGCCACCCCAGATGTCAAAGTCAGGATCGTACATTCCCAGCTTCTCAAAGAACTTCTTGTCGATTGAGAACAAACCGCCAGCCATTGTTGGTGACCAAACAGGTTCCGATTGATCTGAATGTCGCTTCCTTTCAGAGTCAGGTACTGGATGCCAATTAAATTGAAGATTCCAATCGAATCCACCAACTTGCACGCCACTCGAGTCATGATAATGATACTGCAATGTTGTATCATCAATCACATCAATGACAGGGCAAACAACGGTCGTTGTGTTTTTTGCTATCCGATCAAGAAGTGGCTCAAGCCATCCCGTTGTGCATTCGATGTGTGAATCAAGGAAAGTTAAAACTGGCGCTTCAGCATGAACAGCTCCAAGTAATCTCGCTCTTATGAGACCTTCGCGTTTCTTTGCACGAAGAATCTTCACTTTGGGATAATTTTTCATGTAATCTTCAAGTTGCTTTTGAACATGCGGCATGTCACTGAAATCATCAACGAGAATAATTTCTCTGATTAAATGATCCGGTGATCGGTCGAGAATGGAATGTACAGATCGAAGAAGTGTCGACCAAGCTTCGTTGTGGAATGTCACGATGACTGAAGTGTCAGGAAGATTTTGGCTGTAATCTTTCTCAACATCTTTACAGAATTTCGTTCTCGGGTCGGGAAGACTTCGATGGACTGAGATGAGATCGGAAACGTATTGATTGAAAGCATTTTTCAGCCATCCATCGTCAACCATCTTCTTGACTTCCGCTGTAAGGTTTGCTGGAAGTGTCACTGGTTTGCCTAACTCACCCGGTGATTCCAAGCCAAGATCATTTGGGGGTGGAATGAATCCAACATCTTCGCCATCTCGCTGACCAAAACGTTTCTTTGATGGCGTTTTTGTTCTGATTTGTGGCTTTCGTTCTTCGAATTCTTCCTCCATCATTTCTTCTTCCCTTTCCCCTGCAATCTCATTAATCATTTCATTTTCATCCACTTCCACATTCTCCTTATCAAACGGATTCTTTATTTGCTTTTTATTAACAACATTCGCAAGTCCTTCATGTCCTTCTTTATAACTATCAATGATAAATTTCTTTAACTTATTATTTCTTTCATATCCTTTGGCATCAGATTCATGTTGCTGAAGCAGTTGTGGAGAAAGAACGTTGGCATCTGATGGACGACTATCCGAAAAGAAGAATACAACTGTGAACCAAACGGCAAGAATCGCCAAAACGACTTTGAACAATGATGATTTACGACGCCAAATCATTTTTTCTCTCTTCTATTAATTGTTTCTTAGTTTTTGCAATGAAATTTTAGTTTTTGCTATTTTCAACTCGATTACGATGAATATGTGAAATAAGTTGATTTTTTTGCTGTTATTAACGCGTGGGATTTATTGTTCAGTCGACTTAACTTTCTCTCCTTTTATGACGTCATATTTATGCAAGAATTTTGTTGTTTTTTGTTTTTCTATATTTACGCAAACTGAAATGAAAAGTGAGAAAGAAAAAAAGATTAAAGAAATGAATTCTGAATGTTTATTTACATTACGCCGTAAGCATAAACTGGCATTTAAGCTCGAAAACATATAAATTTTTATTTAAAAAGAAATCGAAGTGAATCTTCCGAAGATAAAATGTAGAAAGTTTTGCAATGTTAACATTTTTATCTCGTAATCTTCTGCTTTTGTATTGCATGCAATCAGATACATGAAAAAGTCAAAAGGTGATCTCAGACTGTTCTTATGCAATAGTTCCTCGTAACCTGAGACGTGTGAGCTGTTTTAGCTCTTCATTTATTGTTGTCATATTACTTACTACAAGGTAAATGTGTCATTCATTAATTAGCGACTTTTCATCGGAATGGAATTGAAATTTAAAACAACGAATAAAAAGATTTTTAGTTCAATGAATATTTGCTGACATTGAAGACCACCAAATGAGATGAAATCAATGAAGGTGAAGCATCATAAGCTAAGCTATTGAAGATATAAATCATCAGTTGAGATTAGTTGGAATGAATGGAAATCAAATCAAGTTAAACGATGAAGAAAAGTAAGCATTAACAATGTCTGATAATTAAATAGTCTTTTGAACATCTTCACGGTTGATCTCATGATTAAGCATATTTATTTTCGCTTGCTTGATCACCAGTCGTGTACTTTTCTCTTTTTCCCTTTCCCCCCAATCGTCTCCCCTGTTGCGTCTTGTATTAACGCAAATCCATCGATTACGAAAGAAAATGCAGTACAAGACATTTCTTTTGTTGTTTTCATCTTTCAAGTAATTTTTGAAAGGCAATCTTCGTCAACAAAAGGTCTTCAACATCATTTCCTCGATGATTACAATGATTGAACGAAAAAAATCTTTAAGCTTTTAATAAATTCATCTTAAAAGTTGAGACAGGAGAAAAATATGTTCAGAGAAAGTTCCGGCATTTATCTTCTTATTGATTTCATTATCTTTTTGTCGTTAGAAGACAACAAATGATCGTTTATTAATGGATAAAAAATAAATTAGGTTTTCATAACTGAAACGAGATGTTGTTTTGTGTTTTTTGACATGAAGAGCGCTTAACTGTTTATGCTTTTTTTTTTCTTTATTTTTAGAAAAAGTTCGCCAATCAACAAGTGGAATAAATATGTGAAAACGTAAATGAGAGAAACCAAACCGATAATCAGTTGTATCATCACCATAAATTAAGTCGACTGGAGAATGTCAACGGATGATGTTGAATCATTTGAAGCATGAAAGTTTCGCTTAACTAATCGCGTCACAACTAAACAACCAGTCGTCCGACACTTAAATGTGTTTGACTTTTATTAACCGTTGTAAAAAGAAGTAGATAGATTGCCATTAAATTAAACACAAAAAACATCATAAAACTTCAATATTTATTTCCTCAGTGATTCATTCAGCTCGATTAATGTTGAATAAACTTTCCATTTCATTTCTTCCATAATCTTGCTAACAATTTTTTTCTTTCTTTTCAAAAATTCAACAATTCGGGATGTTGAATTCAAATTTTTTCATTTAATATTCTCTCGATTTAAAAATCAATGGGAAAGAAAAAGTTTTTCCATCGTAGTGCTGGTTTTTAAGTTGAAAAGGTGAGTGGTGAAAGACAGAAAGAAGAGACGACGTAATCATGTGATAAATTTCGAATTTATTAACTTTTTCCTTACATTTGATTGCAGGTAAACTGCTAGGTTGTTAAAATTTGTTTTAAGTTAATTTGCATCTTACAACATTCCATAAAACTCGTCGTCATCTTTTCAACTGATGCAATAAGTGATCATAAGTAACTCTCACGTTACCACAAATGTTGATTTTTCTTGCAAATAATTTTTTTCATCTTTTCTATGTCATCCCAAATAAAAAAAGCGTGTCAATCTTTACGAATGAATCTTTCATATATTATGTTGGTAAATGCCAACACCTTTCGACATTTAAGATTTGAATTAAAGGAGAAGTCAAGATATTATGCGTTGGATGTAAAAACGATTTTCATGGGGAACGACCTTTGAATTGTTATAAATTATTCACAAACTTGATTTGATTTTCTAAAATAAATTTCTCTGAATCTTAATCAACTGCTTTCTTTAAGATTTTGACAAATTTATTCATCAGACGAAGCTTTATCATGAAAACTTGAAAAACATGAAAGAAATCGATTGAAATGCAATGCATGTTAATAAAGTTATAAAGTTGTCAATCAAAAGAGAATTTTCATGTTCAAAGATTGGATGTTTAATGTCATAATGATTACAGATGCTTTTAATTGACATCAAAGTCAATCAATTATTAACAGATGATGAAAAAAATTGTCGCTTTTTGCTGTTTGATTTAATTATTTACGATAGAAACGTTAACGATGTCGAAATCGCGATAAATATCCATCAATTTTTTTTAATAAAATTTATTTCAGCGAAGAAATTGATTTTATCCGCTAGATGTTAACATGATGATGGAAAGCTCGATACTTGTTAATTATAGAGTTCATGAAATGTAGCTGAGTGTAACAAACACAATCGCAACAGATTTCATGAAAATAAAATATTTGTTTAGGTGTTGTTAAGGCAAAAGACAGACCCAAGAGATGAGATGGAAGCGAAGAAGAAGGAAATATTTAAAAGGTCATGAATCAAAGTGATGGGTGAGATGTTCACCATCACCATTGAAATGGATGAGCCGAGTCGAGCCTTTCAAAACATTTTCTGATGAATTTCTCACGTCTTTGATTATTTTTAAGGAGAAAGTGAAAGAAGAATGAAAATTTTTGGCTTGTTTTTGTTCTTGAAATAATTCATCATGAAAAATCTTCTCGTCTGAAAAGGAAAGCCCCAAAAGAAAATTTCTGAAATAATTAACATTTAAATTAATCAATCCATCTCCATAATCAAATTCATAAACAGACTCTTAGCGTGTTTTTCGTTTCTCCCTTCATTTGAATGCAACAACATTAACAACATCTTCTGGTTAATGTTTGTTAGCTTCATCATCACGTTTCGTTTCTACATTTGTAGTTGGGTGTTTACATTTCGCCCAGCCAGCAATCTAATTTATCTGATTTTAAACAAATGTTGAAACTTCAATTCACTTCTCTTTTCTATAAAAATAAATTAGTTAATAGTTCCCTAATTGCAGACTTTCAAGAGTTTGATGCGGAACCAAAAGCATAACATCTTGATGATGAAGCTCACGAGAAGCATGTTCACGTCTTTGTTACTTTTTTTTGCTGTTTGTGCATCTTCCATGTGTTCTTGACACTTTATAAAGATTACTTTTATTGCTTCCTAGAGATAAACTGAGTATTGTTGCAATGATGAGGAAATCTTGAATAAATCAGCAATTAAACTTGATTGGCAATTGCTATGAAAGCAAAAAAAATCTTTTTAAACATCACTAAAATATTTAACTTTTCTTGCGCAAACACCGACAACAAATATTTAATAATCAAAACATTCAGACTTCTTTTTGCTTTATTATTATTATGATACGTAGAGAAGCACGAGAGTAAGCAGATTCACGCCATTAAATGAAAGTCGATTGAAAATTTATTCGCAATTACATTTCAATTCCAGATTGCTAACTTTTGCAATTCTTTATTGATGCATTTTTATGTTGAAATATTTTTCTTTAGGTGGCAAGAGAAATCTCATTGTTGAAATTTTACTTTTCCTGACTTTTTCTTTCAAAATTGTAATTATTAATTAATGTGAATGTTTAATAATTAAAGAAGAAGTCTTTCAACTCGTCATGTTGTTCCATATTTTATTATCGATGTCATAACAAAATTAATGTAACACTTAGAACGAACATCGCAAGTATCTTTTGTGACGAACGTGTTAAATATTTTATGTAAGCAAACAAAGTGTGAGAGTGTCGCAAGATGTTTCGGAAGTCTTCATCATGACACGATATGTTTGCGCGCCATTTGTTAAAGCTTGCTTAATAAGTGTTCTCATATTTCATTTCTTGAACAGCTTCAGCATTGCGACAATATAAAAGTGACATTAAAAAATTGCACATTGAGCTGCTACACTATCGTAAACCCAATGAATCGTTTAATTTTCCTTCCCAGGAACTTCACCATTCATTGTTAAATCGATAAATCATGAAGCTGTTCTTTGAACCGTAATCTCAAACGTTCACCATTCGACAACTTTTAACAGTATCCAATAAACCATATAAATCCGATAAGTCTCATTCGCAAATTTCAAGTTCGTTACTAATCTCAGAAGTAAAAACAAAACAACAAAAAAGTTTCATGAAAATTTCGTGACAAAACGATTTTTGTTTTCTTCTTTGTCTTAAGATTTATAAAGTTTTGTATCGGAATTAAATTACGAAAGCTCTCGCGACATCACGCCAATAAATCACGTTTATTTATCATTTAATCATTCATTGTGGGTTGTTGGATTATCATTGAAATCGTGGAAGTTTTGTGCATTTGTTGTTCTGAAGATTCTTATCAGTCAATCCCACGACACGATTTTTGATTAACTTCACATTTGCTCTGCTTTTATGTAAAATGTTGAAAGTGCATCGCTTATGAGTTCATGTAAAGATCATCAGATTTCCGTATAAATAGTTTGTGTTCACTTTGTTTATGTATGACCGCAAAAACCAATTTCCTATTTCCATTCTATGTGGTTCACCATCTGATAGCGCTCTATTTAATAATCCAATTCATTTTTATAACACGACGTGAAACAAAACATGCAGAATTGTTTAACAAAGTCATTTAGAATTCTACAGCAATGAAAGTCAAAGAAAAAAAGTTTCATTACATCTTTAACTGCTTCTTGGTTGCTTTTTTGTTACAATTAAATTCGTGATGTCTTAGAAAAAATTAACAGCAACTGTGCTCAGATTCAAATGCCTTTTTAATCTTTGTGTACTTGAACAATTATGTCATAAAATGACAAGGACGTGCACTATGACAGTTCTTTTTATTCCTCATTAAAAATACTTAATGGTCGTCTCATCAAAATTGCCAAAAAAAATTAGTTTAAGTGCACATTCAGCCTTGACGATGGCTGTCTGCGCATCTTAAAAGAAACGAGCAATTCAATGTTCCATTCAATTCAATTTGTAAATTTTCCCATCGTTTATTATGTCGTCGACGCTTTTCAAATGATTTTCATGTTTACTCGTTATCAAAAGTCATTTCGTGTTCATAACTTTCTGTCATTCATTCATGTCGCTCATTGTTCAATTCGAGTATTACTCAACGTGTCAAAATATCCATCACGATTATTTCTTTTTACCGTTAAATAATTCATTTCAACCGACAAACAAACATAATAAAAATATAACGAAAAAAAGTGTAAGAACAAAGAACTCGTCCGGTGAGCGTCAATTGGTAAGCAGATAGAAAGTTGAAAGCTCTCAAGCTTATTAGAACCATCAAACCTGCTCATCCAATTGTTTTTCCATACTTCACAAAACTCTGCCGACAGCATTACTGTTGCGGCTTTTCATTTTCGACAATCAGAAGTAGTGTTATTTAAAAATTCCCAACAGACCAGACGATTTAATGGAAAATTATTCTCTTTTAATGGTCATTTTAATGATTTTAGACATGAAAGCATTGAAAGACTGAAAGAAAGAGAAAGAAGTTAATACAAACATTAATGAGGGGTGGAGAGTTACAGGCAGCAAGTAAACAACAAAACATTAATGAATGTAATTACCATAACAGATTAATTGATATCACTCTTGAGATTGACATGAATTTAGTTCAAATTTGCATAATTCTAACCGAATATTACCGCCCGCACTTATAAAAAGGTTTTGAAAAGATTTGCAAACCCCAACATGACGATAAACTTTTTTTTATGCTCTCATTTGACGATGTAATATTCCGAGGGATTCAGTCATGTTTTCCGTCCATCAAACGCAGCATGAAAACATGTTTTAACCTTTTATAAATGTAATTCACAATTGTAATTAATGTTCTCGCTTCATAGTCATTATTTTCACCGTTTTTCGGGTATTGTCACGATAATTAGATTCAACTTTAAAATGTTTTATAAAAAAATGCTGATTTTAAACACAGAAAGTACACAAAATAAAAGAACAGACAAAAACATGATGTAAGGCAAGTAAGTTTCGTGTTGAGCCTTTTATCTTTCTCTCTCTTTTCCTCTTTGTGTGCTACCGATGCCGATTGTTCAGACACACGGGTAAATTTAGTTTTCACTTTCAATTGGACAACAAACAAAAAAAAACATAAAAAAATAAAATAAAAGACTTTAAATGTGGGACAATTGTGTAACTTACGTTGTACTAAGTATTTCATTAAAGCGCATTTTTTAATTCGATTGTTTGTAAATTACAGCGGCCGTCAGATTAGAATTACTTTTTGGGTAAAATGATGGAAATCTTTGAAGGAAAAGATAAAAAAAAATTGTTTTATTTGTCATGGTCACAGTGTTTAAACAAAGGTGATAAGTTGTGAAGAAAGATTGAACGAAAAAAACGTTTAACAATTTTTTTTCTGATATCTTCATGTTATCCAAAACATTCATTCAGACATAAATAAATATAATTGATAAGAAAACAAGCGATTAAATTGAAAAAAGTTGTTATTTACCGCCTACACACAGACATGATAACACGTTGGGAATTTTCAAATAATTGATTTCGTTGTTTCCCTCCCAGAAAAAAGCAACATTGGTAAGCTCGGTAATCACAACGAAAACGATAAAAAATATTGTAAGTCTTATCGCGATTTTGGGATAAGATAAGAGAAAATTGAAGAAACTCCTTCATTAAATAATTTTCACGCTCTCCAATACCTCAAACCTGTCTTCTTATCGATTTACCTTTCCAAGTGGAAGCATGTGGATAGGCAAACTTAATGGCTTTTAACAGCAGAAAAGGAAAACTTTGTTTTCCCATCTCACGCAGCTTTTCGCTTCTTTCATTCGTAAAGATAAACTCGTAAAATATTCAATATTGTTCTCATTTTTATCTTCAAACTTTCAGTTCCGTTAACATGGCCGACAAAAAGACAATAAATCAAATCTGAAATTTTTGTCATGTTCCTTTCCTGGGAGATTTCAAATCATTACGGAATCATTTAAGGTACACAAAGATGATTGGAAGAAGAAATAAAGTGAACGGCCTCGAGACACACAAGCTCTATAACATTTTACTTTATTTCATTTTACAACCAGCAGACTAGTTAAACTGGATCTAAACGTTCCAATGTCAATGTGAAGCCAATAACTTGTTCTTCCATATGACAATTTAAGGTAAGGTGAATGTAGAGACGATTCGAAACAGTAAAAGAGAGAAAGAAAGAGAAGTTTGCTTCCTAAAATGGAACGTTAACTCAGGTTTTTAATATTTCTAATTAATAAATATTTTTTTAATACATATTTAGCAGCTCTACGGTTATATACATCGACAAATTACTCGTACAAAGGCCCCGAAACACGATTTAAAATCTAATATTAGATATTCGCGAAAGAAAATGCAATCGTACGCGAAGGAAGATAAATATGATGCAAACAAATTTAAAATATTCTTGATGTTGAATGTCAAAAACCTCATCATTTCATCCGGAATGTCTGGCAGGAGAAGTGCACTGTTGTGAGGGGGCGTAACATCATTTTAGAAAAGAAATAAAAACTTTTAAAATTACAACATGAGATGAGATTGAAATTGAATCTAAATTTGGAAAGTCAATGAAAGGTTTCAATCGCCGTTTAATTCGATTGTGCAATATTTTCGCGCCCCTCGAGCCTTTTACGATCATCCGAGACAACAAGAAGAGCCATGAAATTGTGAAGTTAATGAAATAAGAAGTTTAAAACAGGTTTTTTCTTCTTGCATGCACGACATCAACAAAAAAAATATTAAAAACGTTTCTCTGTCTCTCTCGTCGTTCCACTCCTACCATGAAGTTCGCTCTCACGACTGACAACGTCTCTCGTCTTAAAATTATTCAATTGGATTTTCGTGTACACATTGTTGACTGCCTCAGCATGATTTGTGCTTTGGAATTGTTGTCGATAGATTACTGAAGACATTAAGGCTTGTGGGCAGAAAGATGGGAGCAGTATCGTCATCTCTCACGTCTTCACTACGTAAAATGTCAAAGATCATCCATTTAAAGCTCTTCATGTGTCTTCCCCAAATCAACCATGAAATTGAAAACTTTCAGGATATTTTCGTCTATTTGGAAGAATTTCCTCTGCCAAACATTACTCATAGCAACGGATGTTTAACAAAACAAAAAGAAAAAAGTTAACGAACGAGAGAGAAGGAATGAAATCCATAAACTGCAATGAATCGGCATGTTTGGCATTTTGATTGAAAATAAGAAACAAAAAATACCGAGTTGAGTATTGGAATGTTGTTGAAGTGATGGAGAACTCGATTCTCGTTTCATTGTCTCATCGAAAGAATAATAATAAAAATAAAATGAATAAAGCTGTGAAAAATAAAAATACCAAAAGCTCAAGAGATCAATTGATGATGGCATATTGAGAGAAGCAATTAAATTTGCAATAGGAAATGCGTTTGTTGTTTATTTCGCTTCCTGGATAAATGCCACCACATAAAGGGATATAAAATTCATTTATTTTCAATCCTCGGTCAATAATTTACTCATCGTTGGTTTTAATTATCGTTTATTCATGGAACTGTACGAGGGTCTCTGTTTCTACTCGGACTTTCATCTGCACGAGGCGGAAATTTAATTGCAATCTGCAAACCATTTCTACATCATTCATTTTGGTTATTTAAAACATTTTCAACCCGAATGAAGAACAAAGAAAAGAAAAATTGTGAAATATTTGGAATAATAAACGATGATGATGAATTTTTCAACTTTCCACCCTGGGAGAGAATTTTCTTTATTTTTTCCTGAAGCCATTAGTTATTGCAAGAAGGAAGAAGCATCATCATGACCTCAAATGGACCGAATATGTTAATTTAATGAACGGCATCGTCCGAAAGCAGTGAAAAAGAAAAGTTTACATTTTCAATTTAATTAATGTGCTGTTTCATTCGGAAAACGGTGCTTCATCATATGAATCTAAGACTTTCATTGCTATAAGTTGATGAAAAACTTTCGTTTTGCTTCTTTTTCAAGTCGCTATTGGACCATACAACACCTTATTAAATGACCGAAAAATAAATGTTTTATTGATTTCATTGTTGCCATGTATATTCAAAACATTAACTTAAGCGGAAATGAGGCGTCACCATGGAGAAATAACAGTAATTGATGAGATGAAGAAGGGACGCAAGAAAGATATCAAAGTAATGAACCGATCTTAGTTCTTGATCGCGCACCACAATGGTTGGCAATCAAGAAAAGAGAAAAATAGTAAGAATAATAAGTGCGCACATATCTCTCTTACCTGCTGCTTCTTGAAGTTGTTTTTCTCCCCTTCTCCCTCTTTTTCTATTTCTTTCTCAATATTCTTGTGGCCGGTCAAGTCCACAACGTCGATTGATGAGCTATTTTTCTCCTTTATTGTTACTTCTACCTTCTTCGTTACTTCTTATGGCTTAACTCTTTGCGCTTTTCTTTATATTAAATATTCCAATAAGAAGTTGTAAAATGTTGATTTTACAGTTTGAAAACACTCGAGAATTTCTTTCTTCTCATATTAACTTTATGTTAGCCAATTATTACTTCTTCACTTCTATAACCACAGTGAATTATTTCATCAGCATTGCACTAATGAAGGCAACACGACAGAAAAATCTAATTTTTTTTCTCTTTTCTAACTGATATGTAGCTCGAGCTTTGATAATTATGATATTTGTGTTGCGAGCTTAGAGCAATTGTGTGTTGCTTTTGATGATAACTTATCACTGCCTTCACTTCTTTTTTTTTTATTTTGTTTTCCTTAGAAATTCTATTCTTTTATCTTCATTTATTTTCTATTTTTCTCCGAACCACAAACAGTAAAACAAGAGTCAAGTGAGAAAACTGTCAGGAAGCAGAAAATCAATAGCGACAAAAAAATCTTTTTGATTGATAAAATTTTCGTATTATGATTCGAAGAACTATCAGTTGGCAGGAGAAACAGGAGAATCACAAATTTATAATTTGATATGCATTAAAACGAACTTTAATGTTCAATATCTTTAATTCTAGCTTTAAGTTTTTTGTTCCATATACACTCACTGATAAAAATTGAAATTAAATCTGTTTTGCCTTTTTTCTTCCTTGAGTCCGTATCCGACGACGGAGAGAACTTGAATGGATATAATTCATCGCAAGTAACTTTGGGGTTGTTAAGATTTCAAAAAATGTGAGAGAATTGTGAGAGAAAAAACGCTTGAAAAGAATTGGAAAAGTTTTATAAAGCGCTTTGAACTTTTTTGAACAATTTAATTTTCCACCGCGAATGTCCATAAGGGCGAAGTCCAAACTCAATGATAACAATAAAATCTCTTTCAAAGCTTTTTATCTATTAAGCATTGTCAAACTGAGCATTCAGTGGAGTTTGTAGTGAAGTTCGTCAATTTTTCTTCTCTTTATGAAAAAGTGTGCAATAATTTTATATGACAAACAGATATATTTACTCTCTACTAGTAAAATTTGATATTAAAATGAAGCCTTGAAAAGTTCTTTTTTTTATCGATGAACTTTATAATAATAATAATCTTATCATAACGCACAAGAACGGATTATTGTGATTGATATCCTCTACATTGTAATAATCTAAAGTAAGTTTACAAGAATTCTTCTGTATACATTAACAGGTGTCAATTATTTTTTAAAATAATTATTTAAGAGAAAAAAAAAAACGCTTCAGTGTATTTGTTGACAGCCCATGACGATAGTTTTTTTTGATATTATAGTAGCATTTAGCGAGAATTCAAACTTGTGAGTCGAGCTTTATTGACGAAATCAAAGCGTTACATTAAAAAAAGCAAGCAAGCAAATAATTGATGACTGATGTATTAGTCAGCTTAATAAAGTCGTACAAAGAAATATCTTAGAACCATTTCTGACCTCGATCTTTTGTTCTATGTTGTCAGGTGCCTGTACATAGTTCCATAGAGTATTCGTATTGAATATACAATAATAAACAATAAAATAATGGATCAAATATGCAATAATGACAAAATAAATGAAAATAATATTAAGAGACGAACTCGAGTTCCTGATAAACCGAATTACGGACTCAACTTATGGTCAATTATTAAAAGTTTCATAGGAAAGGATTTGACAAAAATTCCACTTCCTGTCAACTTCAATGAACCTCTGTCCATGCTTCAAAGGTAGAATTAAAAAACAATTTATAAATGATTTAAATTAATGTTCAAATACTTTCAGGTCAGCGGAAGATTACGAGTATTCTGAATTACTTGACACAGCTGCAAAATGCGAGAACATTGCCGAGCAATTTGCTTATGTTGCTGCTTTTACAATGTCAACTTATTCGACAACAACTGAACGTGTAGCAAAGCCTTTCAATCCAATGCTTGGTGAAACTTATGAATGTGATCGAAGTGATGATTTAGGATGGAAATTAATTAGTGAACAAGTTAGTCATCATCCGCCAGTTTTGGCTCAATTTTGTGAGTCAAAGAATGGATGGAAATGTTCACAAGAACTGCAATTAACATCGAAACTTGGAAAACATATCACTGCAATTCCAACAACATTTTCTCGCATTGAGTTCCTTGACACGGAGACGTCATTTACATTTGATCGACCGATTACCACCGTGCACAATTTAATAATCGGCAAGCTTTATGTTGAACACTCAGGCGATGTTACAATTTTAGGTGAAGGAAAAGCAAAAGGCTGGAAATGTGTGTTAAGTTACAAATCGTCATCGTTCTTCTTCAGAGGTGATCAACGTGCTGTCAAAGGTCTCATTTATGACGAATGTGAAAATGTTAAATTAAAATTAAACGCACATTGGGATGAAAAAATGGAAATCTTATCGAATTATAATGACAACAATCATTCTAAAGTGATTTGGAGAAAACGACTTCCTCCAAGTGATTCCTATTTATATTACAATTTTACAATATTCGCTTCACAATTGAATGAAATGGAAGCTGGCGTGGCTCCAACTGATTCCCGTCATCGTCCTGATCAAAGATTGATGGAAGAAGGTGATTGGGATGAAAGTAATCGTGAGAAAGTTCGACTTGAAGAGCAACAAAGAGAAAAGCGACGTTTGAATCAAGACGTTAAGCCACTTTGGTTTAATAAGAAAAAAGACGACTTGACTGGTGCCATCATCTACAAGTACAATGGAAAGTATTGGGAATGCAAGAATTCTAACGATTGGAGTAAATGTCCAGCCATTTTCTAGTAGAATTAAACATAAATAGTCAAATGAATGAAAGGTTTTGTTTGTTTTTGTGATCAAAAAGTGAGTAAAGTTAGAATTGTTATAAACTTCGTCAATTTTTTGCTTCACTTGTTTGGGTTAAAAACTAATTTATCATTATTTGTTTATTTGCTTTATTTTCACTTTCGTTAAAACAGCAAACATTAAAAAGAAGAAAGGAACAAAGAAGTATTTATTATAAAAATATAATTTAATCTTTTAAAAAGACAAAATAAAAGTTTTTTTCTTCTTCCACCGTCACCAAATAAATTTTGAAGAAATAAAAAAAGATTTTCGTCTTTTGTCACTTAATGTGGCCACAGAGTTTTCTATTTCTCTTAATTAATCAAAACTTCCTACATTGTTTTGTCTTCCAGAATCTCATAATTTGCTGTTAACATTTCGATGCTTTTCAATGAAATTTGATATCAAAGGCGCGACTGTTTCTGGATGTGTCAAATGCAAGTGATGAGTGGCATCAACAGTGTGACATTCAAAGTTTTCATTCTCTTGAAGAATGTCAATAACTTCATCGTAATATTCACGTTTCTCCCAGAATGGAGCGTGAAGTGCCTTGATGAACAAATGCGGCATTTTAAGTCGTTTTGAAAGTTCTTTTGAAACGGGCTGAGAAAAGTTTGGCGAGAAGCTGTTCTTGAGACGTGAATCTCTAGTGAAGTAGAATTTTCCAGGATACTTTTCACTCCTTTTGATGTTTCTCTTTAGTAAGTATTGCGCACTTTCTTTGGTGACACTTCCACGAGTTCCAGTGAAGAGTCGTTCAATCATATCTTCGTAAGTGTACGAAGGCGGTTCACTCTTATCCTGATTCCGAAGATCAGCAATCATGAAATTCTCAACACGATCTTGAAGTCCCAATGCGACTTTTTCTGGATCAGGAACGTGAGGTTTCAGTGCATCAATTTGAATCAACATATCGACTTTGTTGGGAAACACAGAAGCAAACATGAAACTCAAAACGCTTCCCATTGAGTGACCCATAAGAGAAATCTTATCCCAGTTGTATTCCTTACATAAATTGTTCAAAAGGTAGAGATTGTCGATTCCATGATAAGCCATGCCATCTGGAACTCGTGAACTTAAACCATGACCAGGTAAATCAATCGCAAGATAACTTTCGGTTTTAGGCAGAAGTGGAATTAATCGATCAAATGTCCCAGCATTATCTTGCCAACCATGCATGCACACGATAGGACGTTGATTCTTTGATCCCCACCATTTACCAGCTAATGTTCCGTTGTTCCATGGAAGTCTAATTCGAACTTCTTCGACCTACAAAATTTTTTCATCACTTTTGGACTTTGATCTTGATTTTCATAATAATTTCGTCACTCATAAACGAAAACTTACTTCAAGCTCAATTTCTTCTTCAGTTGGAATATCGCTCAGTTCAAGGTTCGTCATTTTTCCACCTTTGTTATCAACTGATGATGAATATAAATGTCTATAAATGTACTTATGTGGATTTCCGAGGGTTTTAGCGAGCGACTTCATCTTTACTTCCTTGATACTTTAATATTCCGTATCTTTGAGTATGTCACGATGACTTGAGTATACTGACTTGATTATACTGGCAATTTTTTTCTTATTTCTTCAATTGCTTGGGTTTTTGATAATAATTATTTACATTTGTACTACATGTACACATTTATCGCGGTTTTCTCTCTTCTCCCGAATGGATTTCGATGATTTCTCTCCCGGATTACGTTGATATTCATAACAAGCCACGCCCATCATACGCAATTTGCAAAAGAGAAATTCGTTAAATTGTTGTGATGCTTTCCAAAGATTTTTTAAAGAAAATTTATTAAAAGTTGTTCTTGAGACATATTTTGTACATTTAATTAAGTAATAATTGTTAAGCTTAAATTAATAAAAGAATTTTGTTATGAATATTTGAAATACTTTGAATCTCCAATAGAGTAAATTAACAAGAGATTTATTTAAAGAATCATTCAACAGATCGTCAATTTCTAATTCAACGATCTCATGAGATTTCAATTAGCAGTAATTATTAAAAAAATTAATGAGAAAATTGCCACTTGAGATAAAATTAAAAAAACTTAGAGAATCATTGAAAATTCCAACTCTTTAGGTTGAAGACCTCGTTGGGTTGGTGTCGATGCAGATGGTGTAGCGATGCGTCGTTTACTTCCAGGTGTTGCTGGTTTACGAACCACTGGCGATGCAAATCCATAATGATTAACAGCAAGATGTTGTGGACGAACAACTTCGGAAGACCTCACAACATTTCTGCTTTGTTTAACGTAATTCTAATGAAGAAAATCAAATTTAAATATCTAGTTAAAGAGAAATAAAAGAAATTTCTCACCTCAAATCCTTCATAACTAGTTGTTTCTCTTTCTGGGACGTTTTCATCGGAAGAAGCAACATGTATCTCTGGCACGGGACGACTTTTCTTGTAAATGCTGCTTCGCTTCTTTTTTCCAATACTTTTACGTGAACGTCGTTTGATGCACGAACCAACGTTATACACTTTCAAACTTGCATTCTTTGACGGTGCCTTGGTCTGTGGAGGCTTTCGTGAAGAGTTCCCATTCAATTGTCTTAAAACATTATTAGGCGACACAAAAGCTCCAAGAAGTTTTCGTTTTGCTTGCGGCCCACATTGCTTTGTTGGGATCATTCGACGCTTCCCGTTTTCAGTACGAACTGAAGCAGCTGAGGCAGTTGATGATGCTGTGGTTGACAAAACCATGTGTGATTTGGCAGATGTGATTCTTAATTTGCCGCCTGTTGTCTTCATAGCTGTTCGATTGATGATTGTTTGTTCAATTGTTAATGGTGTTCTGACTGTCGTCATGTTGCTCCGGTATGGCGTCTTGGCAGGCGTTGCTTGAATTTTCTTCCCACTCTTTGTGAGCTTTTCCTGCCTTTTAGTTTCATAATCTTGCTCGATGATGTCTTGAACTCTTTTGCCATACACTGTAAATGGTCTTCCATGTTGTTCTTCAAATTTCTCAACCATTTCAATGAGTTTTGTTTCAATCTTGGGCAGTTTCATTGCAAGCATTTTACGTTCTTTTTCTTCTTTCAAAAGTTGACCACCGCGATTGTTGTAGCGTTTTGGATCAGCTTCTTTATTTTGCAACATTTCCATTTGTTCCCACAACTCCTGACGCTCTTGAATAATCTTAAAGATTGCTTCGTTGTCCTCATAGAACATTTTTAAGTCGCGCAGTTCATCTTCATGGAGCTCGAGAACGTCTTCGTTGTAAGTGTTGACAGTGAAACTTGGAAAACGTAAACGTTCAGTGTCGGACTTTAGACATTTATCCCAATAAAGTTCAATTTCTTCACGAATCTTTTCAATGAAGCTTCGAATGTTTTCTTTCTTTATTTGCTCACATCGTTGAACTTCAGCGAGTAATTCGTCATAGTTTGACTGTGTGACTTCAGTATAATTTTCATAAACCATTCGTTGATCTTCAGACACTTCCAAATATTTCCACAACTGACTCAAACGACTTCGCATGTCACCAATTTGATATTTCATCTTCTCATATTGACTGCTAAGAACTTCAAATAAATGTTCAAGTTTTTCAATGTTGTGCAAAGTTGGTTTCATGTCATTGTTTGTAATGAGATTGCAGTCATATTCTTTCAGAGTAATTTCAAGCCTTGCAACGATGTTCTTGATGTTATCACGTAGTTCCATCATTTTCCCAAATCGATTATATTTCTCGTCATTAAGTCTATCAAGATATTGACGAAACTCTTCCATTTCTGTCTCTGATGGAAGAGGATCGTGGTGAAGTGAACGAGAAGGTTCTTCGAGTTCTGAAAAAAAAAACTTCATTAATTAGAATTTTAATTAATTTTTTTTTTATTTTACCATTGCAAAGTTTTTCTTGTTCACCAAGTAGAAAAGAAATTTCTTCACGACGAGCTTGTAGCTTTTCACGAAGCTCAAATAAACTGTTGTCAATGTTCATTTGAAGGGTATGGAGGGGAACGTTTTCATCTGGAACAGCGCCAGCATCCTCTTTAAGTAAACGTTTAAGATCCTGTCTTTCACGGTTCAAATCTGATAAAAAATTATATTTAATAAGAAACTTCAATCACAATCTTAATTAACATACTTTGAATTCTTTGTTTGATATCGTCTTCTCTATTTTGAGTTTCGGTTATGATGTCTGTGAAGAAGGCGTCGACATGATCGAGAAGTTTTCTCATATGAGTTTCACCGATATCTGGCTCGAAAAGTTTCTTCCATAACTCTGAGAGTTCATCAATTTTAGACTCAGCAATTTCACTTATGCCTCTTAATATTTGTGACCTACATTAATGCAACATAGAATTTGATTAGAAAATATTTAAAAACAAACGCTGAAAAAATTTACTTTAAGCTTTCCATTTCGATGACATTCAATTTAAATCGTCAAGGAACAATTAATAGAAATGATTTTAATCTTGTTGGAAATATTTATTCTCACTACTTTAACTTTCTTTAATTAAATTATAAAAATAATGCGTTAAGCAAGAAATATTAATAAATTTACTTGAACACTCTCTGAATGACGTTAAACTTGAAATTAATATTTTGAAACCAACCGATTCAACGTTTTTTGTAAATTGTGTGTACGTTCATAAGTGATGTCATAAGGATTAACTAACAATTCATATTCACACAGAAATTGTGTTCATTAACTAATTTGCAAACATTTAAAATTGAATTTCAATATTTTATCTTCTTGAATTCTTTTTATATGCACAACAACAATTGTTTTTAATGAAGGAACGCAACATTGAAAATCATAAAACCGATTGATGAAGAACCGTTAAGATTTAAATTCAGAAGTCGTAACGGTAACATAAGTGTTAGGGGTAATTTCATAGGAAACTATAATTTCACGCGTTCTTTGCTTTAATTTGTCATTCCTTTAATCAAATCACATTTAATCTTTAGCAGAATTATTACTGGAAAGCAATGCTGCTTAGTAGTAAATTACAAGCGTAAATCTGTATATCTAAATTTTTTTCATTATGTAATTTTACAATTTGTGATTTTTGTTACAGAAATTCTCAAAATGATATGAATTGGGAAAGTTTAGCTCATATAATCATTACAAACTTCTATGGAAGAGGCGGAAAGAGACGTGGAAATCGATTTCGAATAATGAATTTTGAAAGAGATTTATATAATTTCGTTCCATTTGCTCTCAATTGTTTTTTAAATATGTCAATCGAGTTTGAAAATCCTGATAGGTGGAATAATGAAGAACAAGTTTTAGCTGAAAACGCTGATAAGGATTACTTTTATTATGACCATGAGGAATATGAGGTAATAGCAGCAATCATAAAGTCGTGTAGAGGAGACAAAATGAATTACATCAATGTTCTTCCCGTGATTTACAAACACGATGGGAATTTGAATTTCACGCCTTTGTTCAGTGTCCGAAAAAATATCGAGGACGAGTCAATGTTTGTAGATGCCAAGGGAAGAACTTACAATAATTTTAAAGATTGGGAGGACAACAATGGTCTTCCGTATCCTTGTGATTACATGTTTCCTTCAAATGGCATCTTGAATGGCTGGAGCGTTACGAAAAGATTTAAAGAAAAAGATTCAAACATTGAGAAATTTCTTCATTCGCTTCCAAGTCAAGGTTTCAATGGAACATCGTTTACTACTTTATCACCTATTAATGGATCATACGATCACGTCGATGACTTTAAATCTTTTAATAATGAGTTAAGTGAATTAAGAAAATCTTTTGAGTTCTTTCAAGTTAGCGGAGAGTATTTAGATAAAAACATTCAGAAAGACGATGAAATCATTTTAAAACAATTTATGCCATCTGTGAAATCACTTTTGGATTCAGATGACACTCAGACGGTAAATAAAGAAGATGTTAAAAATCTTATCAATGCTACGACATTTTTTGAAAATCCCACGACAATTCAGGTAAAAGATCGAAAAATTATTTTAAGAAAACTTTTCTGCAGTTTCTTCAACCCAACATTCCAATAAAGTTTTCTTTCTTTTACTCATCCAGGATATTGTGAAGCTTATCAAATTTTACAAGAAGTCGTCTGTTGGTTGTTTAAAAGTCAGCATTCTCTTGGGATTCTTCATGAACACAAACTTTTTCTTCTACAACGCTTCGAAGCTTCAGTTTATAGCTGAATTGTTTAACATCTCAAAGCTGATAAACGACGACATAAATTTTCGAATTACAAACAACAAAGAGATCGTCATTGGTTCTCTTCTTATACCTTTGGATCTATTGAATGAAGTTGATTGCGATGAGCTAGTAAAACTCACAAGTAGCTTGATTAAGCTTCATAGCGATGACGAAGATGGCGATCAAAAACACTTTCATATTTTAAAGAATATTTCAAAATTCTTCGAGAATAATAAAGAATTTCTTCGTGTCATGATGACAGAGCACAAAATTTTAAGTGGAAAGAAACATGTTTACGACACATCACAGCATGATGAAGTTAACAATGCTTCATATGAAGCTTCTGCTGATATTCCTGACTTGATAGTCTACAAAAATTCTGAGAGGAAAATGATGATAAATTACGATAATCACGACTATGAAATACCGAAAAATTTCATCAACGTTGACGATTCCAGTGAGTGGAAGCACATCATCAAAATACTTCGTAAGAATGTTTTGGTATTCAACGAACTCGAGAGTCTTATTTACAGCGACAAGTTAGATTCCATCAAGCCTGGAGTCATTTTTCATTTCACAACAAACGTAGAAAAATTCGAAAGTTTGGCAGCGAAAAAGTCAAGAAAGTCTCGTCTTGAGGTTTTTCCAACATTGGTTGCCACCTACAATCTTTTACTTCAACTTTGTATACCTTTCTACATGAAAATATGTCCATGGGGACGTCCAATTTTCGTGATTGGATATGAAACGAAAGTTTATCTCGACGACTTATTTTACATTCTTTCAACACAAACAAGTTCACTGAGAGTTTTCCGTGAAATTTGCAATATTCAAAGAGACGTTTCATATGAGCTTGAACGAATAATGTGGGAAATGAACAACGCTCAAGTTTGCTTCAAGTGGCTTGAGAATTTACCACAAAATAGTTTGAAGCATCTTTTGGAACTACATGAGGATGTATTTTCAAGGGAATACAAACATATGGTGAAGCTGATAATAACAAACACTTCGGAAGACAGTAATGGCCCCATTTTGTTAACTTCTGGCTTTTATGGACTTATTGTGTCACTTCATGTGCTTCTTGCACTTGATAAAGAAGAAAGATTGACGATTTTGCGAAACTTTGAACATTTGGGAGATCTAGACTTGCTGATGAATGCCATTGGACTGATGACGGTTGCCATGAGAAACATAACAATTCATGAACCTGCTTGGATTGAATGAGATCCAACATTGATAGCTTCAATCTACTTTTTAATATTCAAAATATGACTCAATAAAGGAAAAACTGATCTCGTTCAGCATCATGAAGCAATTCTCCATAAATCATCTTTTCGAATGTTTAAACAAATTAATAGTCTTTGACCATAAAACATATTTAATAACATTGCGGTGGTTTTTTTTCTCACGATCAATGCAGTTTGTTACAGAACAACACCAAAAAACAATAAAAATGAGAAGAAGCAACAAGCGAATGAAAACAATGGAAAAAATAGTATTTTTAATATTTATTTACTATTCGCGAACTAAAAGCGAAACTAACGAAGAATAACTTTGAGCTTTTTTTCATTTCTTTATTTTTCTCATTGAAAAACTTGCAACTCGCTTCTCAACTAACATCAGCTTCAGCTGGTTCAACATGTTTCACAAACTCTTGTACTCAGTCTTTCTCCAGCTCTCGTCCGTGATAGTCGTGAAAGCTAACAACAGCTAGCGGTGGTGAAGAGAAGAAAAGTAAAATAAATTTCCGTTGCATTTAAAATTGAAGTTCAATAACATTCGTCTTAAAGTCTCGCACTTAGTCTCGCAACACAATAAAGTTAAATAAAAATTTTCAATGGTCCGTTACGATTTTTATTATTTGATTTTCGGATCAGACACGAGAAAAATATTTTTCAGCACAACTCGATAAATTATTGAATGAAAAGTGAAAATTATTAAATTCCGTAGAGATTTTTTTTCGAGTAAGAAGTGGTGAAAGAAAGAAAGATTAATTATCAAATGCGCGTTGTAATTCGATCGGAATTAAAGATGATCAATAAAAAGTTTATTTTGCTTCTATTATACTCGTCAATAGTCGCGAGATTATCATAAGACACACTGACGCTTATGACGACGTGAAAAAAGCTTTTAATGAAATTTTAGAAAATGTGAAACTGACGTTAAAAAATAAATTAAATATCTGAGAAAGACAAGACAGAAAAAAAGACAAAGTTTAATGTGCAATAATCAATAGTTGATAGATCTACGTATAAGTTTGTGCAATAGTGAAAACAGAGTAAAAGCGATACCAAATAAAATTTTTAAATCTTCCTCAAAATATTAATTCGGGAGTTACGCAATTTAAGTAAAAAAATTTAATAAATCTTAATTATTTGTTGAGAAGAAGAAGAAGAATACGAAATAACCAGAGCGATGAATCTTCATTGGATTATAAAATTCATTTTATTGTGGATTACCTGGCTGCAGCATAATATCTGCGATGGTGAGTCGGTATTTATATCAGTAATTAGTTAGCGCAGTCAGCAGTCTCTTTGCATCTTGTCCAAGCGAGTGACCCAATTCTTAGCTCAATGTTTGCCTTTTACTCTTGATTACAGTTTCAAATGCAAAGATTGAAATGCAATTTCTTTCATTAGCTCTATAAAAATCGTCATTTCATTTCATTATCTTCAGATTGTTTGACTTTCTTAGCTTCTTTTCATATTCTTCTTAAAGTTTGTATTGAGAATGAAATTGCAAATTTTCTTCTAAGGTGAAAGAAGCATAACTTGTTATCAAATTAAAGTCAGACATCTTATGATAACACTGAACGTTAGAAATTCCTAAATATAAGCAAATGTTACAATGCAGAAAAACCAGAATTTCAAGTGCTTAGAAAATTGTAATAGCGGCTATTAAAACAGTTAGATGAATGAATCAATAAAGAGCTAGCACACTATTCGAGAAATTTCTCTCTGTGGTTGAACATGTTGATCTTCACTTTATCTTGAAAGTTTTTATTTTGATCTTCTTCTTCTACTTACTTCTTAGTTAAAGAACTTAAATCATTTATCAAAGCTTATCGAAAATCATGTTTCTTATGGTATTAAAAGTTTTGTCACTACAATCACAAATACTTTTCCGGTTCGTCCCACATCATCCATGATTTGCAACTTTTCCCTCTTTTTTTATTTAAGATACTTTATGAAAACTCAAACCTGGTTGATATCAGCGCAAAAAAGTTTTTTTATAAATAAATATCTTCGGCTCGTGCGATGAAAATGTTTAGAAACTTTTCTTGCACCGTCATCAAGCACGAGTCACGGAAAGGAATGAAGCGAAATTTTAAAAGATTTTCTCTCCTTTCCATGATACCATTCACAATAATTGTCAACAAAGTGATTTATGGCAAGCAGAAGTTTAGCGTGATAATTAATCGCTTTGCAACATTAAGCAACATTACAAAGTATCTTCTTTGGTAACAATAAAGATTCATTTATCCGCAACACTTTTCAATTGAAACACGCGTAAGAAAGAGAAAGAAGGAATGAATCGTGTCTTGGAAAGGTGTTACAGTTACACGATAATGGGCATTTCATCACCCTGTAGAAGATTGATGGTTGAATAGTTTTCTTTTTGAGTAGATTTAGGGTGCAAGCAACAACCGACTCAAGCCTCGACAAGCATTGTAAACATGAATATCTAAGCGAAGACATTAAAGCTTTGTGATAGACTTCGAAAGTCGTAAGCTTCACGTTAATAGCATTAGGAAACATGAAGAAATCTTCTCTTTTTACTTTTAAATATATTCAACTGCTTTGGGATCAAAAAACATCAACAAGCTCAATTGTATTCAAACAATCTAAGTCTTGTTTATTATTTGTTAATTACATATTCCAAGAAAAAAGAATATTTCACATTGTGAGTCTCCAGTTTCAAACCAAATTAATTTCATTTTCATTTTCTTTTATTAGATTTACGAAATTAAGTCGAAGAATAACGACATGTAGGTGGGAAAGAATGAAATTAAAATCAATTTTGTGTCTTATGGTGATTGTGTCGTCATTTCCTTCCATCCCATTAAAGCTTAATTAATTGTGCCGGAAGAAATGCCATCGACGTGAAAAACAAATGATTTACATATTTTACGTGTTTGCCATCAAAGTTTTCACTTCATCTCAGCCCATCTTGATCTCGTGCCTAAGTGAATGAGTCGAGTGTAAAACAATTTCCATTTCTATTATTTATTTATCCACATCGGAAAGATGCGAACAATAACAAGAGAATTCAGAAATTCTCAGACCCAGTAACATCATGATCTAATAAGCTATTTCTCAAAATGCTCGATGGAGAAAAGCGTAGAAAATTTCAATTTCAATTTCATGATGTTGATGAATATGCGCATATATTCTTTTAACATTAACAAAGCCATCAAACAACGACGAACTTTCTTCTCTTCTTCTTGTTGACTTAATGATTTAAAATAAAATAAAAGAATGGAACAAAAAATATGACAATGATGGTTGATGGAATGACACGAGAACCATTTTTTCAAATGAATATCAATGATGATGATGGACAATTGATAAAATATTAACATGTGACGCAACTTACAAAGAAATTCTTCAATGCATATTTCTTAATGTGCTCTGCTAATAACATCAAACAACAGAAGATTTGAGAACAAATGAAAAGGAAAATGAGAAATGTCTGTGAAATTTTCATTATGCGTGGGAAGAAATATTTTTAAGAAGTTTCACTTGTCTGTTGCATGTTGCAATTGTACTGAAATGAAGTGAATGAAGGAAATGAGTAAAAAAAAGTGAAAGAATTGAAATATTTTCCTCGATAACTTCAAAAGCATAGGAAGTAGGAAGTGCATGCCAAAAAGACTTTAATTTCAGCTTCTTCGTTTGTAAAGTAAATGCGAAGCAAATGAATGACTGCTTATTAGAAACTCATTAAATCCACGAGGGGACTTTCCGTCTCCAATCTGAGCTTTAAATATTTAATTTGTGTTACCGTAAATTCGATTCACTTGCGGACGAAAAAATAATTTTTCACGATTTCATTCACGCAAATTTTCAAAGTTGAAAATTAAATGGAAAAAATTAAAAGACTCAAGCTTTGGCTGATTTGAAAGCATTTTGGATGTTTTTAATTTTTTTCTCTCGTCAGGCGTCGTCGTTAATGTTATTCAACAATTGTACATTTGATAGTGGTTGACTAAGAGTTTAATTACAGTCAAATAAAAAACACCTTCTAGCCTCGAAGGTCCATAAATCTCGTTGCAAACAAATCTAAACAATCGCAAAGAGACATTCAGGCACACGAAAATATGTAACAACCTAAAACAATTGATATTCCGATGGGAAAATGATGCTTATCATCATCAACACTCTCAGTTTCATTTACTTTTGTTTCAATTGCATTTTCATTTACGGGCTCGTCCAACTCTTCAACCTCACATTGGACTTGTACAATTTTTTAATTTTTTTTGCGCAATAAACGGGCTCTTAAGAAATTAAAAAGATATTTAAAATAATAGAATCGAGTCTCAAGTCACAAGACGATCTTTTCCACGATAAGTCAACAACAACAAACTAAGCGAATTCGTTACGAAATTTTTCACTTTTCTGTCGTTGTTGTTGATGTTGATGCTGTTTAAGTTATGCGGCTAAGTAATAAAATTTAAATTTAACGACGATGATTAAACTTTTTCTTATTTATTTTCTTCTTACAGCATGCACATTCTACTCAACGAGTGAATATTCATTGGCTGATTCCGATTCGGGAAAGTTTCTTCGAATCAAGGAAGATCATCCAATAGGCGAGGCAATATTCGCTATTGACGTCTATCCAAGGTCAGTTAATCACGTAATCCAATTCGAGAGTGAAAGAAAACAAAAATTTTCTTTTTCGATTTACTTAATTCAGAAAATCCATTGAATTGCGAGGAATTGACCGTTCAAGCAAAGACGATAAATATTTCCGTATTCGCGAGGTAAATGCGACGAGAATTGAAATTATTTTGAAGGAGAGTTTAGACGATTTGGTGGATAATGAGACACCACACAACATCTTGAAGTTCAAAATTCAGTGCAATAGTGCGAAACATAGCAATAGGAGGAATCATGATGTAAGATTATGAAAGTTGAAGCTCATTATTTATACTTATACTTGATGCAATCTCTTATTATGATCAACTAAGTTGCCTCTCTTAGCGTGTCTGATTTTTATGCTAAGCGTTAAGCGATTAAACACTTTTTGAGATTTTTGTTACTATTTTTATTTAAGCAATGAATGAAAGTAACATGAAATGTTTCTTTGCGATGACTGGTCAAATAATTTATGAACATGAGTATTAAAAATATTAACGAAGCCACTTAAGACTGTCTAAGTAATATCCAAATAAATCTTATTCATTATCCCGCCGTAATTGTTTTTATCGCAACGCTATGTAATCTTATTAACTTTAATTCTTTTTCGTGCAGATTTCTTTCTTCATGTTGACAGTTTATGTTGAAGATATTAATGACAATAAACCAGTGTTTGTTAATGCACCATATTCAGTAACAATAGATGAGACGACCCCATTTGGAACGACAATTTTCAAAGAGATTCATGCGGTTGACCGAGATCAACCAAACACTCCAAACTCAGACATTCAATATTTTATCGGTCAGCAAACTGTTGATTCGCAAGGCGGATTTTTCATCATGGATAGTCCACATCGACCACACATAATTCTAAGGAGATCATTAGATTTCGATCACGGAATTAGAAGATTTGATTTAAATATCATTGCGAAAGATCGCGGAATTCCACCGCATCAATCGAACACAAGTCTCTCAGTTTACATTGATGATGTTGATGATTTACCTCCGATGTTCACTCAAGATGTTTACTACACAAAAGTTAAAGAATTCTTCACGATTACTGGAAAAGCCATCCATAAAGCTTTGAAAATCGATCCACCGATTGAAGCTTACGATCAAGATTCACTCAACTCAACGCTTGTTTACAGTATCGTGTCGGGTAACGATCGCGATGTTTTTTGGATGCATCCAACAACTGGCGTGATATATTTGAAGAAGGAAATTGATTTAGAAGCTGAACTTCTTCAAGACAACAGTTTCGTTGTGAATGTTGATGTTCGACAAAAGAATGACGAATTCAAAAGAGCGCAAGCAAGAGTTGAAATTGAAATTGTAGACATAAATGACAATCCGCCTGAGTTTGAAGTTGATTTGTATAACATTTCGATTGTCGAAAATCTTCCGAATGGCTTTTCTGTGCTTCAAGTCAATGCTTTGGATCGTGATCAAGGTGAAAATTCTTTGTTTTTCTATAAAATATTCAAAGAAGATCCTCCCGGCGCTTTCAATGTCGATGCACAAACTGGTTGGATGACTGTAAAAAATCAATCGCTACTTGATCGTGAAGTTCGTGCAACTGTTAAACTTTTGATTCAAGCAGTAGAGAAAGTCAAACCATACAATAAACGTGAAACTACTGCAGATTCAACTGTCGCTGTTGAGATTACGTTGCTAGATGCAAACGATAATAGTCCAAGTTTCGAGTTGGGAAATTTGTATGAATTTAAAGTTGATTTGAATTCATCAATTGGCTATGTTGTTGGACGAATCAAAGCAACCGATCCGGATGACGGTCAAAATGGAAAAATCGTGTATGAGATGAAAAATCGGAAAGAAACAGTTGTTCCGTTTAAACTCGATCCGAAGAATGGTGTATTGAAAGTTACTGGCAGATTATTGCCTGGGAGAATTGCTTTGTTTGTTGAGGCTTGCGATCAGCCGATAAATTTATCAGAACAACGCTGTTCGTTAGCAGTGCTGACTCTTGACATTGTGAACATGGCTGATGCTTCTGAAATCAAATTTATGGGAGCACCGTATGATTTTTGGATCAGTAGCAACGCCCCAATTGGCAGTTCCGTTGGACAAGTCAGAACCGTGTATCGAGAAGACGTAAGAATAGAAAATTTAATTAATTTTTATGATTATTAATTTTAAATGATCTTCCAACAGATAATTTTCGATCTTCTTCATTCGTACTCCGAGGGTGTTCCATTTGCAATCGAAGAACAGTCTGGAATCATAACCGTAATCAGACCAATTAATAGTTTCAATAGAAATGTTTACATCTTCGAAGCGGTCGCTACTTATGCACACACACCTGTTGAGGTAAAACTTTCACGCTTTTTCCTTTTATTTTTCTTTTACTTTGCTAGCTGGTTTGCAATTTGCAAAATATTAATTTAATAATTTGTGACGTTTGACTTACACACATAAGTAATCATAAACATAAAAGTAAAAGGAGATTAATGCTATTTGTTTTGTAATAAAAGAAGGAAACACTAAAATATTTATTGAGAAGTTAAATCAAAATTAATTTACCGAAAAATTTACGAACGCGCTTTTTTAATTCTCTTTGAATGTTTTTCAAAAATTACATGTCTGAAACTGAAGTCGTAGAAGAGAGAAAACTGTTTCAGAAATCAGAAAATATTGTCATTGTAAGCATTACAAACTTACGAAATTAATTTTTATCAACATCGTGTTTTAAGTATACAATTTCATTTTCTGAATTTTATTGCTACTATTAGCATTTCTTTCATTTTATTTTTGTCTGGGTCAGTTTAGTGAAAGCTTTGAACTGAAACGACTGTTGAACCGCAGCATGATGTCAATTTGCTTTTATTTGTTTTCAGTTTCATGTTTTTGAGAGAAAATGCAAAAATGTTAATCTCGATTAATCTCGTTTAATCTAACTCTATGGTTCAAGAGATTAAGATTAACTTTCATTAATCCAGATTAAAATTTTCATTCAATTTGTTTTTATTATTTTGTCTTGTGCATGTACACACATGGAAGAAAATTCTCGTTTTCTTCTTGTTCAAGTTTCATTAACATTATTTATTTCCTGTTTTTCACATAATTTCAGCATGTCAAGAACACGTCAAGATCAATGAAGAAATCGCTACCTGAAGAATTAGGTTTTCAAGTCGACGAGGGAATTGTTTCTGACCTAAATTTCGCAAACATGTATATTGCAAATGTTACTATTAATGTTGTCAATCCAAATAGTAAAAACCCAGTTTTCGTCAAAGCTCCACAGAATCAATTGATTGAGTTTCGTATCATGGAAAATCTCCCGAATGCAGTCATTGGAAATTTGATGAATAAAAATTTGACTGAAATGACAAAAGGTCTTCAAGCATCATCATCATCCCCCACAGCAACAATTCAAAGAAGGCCAGTAAATCGAGAACACCGTCAAATGATGTCGTCGTCAAAATTTAGAAAACAAGTCGAAATTAAACGGAACATCACAGCAGTTGTCACAACGCCGTCTTCAATTGGAATGATTCCGAGAAGATCAAGAAACATGTTCAATACAACTTCAAGACGAAAAGGAATAGCAAAGCAATATGGACGTGTTGTTAATCTGCCACCTATAACGTTAAATAACGATAAAAACTCTTCATCAACACACGAAAGACCATTAACAAGCTTAAGTAAATACTTGCGCAATAAAAGCAGACATTCTAGATCGACAAAGAATCTCAATTTCTTTATCGTTAACGACTATGATTTTAAAGAGAAAATGTATGTCTCGAGCGATGGTAAGTTAATGACAATTAACGGTTTAGACCGTGAAGAGAAAGATTCTTACATGCTAAGCGTTATTGCTGAATATTCGAATGGACTTGTTGAAAGTGCTGGAATTTATCAAATAAATGTTCTTGTTGATGATGAGAATGATAATCCACCGAAATTTGATCATACAAATTATATCGGAATTATTTCCGAGAATTGTGTTCTTGGAACGGAAGTTTTGCTAAATAACTTGATTATCGTTAATGATGCTGATTATGGAAAGAATGCCGAGTTCCAATTAAGTATTCTTGGCGATGGAAATCGACTGTTTACGATAGAGAAAAGTGATGAAGTGCCTGACAGATCGACATTCTTCAACACTGGCAACAACAGCGTCTTGTCGCTTTTCTCTGACACCGTCTTGGACGAATATAGCAGCATGGTCGATATAAATCTTCATTTAATGATGTTGAGTGCTCGCGATGCATCGCCGAATCAAACTCATTATGCGATTAAATATAGTGGACCAAGTACACTTGATCGTGAACGTAAAAACTTTTACAAACTTCGCTTACTTTCTAAAGATTCCGGTGGACTTACGTCAGAAGCTCAGCTGATGATTTTTGTTACAGATGTTAACGACAATCCACCAGTATTCGAGAAACTCGCTGTTTTTAAGCAAACTGGGATTGAAATTATGCAATACACGGATAAGATGGAAATATATTTCGTTGATTCACAAAACAGTGTTAACAGCAAACGCCCCATGGCATTAGCTTTGGAAACAGTTCAAGCAAAGTACAGCATTAAAGAGAATTATGAAGAATTGTCGATTGGTACGACAACTAAATCACCAGTGAGAATTCGTTATCGTAAGAAACCAATTGGTAGTCCAAGAGCATTAGCATTAATAGATGAAGAAGATTCTGAAGATGAAGCTGAAGAAGACCGCGCATTTAGAGACAAGCCAATATTTATTAATCTAAATTCGTCTTTTGCAAGATATCCTTTGTTCTCAATTGAAGAATCACTTGAGCCTGGAACAACAATTCTTCAATTAACAGCGAATGATGAAGACTACGGTCCAAATTCACAAATTACTTATGAAATAACTAATGAAAAGATTTCATTATCGCGGTCGTTTAAAGGTGACACAAGTCGAATTCATAAGCCACCATTTTTCTCAATTGATCGAATATCCGGTGAACTGAAAGTTAATCGTCAACTCATTCCACATGTTGAAGTTGTTGTTAATGTAACAGCTAAAGATCCGGCTGGTTTATCAGATCGCGTGCAGATTGGAATTCAGATTTCTGATGTCAATAATCATCCGCCACAATTTTTACGACCATTTTACTCGTTTGATATTGAAGAAGGTTTTCATGTCGGAAAAATTCTTGGCGCAATTCAAGCTGTTGACGATGATTTTGAAGACAATGCCAACATCACGTATTCAATTGTTAACGCTGATTCAGATAAATTTCCGTTCAGCATCACGCCAAGAAGTGGAATCTTAAAAGTGTCGGGACATTTAGATCGCGAGCTGAAGTCACTTTACGAGTTTAAAGTGATGGCGAAAGACAACAGTAAAAACTATCATCAACTCAATGCAACTGTTGTTATAGAAGTCAACATAATTGATCAGAATGACAACGCACCACAATTTATCGAGTACGATGATCTTATGATTCACGAGATTCCAGCACGATCGAGAAAGTTAAACAGCGATTTACATCACAACGAAGATATTGCACCGCAAAATCGAACGCCAGTGTATAAAATCAATTTGGATCGCAATGTAAGTGGTCGCCGGTTAATTAAAGAAATTAAAGCAATCGACATTGATTACGCTTTAAATGGAATGGTTTTTTACAACTTCTTACACAACAATTTGTCGCATTTATTTGAGATTGATGCACGTGAAGGAATTATCACGACAACAGCCAATAAAGATCAATTGAAGATATTAAATAATTACGACTTTATTAATTTAACAGTCGTGGCATCTGACTTGGGTAATCCTGTAAGAAGTTCATATGCAATTGTTTTGATAACTTTGATAGGTGAAAAGCGAATTGAAGCGCCAAAGTTGGAAGCGTACAAGAAATCGCAAGCGATTGTTGCAAAACCGGTTTTGTTCGTCAATCAATATTATGAATTGGAAGTGTACGAAAACAGTCCGACGCCAATGAGACTCATTCAATTTAACACAACGAATGATGACACAATCTATAAATGGTCCCTTGAACTTGAGAACAAAAGTGAATCGCGTGTTGATGTTGCTGAGATTTTCAACATTGTTGACGGAACATTGTGGTTGATTAAAACTTTAGATCGTGAAGAAATTGACATGTACAGTCTGAAAATACGTGCAGATTCACTTGCGCCTTTAAAGAGACCACGACAAGGGAGAAATATGCAAATGATGTATCCAGTGACAGATGATCGAATTGATAATCTTACAGAAAATGAAGTTCGTGTTGTTGTGAAGATTTTAGATGTTAATGACCATGCTCCGGTGTTTAGAGAAAACGGTCCGATTATTGCGGTTATTCCAGATACGGTCAAATATGGTTACAATGTGTTGAAAGTGCAAGCTGATGATGAAGATTCCGGAATCAACGGTGACATCCGTTATGCGATAATGAACGAACCAACAAATTTCTTCGGAATTGACGCACTAACTGGTCAAATTAGAGCTTTGGGTCCACTTTGGCGTGACAATCAGAGAGTGTTTGGATTCGATGTGAAAGCAACTGATCGTCAGGGAGCTGAGAATGGAAAAAGTAGTATTGTGAATGTTCTGGTGAGTCATCTAATGTAACTTTCCATGACTTTCTTTATTTCATTTTCGTCTAATCTTTAAGGTTTATGTGCTTGACGATCATAAACATGTCAAGTTTGTAATGAGTGGAAACACAATGGACATTGAAAGAGAAGCTGAAACAATTTCTAGAAGCTTATCAGATGCCAGTGGATTGAATGTGAAAATTCGAATGTTGGAACCGCATGAAGTCAACCGAGAATTCTTAACAAATGTTTATGTTTATGCCATTGATCCGAAGTCAAACACAGTTGTTGATATGGAAGAACTTCAAGAGTAAGAAAACTTTCATAATTAACTTCTGTTGTTAAATTATGTAAATGTTTCAGAATAATGGAGCAGCTCAACATGCAAGAGATTCAACCATCACTTCCAATTATTGAGCTGACAAAACTTGGTGTGCCTGCACATTTAGCTCCAAAAATAAAGCAAGGCTCGGGTGAACTTGCATCAATTGTTCTCTCAATCACAATTCTCATTGGTGGATTCTCCACAGCTATTTGCATTTTATGTGTACGATACAAACGGTGAGATTTGATAATCGAAAAACAAAAATTCCTGTCACATCACAACACAATAAACAACATCACATCAATTTATTCCTTTTTCACCGTATTCACAACCTTTAATAAAAAAAGATAAGAAAACTTTTCATTTCAAAACGAACTGAATGCACCTTGAATGATGATTTTCATCAAATAAAAACTAAAAACATTTGTTGGTGATATGAAATGAGATGGAAATGTTTTAATAATAAATCGAATAATTTATTGTATAACTCGTGCCTTTGCGCCATTCGCAATATTTTTGTTTTGTTTGTAATAATACATAATAATAAAATTAATAATAATAAAACATAAGTAACAAAAGCCTCTCATGAAATTAACATTTTGATGTAAATTAAAAGAAACAAAAAAATATTTACACAAAATAAATCAAAATTCTGGCTAATAAACATTTTGATTGAAACTAAATTGAATCGTTTTTTACCTACATAAATACATGAATAAAATGATTAAAAATCACATTCACGATCCATCCAGTATGGTTTAATTTTTTCTTCCCAGCATACTTTATAAGTTTTTTAATAAAAAGCAAAGCAAGTTCCAAGCTTGTGTCCCAGTTCTGCCGAACGCTAACAATTAACTGTACATTCTAACCTGACTAACTAGTGCAAGATTTTCTAAGCTAATCTTTCCATGCAACTGCAACATTAAATATTGCATAAGGTAATGGATTGTGACCGATGATGATGGAAATGGAATCTGAATCTTAAGCAACACTCGGTAATAACAAGTTTTCTTCTTTCTTTCATTCCTTCCTTCCTTCTCTCTCTCACTTTTGAGCATGAAAATTCGATTAAAGAATCGTTTATGAAAGTGCTTATTAAATAAATTTCTTTTCCATCTCTCTTACTTTCTTTTCTTCTCTTTCTCTCTTTCTTTTTAATTCTTTTACCGACTTGTGTTCTAGTCGAATACAAAATGCTATCGCGCCAAATCGTAATCATGTCACGTCACCATTGGCACCATCACAAATGATGCGTCAGCATTTATTTTTACCTCAACCGGTGGCTGGTGATTGTTCGAGTACAGATCCTGTAAGTGATGAAGGAAATGTTGATGTGTATGCTCCGGTGTTGAAGCAATTGATACCAACAAGAAAGAACAATCATATGATGGGAAGTCAAAGAAGTTCAGTGGATAAGCGAGAATACATCGACATTCCACTTCCGAAATCTGTTCTTAAAATTAATCTTCAGAATCATGAAAACAATTGCACAAAATATAACAACTACATGATTCCGACGAAAAATAATCTTCTTAAGGAACATTACACATCAAGCGAATGCATTTGCCAAACATCTGATGACAAGCAAGATATTTCAAGCAACAGGTAAAAGAAAATCATTTTGTAAATACTTTAAAAGAGATTTAAGTTAACATAAGCCCTTGCTTTAGTACATATGAAGATTCGCTTAAAGGAGAATTTGCAGAAGAAACAACAACGACAAGCACAACAAGAATTGCTCTCGCTCAACGAACAAAATTACGTCAAGAAATGTATGACAATCTCGATCGCCATGCCAATCGTCATTCATTTTCAGGCTTTCGTCAAATGGAAAGAAATGTGAAGAACTCACGACGATCATCATTCATGATTGGCACCAACACAGACCCTAATACCATCATTCGATAATAATATTTTTAATTTATTTTATTTTTCATTCTATTTTTAAGATTAAAAATCTGTTAAAATTATCTTAAAAATAAATGTTGCTTCTATTTTACAATAACATTTGTTGTTGAAAAGTCAAGTATTTTAAGCCTTCGCTTTCGCTCATTAAAAAGTCATCAAATATAATAACAAGAATGACATCGTATAAAGAAGCCGCATGTACATATGTTAAGCATGTTGTCGTAACCATCGTCTCGAGAATGTCAGAAAAGGGATTCAACCGAAAAAGAAGAGTTCCAAGAAAAAGGTTTGCAGAACACGATATGTCATCACGTTTCAAATTTCTTCTGCTCTTTAATTTTATGAGCGATTTAAAATGTAATAACCACGTTTGCTAACAAGCTAAAAACTCGTAATTCGTAAGTGAAGAAACAAAAGTTTAAGTGATGAGAAAGAAGGTGGAATAAATTTATTTATAAATACAAACGACAGTCTCAAATAAGATGAACGACGACTGGCGACATTATCGTCTTAAACGAATAATAAAAGATTTCGTCAAAAGAAAAGAAATTTGTGACAGCATCAGCAGTTTGATCTTTTTTATTTTTAAAAGTCATAAAACAGAAAAATGTATGGAAACATGGAAGTGCATCATAAAAGCAAACCAAATGGAATTGACGAGCGGGAATGCATTCTTATTTAAGATTAAATATCATGGAAAAATAAATTTCGAATCAACTTCGTCCTATTTTCATGTAACTTGATTTTAAATCGTTTTTCTTCATAAAAGAGTGGAAGGAAAATTGAAAATTCAATTATAAATCGTTTCCGAAGGAGAATGTCATGAATTTGTTAAATGTAGTTAGCTTCCTACTTTCACAAGACTCTGCATCAAACTTTTCCATTTTCTCTTTAAATTTTCCTCAATATCCATTTCAATTTTATTTCCCATCGAATCTGGAAACATAAAAAATAAAAGTTTGCCTTTTAACTTTTCCGTCATCAACTTTATTTTCATCCATGTCGATGTCAATTAAGTACAAATCAAATGAATATTTAAATAATTTTCCGACATTGATTGCTATAAACTTTTGGAAAATGGATGAAATCTTGTGTTATAATCTTTTATAGGAAGTGACTATGTGGAATAAATTAATTGACAACAAACATTCATGATATTTTTTTTGTTTTGTTTATGAAATTGAAGCTGACCCGAGAAAGGTCAAATTGTCTTCTTCAAACCTAAATTTGTAGATCAACAAATTTTCTTTTCGAAGTTTGTTAATTAACAACATTTTCCACACTCAACATTGGCTCATTTCTTAATTCTACTAAATTCGCTATCTTAGAGTGGTACTTGAAATGAATCTTCGCTCTAAACAAGCTATAAGTTCTCTACTTAAAATTACGTTACACAACAAATGCAATGACAGTGTGAGAGAAAAAATGGTGTAAGGCGAACAGCAGCTGGAGAGCTTTGAAGAGCTTGAATAAGCTTCTGGATTTTCACCTGTTATTAAAGTAAAGGAAATTTAATTGAAATGTCTTGTTACAAAAGAGCTTAGCAGAGCTTACCGCTCACAACATGCACCATTATAAAAGCAGGCTCAGCATTGGATGGTGCACAAGCATACTTTCCAGTATCTTTGACGTTGACGTCTCTTATAAGTAAATAGTTTGTGAAAGTTTCTCCATTCTCTGTGAATTGTGAAAGTCTTGGTTCGGTTTCGAAGCTCAAAACCTGACAAAGAATAAATTGTTTTTATGTTTAATCTCATTATTCAATCTTCATTGCTTACCTTGTCTTTGAAATGCCAAAACGTGTGGCTTGGTGCATCGGGGGAGAATTTTACAATACATGTAAGATTTATTGTAGATCCCTAGATGAAATGACAACCATTAATTAATGATTCAACGAAACCGCTGGAAATTAATTAACCTAATTACCTTGCTAATATAATATTCTGGTCCGCCTAGAATAAACGCTGTAGGAACTGTTCACATCATGTTACCATCATTTAAATGAAGACAAACATTGGACGAGAGATAAAACAGGAAGCAAAGGAGCAGTGAAAAATTAAAATTAATTAAAGTATTTTACTTTATTAGATTAATGTCAACCTCTGATATCAAGCAGAAAAAATAATGTGCGGGGCAAAAAAGCGAAAAAATTAAACCAGCAGGAATGAAGGGAATATAAAAAAGTTTAAGCACCAATCCCACATGCTTGAATAACTATGTGAGTCAAATCTCATTACAACACACCCACTACAAGTGAGAGAGAAAAATCTAAAATTCATGTTGTTAAATTTTCACATAAATTTAAAGTTGCCTTGGGAATTATTGTCGTGATAAAGTTAACGTTCATTAAAGTATCAAGAAGATATCAATTCATATGTTATGACTTGGATTATTTTTCCTTCCATAACTTGGATATGAAGCGGAACAACATCGCTTTTGATGCTGAACTGAATTGCTGATATGTTTTTTAAGCTTAGGTATAAAGCAGAAAAATGAGTTCGTTATTTCCCAAAAATAAGAAGCTTTCAATTGAAATGTTGTTCAATTTGTCACATGATTGACTTTCAGTTTCTATTTTTCATTTTTATTCACCGTGATTTCGATCAGAATACATTTGTCCATAAATATCGTTATTAGCGCCATTCGAGTTCTTCGAATGGGATGTAGGTCGATATTCATCATAATGATTTATAATGAAATCGTCATACGGGGAAGGGAAACGTCGATTCATCATTCGTCTGTCATGGAGATCTTCTCGTTTATTCCATAAAATTATAAAGACGACAACAACAACAGATGAAAAGAAAAGAATAATCATGAAAATTCATAAATAATTCCATTCTAGGAAGTACAGAAAATAATTTTACAAAAACGTCAGAATGAAATAAAATGATGTGAAAATCTTTCATGTTTACAACTCACCAATGACATTCAAATCAACAGAGTAGCTCTTAATCGGTTGAGATGAAACTTGGCAATCGTAACTCCCAGCATCTCGTTTCTGCACCCACTTGATTTGAAGCGTCCACTCGTCTGTCGTCCGATGATGTGTTGTTTGGAAACGGAGATCTGTCGTATACGTGTAAGTGCTGACAGTGAGGATGTGTAAATCACGATGACGAATCCATGAAACCTAAAGCAATCAAAAGTTGGAAAGTTAACAATAAAAGCATAAATTTTAAGTTTTATTCCTTCTGTGCTTTATGAAAAGGAAACTTTAAGCAATAAATAATTTTTTTATACGAATTGTTAAAATAGAAAATAAACTAAAGCAATAAATCAAATTAAATTTGGAACAAATATTTGAAAACTGAAATCTGATTTATCAATTAAAATTAGTAATTGATCATAAATTGATAATTATTTCACTCAACCATTCGTTACTCAAATTTTAATTATTTTCTACTCAACTGTTTTGTTTCCTAAATTTTTAACAACACAATTTAAATAAGCTGATTTCCCCACTAGCGCTGTTACATTTTGATTTACATTTGGATCGAAGAAAGGATCAAGGCTATTAAAATTCTTCATTAACCTAAATGGATCATGAGTTGGAATGAAATTGTCGCTAGGATCATCGATGTCATCAAACTCGTGGTAGCCTTCAAGCGATGCATCTGAAAATTGGTAATAAAATAAAATTGAAAAAAACACGCCAGCGAAATTGACGTTAATTGCAAATCGATATTTCATTTGCGGTTTGGGTTTGTGTTTTATGTGTGTGATTGAGGAACATTTATGGCTCTCGAAATCAAATCCGCAAATTGTGCTTTATTTATTTTATATTGCAATAAAAATAGTTAATGACCGACAAAGTTTCTATTTATTCAACCCTTGTTTCAATCAAGGGACGTATGTTGGAAAACTTCCATTGCCCATGAGAAAATTTTGGACTTGAATCTACCACAAAAAACTTTGTTCAGTCCGTTTCGTCTATAAATTAAGTGTTTTAAGAGCGGTTCCATTTGAATTGCGAATAGTCAGTAGCGTGACTTTTATAATTTTTCTACATGGAAACAAGGAAAAGTTTAAAGCTAATTGAATTTATTTGTTCTATGTTGGAAGTTGTCTGTTTATTTGAAAAAAAGAAAGACAAACGGAAGCTGCAAAGACTTCCCCAAATGTCGACTCATGGGCCAATATACTGCTTGTGAGTTATTGCATCTCTTCTTTCTTCTTCTTCTGCTTTAAGTAGCAAAAGCTTCCGATGTTCTGTAAGCTTTGAATCCCTTTGAGACTCTTTGTCGCCATTACTTCAATTCAAAATTTCTTTCTATTCTTTGTTTAGATCCTTCAATGTTTATTTTCAAGGGTTTTTCAATATTATTGATTCTGTTGATTTGAGTTTGTCTTGAGTTTTGGGAGCTTGAGAGTCATCCATCAATCAAATCAAACTCATTTCCTCTAAGAGGGTATGAAAGAAAGAGTTCAATGTTTTTTTTCCTCTTCTTTTATTCATTTATCTATATTGAAAATGAAATGAAAATACTTCAAACATTCATCTTAAGTAGGAGAAGTTAAACCATTTTAAGTTGATGATATTTAAATTCAGCAGAAAAAGTGGCAAGAAATATTCTTTAAATAATTCATGAGAAATTCTATTCAAATTATGATCATAAAAGCATGAAATTTGTTATGTAAGTCTCGAAGCAATTCCAAGTTTCTTCAATTCTTCTTAATGCCTGAAATCCACGCTGTATACTTTTAGTTAAACATAAACATCTTGATAAATATTGTCTCAAATTGGTCCCAATTGAGATGTTTGCGTAAATAATTTCACGCTGGGATGATAAAGAATTTCTATTTCGCATTCAGTCGTTGAAGTTGTAAATATGATAACAAAAATTTTCATTTCAATTTCTTGAAACCAATTGTGAAAGAACAAAAAAAAACGCTCACAATGATATCAAGTGTCGTAAATAGAATCCCATTTAAAAACGACTTTTTGTTGTGACGAATTACGATTCATAAATTTGAATGACTTTACAAGAGTAATCAAAGCGGATAAAGCAACTATAAAGTGAGTTATTAAAATGGTTTATGCAGGAGATTATGTCGAGAAATGAACTCGTCAATTCTTTACGAGCAAGCAAGTTTATCATCTGATTTTGTTGAAAAAGTTTTAGTCAAAATATTTACTTTCTCAAATTTTACGAGCGCAACTTCAAACACTCAAGCAGATTCAAATGGAAAAAATAATCGATATGAAAAATTGTTATGAATATAAAACTAAATGCTAAGAATTTTCTATTTATCAGAAGAAATTTTTCGCTGTTTCCATTTGTGATATCGCGCCTGTTTTCAATCTCGATGAAGTTTCAAAATTATTTATGCAGCATTTGAGACGCCTTTTAAACAAGAAGCTGACAGAAATTTTTTTTTTGTCTTCATCAAAAGAGGAGGAAAAAGAAACTAAACTTAATATTCGCTAAACAAACTAATCCTTTTATAGAGACTACAAAGAAACACGAAACATTTTTTTCTTACATGACATAAATGGATTTCCTCGAACATTTTCGTCGCCAAACTTTCTTTTTTATGTTTTTGCCACAACACAATATAAAATCAGTCTTAAACTCAATGATTTTATTTCAGTCTTTTCCTTACACCAACCAGCATAGTTTTTGCGCTGTGAATCGAAGCCAGTCTTTTAAAGTGTGATAGGACAAAAAAGAATTCAGAAATGTCAAAACGTTTAACTGTAAGAAAAGTTTGTGGATAATTCCATTCTTCTTTACGTCCTTTTTAATGATTAAAACGTTTCAAAGTTCTTTATAAATTGGTAATAAAAAGAGAAGTGCTGACAAGATCTGAAATATTGTAGATTCAACTTTGGAAATAAAGCACGAAAGTTTTTCCTTCTGGCACTTATGACAAATAGTCGCAAATTAATATCTTTTTTTATAAATCCCTTATTTCCAATGAATATGAAGGAAAATCTCTTGACTTTTATCATAGGAAAATCTCTCTGTTTCCTCCTATTTTTTTACGTTAGGTCAAGGTTTTCATCATCTTCCATTAATGGGATAAATATTGCGACATGTTCTGCTTTAAATAATCCGGGCTTTGCGTTTGTCATTATATTTTATTTTCGTCGTATGAACACAGCCAGCATCCGCTTCAGATTCTGAGAGCATAATTTAGTATAGCCTTGAAGTCATGATAAGACGTAAATGAAATTGAGCTCATTGTAAGTAGATTGGGAAAAAATATAAATATCAAACTCAATTTATTTCATTTTCGTAAATAAAATTTCGACTTGACACTTTAAAACTGTATTGGCGTTTATGTTGCTCAGATTGGTTCATCAAAACAAGCAGCTTTAATAGTCGGTTGTGTTGAGGGTTGTCATTGACAACAAAAATGAAATAAAGCGGTCAATGTTATTGAGTACTAACTCTGTTGTTATGTCGTCTCTTATATACATACTTCTGAAGCAACTTGAACAGAAAACCAGGATGTCTCTCAAAAGATGTATGATTAGTAACAGAATGTATAGAAAGTGTGATTAAGTTGCCACTCTATAAAGCACATAAATGCTTCCAATTACAACATAATAACATTAAATATAAAACAGAAAATAAATTTGTTAAACTATGTAGAAGAAAAATTCATTAACTTTTGTAATTATCATCTGTAATTTGTACGCTATTTTCAACAACTTATCAAAGAGCTGGTTCATTAAAAGTTTCCTTTCATGTTACAACAAATTAAGTTAATAAATATTGCAACAAATTCATTTTGATGATGAAAATTGCATTTATGATCAATATTTGCAATCAACAATAATGAAAAAATGCTCAGAATAATGACATATAAATTTTTATAATCTTTTTTGTACCACATCATGTGATTGCTTTTCTTTGAAATATTTTTTCTCCTTCAAATTTTTTATCTAATGGAATGTTCGAAACATGAATGAAACTTTTCCAATATTTTCTTCACTAATGGTTTATGCAGAAGTTTGAACGATTCTGGAGAGAAAACAAAAGAAAACTTATAGATATTGAACATTTTCTTTGTCGTTGAATATCTAACAAAATTTCTGTGAAAAATGACACGATCCCGTTTTGAATTTTCTCTTTATTTCATTCATTCTTTTAGAAAGAACGTTGAGAAATATCGTCTGTAAGAAACATCGAGGGGGTGAATACGATATCATCCTATAGCTATGATTCTTATGCGAAATTTTAAATTAGGTCGGGCTCGTCTTTGATTCTATTCGAGATAAAATCTACTTTTGGATTAATTAACTGTTCAATGCACAGCAAACTGCTGACATAAAATTTTTATTTACTTACGTGCCCTACTTGACATTGTAGATTTTCAATTTCTCTCACATATTTTCATGAATATCATAATGAATGTCACAATATGTTTACCCAATAAAATATTCAAGCTGAGAACGTTTTTTGTTTCAGAAGTTTACAAATACAAAACAATTTCGGGAAAATCTGTTCTTGTGGTTGCTTGGAAGCTTTGAAGCCAATTACTAGAGTCATCCATAATGGAAAAATTATTCAAATTTCTTTTGTTATGAATTCCCATTTCATTGAGCTTAATAAGAATAAGTTTGTTTACAACAACAACGAAAGGAAAGCAAGGAACGAGTAAAGATGGAAATAAGAATTGCGCCCGAAAAAAAATAACATTATGTTTGTGAAGTTAAATTTTAATGTACTTGCTTATTAAGAAATATTAAACTTTTTTTTGTAACAATTTTTAAGGCTTCTTCTTGGGTCTTTTATCGTACGCCTAACTTTTGAGTTTGTTTGAGGTAAAAACTTTTTGTTTCATTCATCATGCAATAAGCAATTTATTCAAAATGAAGCCATCTGAACGTTTAATTTACCGTTTCAACATCACGCATTGTTTAGATTTTGAAGAGATGTAAAATGAGATATTTTTGTTTTATTTTCGGAAAGCAAAGGAAAAAAGTTTCCGTTGAAGGAAAAATTTAGCTTTTTGTTTGTTCCTTTTTCTCCGAGTTTGTTGAATCTCATGTAGGTCTTCACGTCTGTCGTCTGTGACAAAAATATTACATTCTTCTTTATGTTTGAATCGTTTGTTGTCTCCGAACGTTCATTCACTTTGATTTGAAGAGTTTATCTTGTGTAATTTTCAATCGATAGCCATGGCCTACGTCAATTTAAGCGGAGAACAAGAAAGGGTGAACCGATAATCTTTATCCTGAGACTTAAGGAATTTTTTATGCTTTTTTTCCGATACTTTCTCACTATTAGAGGTGAATAACGATTACGGATTATATCCATTATGAACCTTTTTAACTTTAAGCCTTTAGGAAAACCTAACTTTTCCAATAAAAGCCATCAACGAAAGATGAAATCTTGAAAGCAAGAAGAAAACTGAAAACAAATTTCCTCAAGATTTATCGTGAACGTGCAAAGTTGGGAATGAGAAAGAAATCCTTGAAGAAGGGGAAATATGAAGCGGGGAACAAAACCTGATTTGCACAATAAATTCCATTCAAAAGTTTTATTGAGATTACAGATAAGCGGAAAGGAATATCTGCTTTGGATATTGATTTGTTTTTCCGATATCTTAAATTCTGATTTGTTATGAAGATTTAATCCAATAAAATTGCGAGTATTTAAACCTCCAAAGAATTAGCTTAATGATAAAATCTAATAAATTATAAAATGCCTTGTAACATAATTGTATCGGTATGTCACGCTTAATATTCCAACAACGATTTGAACTTTGATTAATGAGAAATTCGGAAAAAAGAAGAATATTTAAACGAGAAGATATCTTACTCTATTTATTTTTCTTTCACAGCTTAATTGGATTATAACTTGAAAGCAAACGCAACGTGGTTAGTAAAAAGCAGTGAAAACATCAGACGCAAACGACGACACAGTTTATTTTAAGAAAAATGTATTTGTCTCATCAACCGCATGTCACGGCTAAACGATTTTGACTTGCGACATGATAATTAATTAGATGTTCACCATTTAGCCTTCTTTAAATAAATATCTTTTTCACTGGGAGAATCTCAGATATTTTATTTTCTTTTTTTCCCATCTTGCGGAAATTGAAACAATATTTTCGACGCAATGTAAAGTGGATTAAAAGTTATAGGATTTAAAAAGTAAAACAAACAGAGCGAAAAGTTTAGCAACAAATTGCGAAAATTGAGATAATTTTCAGCGATGCTGATTTTTGTTCTAATTTTATTTGAACAGTGAAATTTTGTTGGATATTTATTTGTTGATGTTTTTTAATCAACAACGAATAAAATATTTTGGAAAATTTTTCAAACATTCAAACCAATTGTGTAGGTATTTAATAAACAATTCGTTTTATGAAGCTGGTTGGAATATTCCAATGCAGATAATAACTTCAACTATGTATTAAATGACTCCCATAATCAAGAATGCAGTACTGAAATTAATCTTTTCAATTTGCAAATTTCATACAGTTGAAATTTAATTAGTTATGTGTAGGTGCACAAAATGGAGAGTAATTCAACACTTCAACGAAAAAAATTTCATTTTGTCTGTGACATTTTTAGGTTTTCCACATGTAGAGTTGGTTGGTTGTGCGAGTGATAAATGAAAATCCTCATTTGTTAAAGCAATCAATTAATTACAGTGATGACAATGTTATCATCATCATTATTTTAAGGGATGGATTAGAACCTTCGAAATTATTCGATCTTTACAGGATGGAAGGTAATAATATTTTTATCGCAGCTTAATTTTTATCAGCTTAACGCCATTAAAAATATTTCGCAAATGATTGTGATGAATTTTCATCCCAAAAAATTAAAAACGGACCATTTATCTTATGAAGGCTTTCAAATAAGAATCCGATATTAATTACCAAAAGTTATTTCTCTCAAAAGTATTTTAAGAATTTCATGTTGAATTTTTCAGAGCTTAAGCATACAGAATCAGGAAAAAGATAAAACTCAGCAATTAATTTTTTTAATTACGATTCACGAAGAATAAAAACTCTTGTAGCTTTCAATTACAATATAAAAAATTCTTTAAGAGGTGGAGAGCTTAAATATTTTTAAGGTTTAATAAGCATTTCACGAATATAAAAAAATTAAAACGAAAAATATTTCTACAAAATCACAAACATGTCTGGTAATGAAAGATTTTAATTACTGTTGAAAATATTTTTCATTTAAGTTGAAGTTCAAAGAGAGTTCTTTGATGAAAATATTTATCCCAATATATAATTATTTAATGTTTAAAGAAATTCAATTTGTTGATTCCTTTTATGTGAGAATTATGAATTTTAGGCATTCATTTGAATATTGGATAGCTATTTAAATATTTCCTGGAAAATCAATAGAATTTTGAGCGAAAAGTGTGATAAATATTTATCACAAATTTTATGATCTTTGCTTTAAATGTTTGCCAACATAAATACACTGACTTTGCTTAATTAAGTATCTGAGTGTAATTAAGAGAAAGAGTAGCTTAATTTCTTCGGAAGAACTGTTGAACCAGGAATTGCTATTATAAAACAAGTCAAATTTCAATTAAAAGATTACGCACTTTACCTTCTTACACCTTCACGTTCTTGAGCAAATTTTAAATATTTTATTTATTTACGTCATTAAAACTTGTTAAACATTTTCCTTCAAAATTTTATGAGTTGAGTAAGGTATGATGTGACCTTATTTAAAAATGATCTTTTCATTTCCTAAAACGTGAACCCACCTTGAATAAATCATCACAACATAAGCATAAACGTCGAAAAGAATTTACAACATAAAATATATTGACAAGGAGTTTACTGCTATTTATAGTGAGCGAAATGATTGATTGCGATGAACATGTCATCATGAAAGTATCTAACACCGTCAGTGATATTGCGATGGATCTGCATTTAAAATCAATATCATATCATTTTTGCAATGGAAATTTGACAAAAAATAAAATGTAAATGTGGCGTGGCGTGTCTCTCGCATATATGCGACGAATAATTTATCAGACATGAAGATCTGCATTGACGTCAAATGTCACGCATTTGTCTTTCTTCTTTTGTTATCTAAATTATTGGGAAATAAATTTCTTATCACTAAGTTACTGAAGTCATTTTTGATGTTTATGAAAAAGAATTACTGTTGCAGATGTTGTAAAAAGTTGACAATTTTAATCGGACATTATGAATCATAACTCATAAATAATGTTTTAATTCTACCCTCGGGCATTTCGAAGCAAAATTTACACTGGATTGAAATATTTTTGTCACTTGTTTTATGACTGTTTGCTTCACAATTCTATCTTTCCATCCATAAATCTTAAGCATGGCACAATGCCAAGAAACTTGTGTAGAATTTTCGCTTTTTCTTTTCATTTAAAGAATTTTTCCCACTAAATATTTTTATCAATTTTCTTTCGATACAACAATCGTAAATAGTTTGGTAAATTCTGCAGAAAACTAACGCCGTTTCATTTCATTTCATTATTGATATCGAATAAAAAAAAACTTTCGTTTTAACATTTCACGATATTTTTGTATGTGCCTTGAAATCTTACAGAATATTTACTTCAACGAGAACATAAAATTGGGATCACGAATAAGTCTAATGGTTCGTTTACTGAATTAAGAAATTCTTTATTCTAACATAGTTTCGAAAGTCAAGAAAGCGATGATACGAAGACGATTCTGCACATAAATGTTAAAGTTTAAATCAGGCAGAATTAATATCTCAATATCGATTCCTCAACTGTTCCAACCTCTAATAGATTCAAGCATTGAAATACGAAATAAAATAAAGCGAATTAAATTTATTTCAACTGTTCGTAATCACTTTTGATCGACTCGTGGGATAAAGAGAAAAATTGCCTTTGATGTCTTTCAAGAATGGTATTCATTCATTATGATATCTGGCAGTATCGAAAGATCCCTAAGCTGCCAAAATCAGCACCAATTTCCTCAATTCAACTGAATCCTCATTTTCAATTTCCTCATGAATCTCGTCAATGTCTAAAGCAAGTTTTCAAGTGTGTAATAAAAGCATTTTTATCCAATTCAATTCCATATAAAACGCAGAACAAAAAAAAATGTTCAAATGCCCTGAAGAATGGAAAATGGTAAGCGGATGGTAGCGATATAAATATAAAAGACGCAAAGCTCCAAAAAATCAAGAGTCGAGTGTCTCTTGAGAAGCTTTTCATATTCGTTATTTCATTTCATTGCTCCACTGTTCAGTATTGTGTGCTTTTTTTTATTATCATCTACTCACAGCATGAGATCATTGATACGGTGGGATTAGACTGGTCGTCGGGGTGCGACTATACGACGGATCAGACTGATCGTCGGGGGACTACGGTACGATAGTCAGTCGACGCGGGATGGTCGACGGATACAGACGTATCATTGGTGTCAGCGAACGGGAATTCTTTTTAAATAAGTCAAATAGTGACTAAACTATTAGAAGAATCCACTGACAAGTCATTTAATTCAAACAGTCTCGTAAAAAAGTGGAATAAAACGACAATTTAAAAGAAAAATGACGAAATTCATAAAATGACGCCAGATGACGAAATTCCATCGGAAATTTATGAAATTCCATCGGAAGTGGACAAAATTGAGTCAGGATATAAAAAAGGACAGCAGTAATGTGAGTATAAGTGAAATAAAGTGAATTTTTGTCGGAAAAGTGAAAAAAACACGAGGAAAAAAAAGATGACGCAATACTTGGAAAAATTATTTTCTAAGCAAAAACATTTGTGCTTACGACAATTAGTCTTTAGTAGACTTAAGATTAATAAAAGTCAAGTCGTCTTGTCAATTGTCTAATGTTATAAAGTTGTCAGTCAAAGTTGTAATAAAACAAGATGACGTCACTAAATAAGAAAATAAGGAATTGCCGCCAAAATGAAAAGATGACGCAATATGAAAAAAAAATCATTCTGAAGTCTAATTACATGACAACTAGTCTTCATAAGAGTCATGATTAAGGGAAGTTGAGTCGTATCGTCAAATGTCTAACTTGATAAAGTTAAAGTCAAAGATTTTTTTGAATTATAAGACGACGCCATTTTTTAATTTCATCGTCAATGACATTCAATAGTCAAATTTTTAGAAAGATACGACGTTTTGTCCTGTCAGAGTCAGCAAAAGACTGTCTATGTCTTATAAGTCGTCTATATTTGTCATCTCAAATGAGATTTAAAATGTCAAAGTCAAGACGAAGATAATTAAAAATCTTGAACAAGTCAAAAGCAAAAAGGAAGTCTCTGAGTATATTGTCAAACTGCCAAACTGTCGCCATTGTCATAACGTTAGACTGTCGCCATTGTCATAACGTCAGACTGTCGCCATTGTCATAACGTCAAACTGTCGCCATTGTCATAACGTCAGACTGTCGCCATTGTCATAACGTCAGACTGTCGCCATTGTCATAACGGCAGACTGTCGCCATTGTCATAACGTCAGACTGTCGCCATTGTCAAACTGTCGCCAACGTCATATTGTCAAACTGTCGCCATTGTCATATTGTCAAACTGTCGTCATTGTCATATTGTCAAACTGCCGCCATTGTCATAACGTCAAACTGTCGCCAACGTCATATTGTCAAACTGTCGCCATTGTCATGATTTCAAGCTGTCGCCATTGTCATGTTGTCGCCGTTGTCATGTTGTCAAGCTGTCGCCATTGTCATGTTGTCAAGCTGTCACCATTGTCATGATTTCAAGCCGTCGCTGTTGTCATGATGTCAAACTGTCGCCATTGTCAGGTTGTCAAACTGTCGCCGTTGTCATGTTGTCAGGCTGTCGCCGTTGTCAAGCTGTCGCCATTGTCGTATTGTCAAATTGTCGCCGTTGTTATGTTGTCGGACTGTCGCCGTTGTCATATTGTCGCCATTGTCATGTTGTCGGACTGTCGCCGTTGTCATATTGTCGCCATTGTCATGTTGTCAAACTGTCGCCGTTGTCATGTTGTCAAACTTTCGCCGTTGTTATGTTGTCATATTGTCGCCATTGTCATTTAAAAGGCCTTTTTCGTTCAAATCATTTATGTCTGTCACGTCAAATAAAATTGAATGAATTTTGTCGTTGCTTTAGTCAATCAAAAGACGAAAAAAAGGGGGTCAAAGAAGTCAAAAATATTTAATATTAAGCTTACGCAGTCGGGTATAATGTCGGTTTCTGTCAGCATCTGTCTCAGTATTAAGTCTGAGCCTTAGCGTTAATTGCCTGTTTAAAAAAAAATAAATGAAAGACTAGACAATTTGTGTTAGAAAAAAAGTCGACGCCATTTTTTATATGCCATTAAAAAGGCGACTCAAAGTCAACGAAAAGACAGTTAGGGGTCAAACACATGTCTAAGGTGCCATTTTAAATGAAATTTAAGCACAATTAAGTCGTTGCAGAAACAAATAGGAAATAAGTCAAAGTCAGAAGCAAGTCAAAATTATGGGAAAGTCTTTGAGTAAAACTGTCGTCATGGTCATAAGAGAAAGTCTAATTTTTGAGGAAAAGACGATGCTATGTCCTGTCAGAGACTACAAAAGGCTGTCTTTGTCATATAGGTCATTTGAAGTTGTCATCTCAAATAAGACTTAATGAATTTTGTCGTTGTCTTATTCAATAGAAAGACGGAAAAAAAGAAAGAAAAAAAAAAAAAAAACAAAAAAACGTCAAAGTCAAGAAAAAATTAAGCAGGATTAAACTTGCGTGGTTGGGTTTTAAAATCAGTCAGTCTTTAAACAATATTAAGTCTTTGTGCTAATCGTCTGAGTTAATAAGTCAATTCAATTTTTTTTTCTGTTGAGGGAAAAGTCGACACCATTTTGGAAATGACATTGAAAAGACAATTTAGCCTCACATACATGTCTAAAGTATTAAGCCATACAAGACAGTAAAAGGAAAATCAAGTCATTGTAACTAGGAAAAAGGAACAAGTCGAAGATGAGAGTCAATAGAATTAATTCTGTCAAGTCTCATAGAGCCTTATTTAATTGAAAAATAGACGATGCCATCTAAATAGTCAAATTATGCCGCCAATGTCAAGTCATAACGACGCCTGTCGAATTTTTTTTTTTTGTGTCTTTGTATTGACAAAAGAAAAAAAGAAACAAGTCGACGATAAAGGAAATTTAAAGTCAATACATTAGATTCCGTCAAGTCTCAGTTGATTGTGTGACTCATTAAAATCAAAGTCAATGTCGCTTCATTAAGGAAATAGACGACGATAAGTTATTAGTGTCATTTAAAAGTCAAAGGAAAGTCTTAGAAACAAAGAAACGATTCGACGCCATGTAATTGAAAAGACGAGTAAAAGTCAAAGACACGTCTAAATTGCTAAGTCAATTGAAAGTCAAGTAAAATTATTGTGTAGTCAAGGAAGTCTTTGTGCCAACAACAACAAAAATGAATATAAATAAGTCGAAGTCTAAAGCAAGAACAGGGATGGAAGTCCTGATGTGATAAATGAATGATTTCAGTCAAGTCTTACAGGTTCATTTGACAGTCAAATTATAGACAATGTCATTTAAACTCAAATTGTCGCCAATGTCATTTAATAGTCAATTTTGTCGTCAATATCATTTAACAGTCAATTTTTTCGCCAATAACATTTGACAGTCAAATTGTAGTCAATATCATTTCAAGTCAAATTGTCGCCAATGTCATTTAACAGTCAATTTTGTCGCCAATGTCATGATAGTCAAATTGTAGTCGATAACATTTAAAGTCAAATATTGTAGCCAATGTCGAATTTTTGCCAATGTCATTTGACAGTCAAATTATTGTCGCCAATGTCATTTGAAAGTCAAATTTTGCCGCTAATGTCATTTAAAGTCATATATTGTAGCCAATGTCGAATTTCTGCCAATGTCAGTTAACAGACAAACTGTTGCCAATGTCAAATGGTTGCCAATGTCATTTGGAAGTCGAATTTTGTCGTTAAAAGTCAAGTTTTGAAGCCAATGTCAAATTGTCGCTAATGTCACTTGACAGTCAAGTTGTCTCCGATGTCATTTGAAGGTCGAATTTTGTCGCTAGTGTCATTTAAAGTCAAATTTTGAGGCCAGTGTCATTTTGCCGCCGGTGTCATTTAGCAGAAAAGTTCTGATAAAACTCAAGTCGAAAAGTCAAGAGATAAGATGAGTCTGGACAAATTTTCAAGTCGGGATAAAGGGTCAAGTCAGATTAAATTCTTAAGTCAAGGAAGAGGATTCGTCAAGTCAAGTCAGAAAAAAAAAAAGAAAAAAAGATAAGTCAAGCCAGGAAGATAAGTCTAGCGAAAAGCAATTTTTTTTCGTCAAGTCAAAGAAGTAAGTCAGGATAAAGGAATCTTCGAGTCAAGAAGGAAAATCTGGTCAGATGCTCGGGTCAAGAAAGTGGGTCAAGTCAAATGGGATTCTAAGGTCAAGTCAAAGACATGGGCTAGTCAAGGAAATTTTAAAGTCAAGTCAGGTCAGGTGAATGAATAAGGTCAAGAGGATGAGTCAAGTCAGAGATAAGTCGAATATAAGTCAACCAATTCAAGACCAGACAATAAGTCAAATCAAGTGAAGTCAAGACGAGATAATTTTTTTCAAGTCTAGTCAAGTAAAGGAAATCAGACAAGTTGAAGTAAATCTTCAGACCAAGCCAAGCAAAAATGAAAGAGTCAACTAAGATTAAAAGGGGGAAATATATGGATTTAGTCACTTGGACATGATGAAGGAAAAAGTCAAGGGGATCAGGAGAGTCAACGTTTTGAAGAAAAAAAGAAATATTAAGAGGGGGGATGATACGGTGGGATTAGACTGGTCGTCGGGGTGCGACTATACGACGGATCAGACTGATCGTCGGGGGACTACGGTACGATAGTCAGTCGACGCGGGATGGTCGACGGATACAGACGTATCAATCATAGCTCAAGCTTTCTTCTTTTTTCTTTCTTTTTCTTCTGGCCAATTCAACCTTCGCTAAAAGATTTCCCAAAAGAAAATTAAACCTTCTGACGTCTCCCACGAAATATCAATTCATTTCACTTCAATTTTTTTTTGTCGCTTAATCTTCTTTTCATAATTTGCTTCATTAACCATAATAATATTAAATTTTAAATCTCCCAAGTGACTTATTTATGCCTTCTTTAACTCTCCGAATTTTGTTCTGTTGAGAATTGAACCGGAGATGAAAGTTGCAAAAAGTGATTTGTGAAATTGGTCAAAAGGAAAAGTTTTCAATCAAAAATGAATAGAATTGCAGAACATTTGGAATAGAAACTAAACATTTGATTCAAAAACTAATAATGCTTCAGTGAGCACATCCAAAACTCACCTACATGAAAAGCAACCAATTTTCTACAATTTTCTAAATTCTAGTTAGATGGTAAATGCTCATGTCGGACAAGACGACAATAAAATTTGAAAATATAAATTTAAATTCGTTCGTGTTTACAACAAAGATCTGATTGGACCATGATTGTTATGTTGAATTTGTAAACATTTAATTTGTGAACAAGAGAGCAGTGGTTAGTTTCTTGCTTCACTGTAAATTACATCCATGAAGTTAACAAGATTCTTATTCGAACACGACGTCAGCAAAATTCAATTTGCCTTTTTAACATTTCTCATTGTCATTTTCTCTTTTCAATTTCCTTCTTAGTTAAGGTACCTTCTTTTCCCTCCCTTCTTTGTAGAATTTAAATAAAAGATGAAAGTATTTACTTAAATAGAAAGAAATCAAACACGAATTTATTTTGTATTCGTATGACTGAACAAAAATTAAACAGAATGATGTGTGCTTATTGTTCAGGAATTCTTTGAGTGAGTAAGTAAGTAAGTAAGCACTCAAACAAATTAAAAAGCTCAAGGGGTTCTTTAAAATGAAAACTCATTTACCCAAATATATTATCTGACTTCAAACCCAAAAAGTTTCCCTCACAAATGTTGAAGCACTATCAGATAAATGTAAAAAGCGAAAGCGTATAGTAATAAATTGAAAGTCTCTTGAGGGAGTTCTGGAAAATTGGAACACTCTTCTGAAACTTGTAATATTAAACGTTGAAAGCCGCGTTAAAAGCAGTTGAATTAATATTAAAATGTTAGCAGGTGTCATAGAAGAATTAAAATTTAAAGATTTCAGAATGTTTTGTCAGGTTATGTTAAATGAATTGTTAAATTTAAAAGTAAAAGGAATTTATTGAATATTTTTAAATCTTCTATTGATCAATCTTTAACTCATCTTTATGTATGAATATCGATTCAATGAATTGAAGCGAAATTCAACAAAGCTTGAACATGTGAAACAACGAATGCGTATACGCAAGAAAATATCAAATACCACCATAAAAATATTTGCTTTTGGGGCTAACACAAAAAACAAGCTGGCGTGTTTGTCATGTAAACATTGAAGTTCTCTGAATCAACAGAAAAAATTCGTAGCAAGCATATGTTCGCCTGAAAATTTGCTCATCGTTACGGAAATCTGTTGTGCTTTTCTGTTGCTCGTGTAGTAAGCACATGAGTTAGTAAGGGTCATGTAAATATAATAATGTTCACTATTCGCACGTCATTTATAAATTACAACATAACAGAAGTTCTAGGTAAAAGATTTCCACACAAGAATTCCTCGATTGAACAAAATGTATATGAAAGAGATTAGCTCACAATGCTAATTTAAGTATGAATTTGTAAAAGCCACAAAGCAATAAAAGCTTTTCACTTCTGTTGAATCAATAAAGCAATAATGTATTCACATTTCATTAAGCACACGATCAATCCTAAGCTGCGGTAAATACCGTACAAGTTCTCATGTGTCAAATGAAAAGCTGGGTAAATTCTCGAATCATTTCGGAAGCTTTTCCTTTCTCTATTCCTTCAGGTGTTATCCCTCGCACCTTGACACTCTTTCTTCTTTATTGTTTCTTTCACAGAATGAAACTGCCACGAGGCGATTAAAAAATCCCATAAATTCTCACATTTTTTTCTCTTTCTTGTTGTGTGTTTTCACTTTATTTGACAACGAGCTTTCCCTTAGAAGTTTTTATAGAGATCTCGTGTGATGTTCATCATATTATGCTCCCCTAGAGGATTCTCGAACGTGTGAATGAAAAGATTTTCTCTCTCGTTTCAAATATGGAGACTCTTGTAAAGATTCTACGTTTATTTTCGTTAAGGGACAATGAACGAGCAACTTCAGGCATTTCAGTGTCACACAAAAGGTATATCATGGAATTTAGGTCTTGGTGATAAGACGACTTAATTAAAGTCGATAAAGGTTTTCCTAAAATAAGGTGAAGAGATATTCAGAATATTTAAAATTTTAAATCCCAACGATATTAGATTTTCAAGCAAAACTTTTGACTTGTTTATAAAAATTAAAGCTGGAAGTTGAGCTGAATATGCTGTGAATTGACACAAATAGCAACAAGCAGTGAACTTTGAATATGGGGCACTCTCTAATAATTGTTTCAGCATCATAATATTTGAGGACATTTCTGTCACTCTTAACATGTTTGAAGAAAAGTTCGTAATTGATGTAGAACGTTGTAAACAAATATAAATTCTGTCGTTGAAAACCATTGCCAAAGTCAACAAATGACAACTTTTTCTTTAGTATAATCCCACTACGACGAATTTAAAATTTAAAATTAATTTAAATATAAATCACATTCAAAGGCAAATTGGATGGAAAATTGAATAAATAAATTATTCGGTTATGTTGATGTAGAAAAATTACATTTAATTAATTAATGTCAACAACATTTGAATGTTTACCATGAAAAACTTTAACTTTGTTTATTATAGAAGTTTAAAATGAATACTGCAGTCTGAATGTGACATAAAGTTGAAACAAAAATCTAGTTTAAGGCACTTCTAGTCATTTTAATTTCATCACTAAACATACCTCAATCAGTAAATTTCTCTTCTTTTAACTTAACTACTTAAAAAATCTTTTGTTTTTTCTTAGTTGTCAACAAGCCATCTTCTAAGTTTTTATGTGTGACTATAAATAAACCGGAATAAGCCAATAAAGAACAAGACATATCGCCACATAAATCTTCTTTGCGTTGGAGGATTGAAATCAAAATATTTGAAGAATTGAAGATTTAAGAGAAAATCGTTGGATAGAAGGAAAAGTGAACAATTTACAACTTAATTTACTTCAATCTTATGTTTCGTACATATATATATGAATACGTGAAGGAAACTTCTCGTATTTCGTTAAGTGTCTTAAGTGATATACCCACATCTATTATCGTTATTTGTTTTAAGTGCTACTATGAACTGAAAGATAAACATTCTTCACTCGTTTTTGTGTTTACTGTTTACCAGGTAGGGAAATCTTTAAGCCATTAAGACCAAATGATCTTTTAAGAGAGGTGAAGGTTCCGCATTCAATGTAATGAGAATACCGAAAATAACCAACATACATCCAACATACATTTTTATGCTTTCAAGCAATTCCATCTCTCTCATTCTCTTATCATGAAAATATTGCAAGGAAATAAATATTTAGCGTTTTCAGTTATTTCCTTCTTTACATTTAGTTTGTAGAATATCTACATGAATGGGATGACTTAATTTCTGTTAGTTCTAAAGGGATTTCCTTTTATGTAAGTAAGTTTCAAGTCAACGATGAGAAACGTTGATGTTGAGATTTTCAACGGATGCAAGTAAGAAAGTTCACTACGAAAATAAAAAGAAATTCCTTAAATTCTTGACTTGTCGTATCTAGTAGGAATTTATTTAATAAAGTTTCGAAAACCTGTTTTTCCACAGAAATTTTCATATTACATATTATCATAATAATAATAATTCAAATTGCTATACTCTCATACGAATTATGTCATTTTGTTAAGCACCATGAAAACATGACAGAATTCTTTGGATTATGTGGATTATGTTTATCTAATGCTAAGATACATCCTATCACTTCAAAGTACTTCTCGACTCTTAACAAACTTTTTTTGCGAGTATTCAAACTTGAGTGAAAATTTATCTTGAAACTTTAAAATGAAAATTTGTTTGAATTTTGAAGTTTCTTGGTTAGTCGCATTCTTGGCTTTTCCCAAGGCTTTTCCTTCAACGATTCATTTTTATGGTAGGATAAAGAATGCTTTGCGTCAATAAATTATGTGGAATTTGGCAAAATGTTGAGAACATGTAGGTATAGAATTCAATATTTATTTTACTTCTTCCTTACTTTATCGTACCCGAGGTCATGCAACGAACTGGAAAATTTATTTATTGTAAGAACATAATCCTCAATTGTGTTGTGAACCGACAACGAAGATATGTAGTCGTTCATGTGAATAGAAGAAAAGTCACTGAAACTCACCTAGAACTACGAATAAACTGCTTAATGTGTAAATCCAATATAGGCTTGAAAGTCGTCTGTGATTCCACATTTTTCTTCCACTACATGAAGAGTTATTGCTTGCTTTGGGAATTATCGTCCATAAATAAACTGATACACCATTTATAGCTTCTAACTCTTCTTAAACATTTGATTTCATTAATTATGAAGAGAATTCAATTTCTTTATGTTTGCAGGTAATTTTTCTTTTAAAAATATGAAGTTGGGTAAGTTATGATTCAAAATTCTTGTAAATATCTTTAAGTTTATTGAATGAATGTTGGAGTAAATCTGTGCAACTATTTAAAATTGAACTATTTCATTTCCTTCCACAAAAACCACCCACTTCCTTGTACTTCATCCTTGTACTGCATTTCTGAATGTTGTGAATGCATTTAATTGACATGCAATTTCAAACTTTTCAACTTGACTCAATTGGAGAAAGCATAAATACAAATATGAAGTGCATTATTTTCTTAAATCCTACTTGCTTCACTAGTGATTAAAACTAAAATTTATTCTCATAAATTATTAAAATCGCTTGAGCAACTTATCAACCGAACTTAACGACTTGACAGAAACCACGAGATTAAGTGAAACAAATGAAAACAAAACCCGGGAAGCAGACGAAAAATTATTGGAAAATATTAAAATGTGAAAATGAAATTTTCCTTCGTTGGAAATGAAATTCTCTTGAATGGAAGAAAAAAGATTCGAAAATCTCAAAATATCTGAAAGAGAAAAAAAATTTCTATAGTCAAATGACGCGATCCCGTAATTTTCCTCTCTTTTCCAACAATTTTGAAATTGAAATTTTCTCTTCACACATCACAGCTGACAAAATATACCATTAAGATGTTACGATATTTATACATTTCCGATCAATTGAAAGCAGGTCGCAGATGTAACTTCTAACTTAGATTTCATGCATGTGAAGAATTTCCTGTTAAAAATGATTAGATAAGAATGTGTCGCAATTTTTTTTATTTTTTAAATACTTCTATATAAGACTAAAGTAGATATCATGATAATGAGTAAAAATATGTTGTTACAAACTATGAGTAGATAAATTATGTAACAACATCATAAACGTGATTTGAAATCATAAATTTCAGAGTTCAAGTTTCATCAAAAGATTTTTATAAGCTTTACAAATTTATAGAGTGAATGCCCTATGCTTTGCTTATTAGCATAAATTTAATTAAGATACCATAATAACTAATAAATTCCCCCCAAGCGGAGTTTTAAAATATATCCAGCGCTTTAATATTAAAAGCTTATATGTAAGAAAGTTTCAGGTGTCATGTTAATTTATGTTGAAAATGAAACTTATGAGATAACAAAGTTACTACTTCATTGCCGTTATTGTCACGTCTCATCCTTGTCATCAAGTTGTTCTTGACAATTTCGAAAGTGTCTTGATTTCCGCTCATGCTGAAGATTTTTGTTTTGAAAAGATATTTTTTATGACACGTTTCATACGTCAGGCGTTGTCTGATTCACGACTCTTGTTACAATAAATAACAATAATTTTTTTTCTTGTTTCATCGCTGTTTTCAACGACTATGTTTTCCTTTAATTTTTGAAAGCGAATGTGAACATTTTTAAAGATGTCTATAAAATATAAGAAAATCTGAAGTTATGTTTGGAAGGTGGGGAGTATAATGATGATTAAAAGCCTTCATATTGTCGCTTTCCATCTAAAAGATTACAAAAATTTCTGAGTTGTATAAACAAATTGTAATTGATATAAAAGTAAATATTGTTGAGAATATTCTTAAATTTATTATGCTACGATTATTAGGAAAATAAATACAATTCACATCAGAACCGAATATTGTTTAGTTTTCATATTATTTCCATAGTTCGCAGACTGTTTTTGGAAATGACACTTCAACATGGTAATTCTGTTGGAAAAGCTCAATTTATTATGTCCACCCACACCTTTCAATAAACGAAATTGTTTTTTTCTATTTCGGTTTTTTGTATCACGTAGGCTTTTGATTGTGCTATGACGACAAAATATCGTACATGATTCTATCTCTTTGATTTGGTGTTAATTTCAATTTCATACACTTGCAAAATAATCATCTTCCGTGTGCTAACTAATAAAATGAAATGATTTCCAAATAGTAGTGAGAAAGTTTTTCATTTGTTTTGTGAGTTTGATAAAACAATTTTTCTTTCCCAAAATTCGCATCGAATATTGCGCTGAATATGTAAAATTTTTATATTTTTTCGCAATGCTCTTCAATGAAAAATTCTTTTTGTTAACATGAATGAGATGAACACAATAATAAAAATATGAAAGTTTCTTTTTATAACTTCTTTCATTAGTAGTTATGGATGACATGCAAGCTATTTTCAATTGGCAATGTGAGAAGCATAAAAAGAATATTTTACAAATATTGACAGCATATATATTTTATGTTCTTGATTTATACACGTTTTTATTTAGTTAGCTATGATCAGAAATTTGAAATGTTGCATGAATGAATCTTCTTTATTTGTCAATATTTTTAAAGAATCAAAAAGATAAATATTCAGTGATGCTCACTGATTGCTTCATTTGTTTGGATGTGATATGAGACATGTGAATTCTCAGAATGATTCTTTCTTGGTTGACAAAAACCACAATGGAAGGAAATTTTTGTTTAGCAATTCAGATTCAAATTCAATGTCATCTCTTTAATATTTGAAATTTATACAATTCCAATTGATTTGCTTATTTTCCTGACTTCGACATCTTTTATTAGCTTCTTCATTCCTCTCTTCAACATTAAACACATTTTGGATAGCAATTCGATAAATCATTGCGTGATGTTCCCATGTGTTGAATATTTAACAAAGGTTCACATGTTCGAATTTATAAACAGACAGCGCACGTATATTCACTTTACTAATCTCAATGATTTATTATCATGATATCTAATGAAGGTTTTTCTCAGTGGTTATTTCAATTTTCAATACAACTTTCTATTGCAACTGCCTACACATATTTTCAACATATATTTACATACTTCTCGTTACAGTTATCATAATAAATTCACTCTAGGGAGTGTCATATTTAATATTTAACATTAAATTCTTGTTGTAGGGGTGATTATTGTTTGTCTTTCGCTTAGGACATTACAACAATTCCAGATAGAAAGCCGCTCCACATTATTGCTGAATAAATAGTTTCAATTTATGACAACTCATGAAACATTTCATAGATCTAAATGTGTAGTAAAAATGATAATTTTTACTATAAATGTTTAAATGATGAGTGAAAATGACAACATTTCAACTTAATGTAATGAAAAAATTGATTCAATTTTATAGACATTTCAGTTGCTTTTTACGAAGTTTCAAAGAATTTTCTGAAAGCATTGAACAGCTTATAAGCAAGTTTCGCACTTAAATCTGATCCATTGGGTCTCTTGTATCTTGTATCTTGTATCGTTGTATCATCCATCCATCCATTCAATTCTAGCGATGAAACTGACATTCATAAAAAAGAGGAATACGAGAAGTAAAAGGAATAAATATTGAAAGCACGAATCAGGCTAATGGTTCGGACACAAAATGAATTTTTCTTTCTACGCTCTGCTAACTCTCTTAACATCAACTTTGCTGAGGTAAAATAGCTACGTGATGCAAAGCTTGCTACCGTAGGAATTATGCTACTCTATGATTACAGGAAATATATCAGAATGTCTAACTTTCATTCTGTGTATGAAGTTTTGTCATAATCAACTCTCCCCGCAACGTTTACTGACCGCAGGCTTACACACATTTCAAAGACACTTGAACCCCATTGAAAGATATTTATTAGCTTTTATTCGGGAATTTATAGTTTCACTAATCATATTTTAATAACGATTCTCTACTAAGCTGTCAACATAAACATTGCACCTTCTTCAACTCCACCTTCCTTAGTTTCATCTTAAACCAAAACTTGGTAGAGAAGACGTCCATCTTTAATCTAAGATAGCATGTGGACTAATGATAATTTTTATACAATTTGCTAATAAAATCTGGAGAAAACGTGACTGTTTCAAAGGAAAGTTTTCAATAATTTTCCACATTCAGTTCGATGATTAAAAACAAACTTCACAGTATCTTTTGGTTTTATATTTTCATGGTAACATAAATGTTGGGAATAGAACTTTCAGCATAAATTTCATGAATTTTCTTGTTAGAACATTCAACTATGTTCAAACTTTGTCATTACGATTGTATGTTTGTTTTCAATACTAGAAAATTATTTTGTTAACAATGAAAGCTCTAATTGCAAATTTTAGTTTCAAAGTAAGCTCAACAATGGAGCGAATATCATTTAAATGTCTAAATTAAATTTGAAACTTTGTCATTTGTTAATTAGTGGGAAGAATTCGACCAATTCAACATTGCAAAGATAAATTAATGTTTATTTTTCATGAATCCTTAGTAACTTCCATTCCTGGGATTGCTTTTATGAGATTTCGATAAACGAAACTCAAGGTGGAGGCAGTTTTTGAAATTGCTTTATTCCATCTTTGATTAGTCACGTAGAAGGTCATAAAAATACTTTTGTTTGCTTGCTTTAAGCACTTTTCATACTAGAAGTTTAATTAGGTAACTTGAGAAGATCAACAAATTCAGTGAACACATTTAAGATTACTTTTCTTAAATTTTAAGCAATTCCTCCATTTTATTCAAGAAGAAAAATTCTCTTCATTTGATTTATTTTTATATTTCAATTTATTTTCCTTTTAATATCAATCAATTTTCAATTTGTTAGCTTTTCTCCTTTAGAATAAAGATAAATGTATTTTCTCATAAATAATTTTTCTTCAAGAGTGAGAAGAAATCACTGAAAGTCACAGAACATCGCAGTTACTCTTATAACTTCATCATAAAAGCGAACAGTTTAAATGAGCTCCTAATGAACTTGACGTTTACTCGTTTCAATTTTTATATGAAATTTACCAAGAAATTTACCTAGAAACCTTCGAGAGAAGATGAAACAAATTATAATAATCTCTAGCTATGCAACAAATAAAACCAGAAACTTCCACAAGGAGTGTATGTTTTTCCCTACCAGCATGTTTCAAGAATAATATTAAAAGCATTAACAAATTTTCGCATGAAAAGTTTATTTCATCGCGTTCGGGAAATTTTTTTCCAGCTGCTACGTCTGGGAAATTTTATAATTAAAATTTTAATCTTTTTTTGTTTCCACTCGATATAAAAAAGGTTTTCTTGCTCTCATTTAAAATATTTAATTGTTCAATATTCACCACATTTCCGAGTGCGTTCAATTTATATGAAGTTATGAAATGAAAATAATGAGATTATAAAAGTAAATCGGCCGTGTCGATAAAAAAACACTTTGAAACGATTTTCCCTTTCATTTTAGTCGAAATTTTTTCCCGCTCGTTCAATGATTCAGATTAAAAATTTGTGTTTAATTTTTCTTCAACCTTTATTTTCGGTTCATTGTACCAGATAAATTTTGGAAGTTCTTTAATTCAAATCTATCAGGATATCATTTAGAACCTCATTGTTTCAAGTTCACATTTTTAAAACTCAATATCTTGAAAAGTTTCGTAATGATAAGGTTAATGGAATCTGTCGATTCAACTAAAATTTATTCATTAATTTTGAAATTTGTAATTGAAAAATTTTAATAAAATAAAGAAAGATTCATAACGCTTCCCTTTTGCAAAGTTTTACAGTACAGCCTTGAAGTATTCTTGCTGCGGGTAGGATTAAAATCTGTTATCGTTAATTTTAAGATCAGTTGTAAGTTTGTAGTTCCGAGCCAGAATTGAATTCCGTGCCAGAGATGCACCAAGCCAGATTTTATTTCATAACTTTATTCAACTGACTGTGAATTTCTTGAGATTAAAATTGATTTCACTTTAATTGGGCATGCCCGACAATCAGCAAATCACCCTTAACTGACCCAATTTTTGATGCCATCTCATAAAACTTTCAATAGCACCACTTATAAACCAAAATCCCGAAAATATATAAATAATTTATGTGAAGGGATCAAAAATGTATTGTCACAAATCACAATTTTGATTGATATTACATAATAGAAAAAGAGATTGAATTGTGGTAAATCTTAATTATTTAATTAACATTATTTATACAGCTTCAAGCCAGTTTTTTGCAATCCTTTGTAAAACTCGCTAAAAGGAAAATAAATTAAGAGTTTAGTAAGAATGAGAAAAATGATTTGCTTTGTGAAATGTTTTGTTAATAAGAGTAAGAATTTCAAAGTTTCAACCCCAGAACTTTCTTCATGCCTTTTGCCTCCTTTCCCTTTCATGCCAAGAATCCAGTTTTTGTTTTCTTTTTATTCCAGTGAAAGCTAAACAATTAAAAATTTAGGGTTGAAATTCATTAATCATTTTATTTGAGTAAAACCGAGCCTCTTTATTAAAAATGAATAGAGTTGAGCGAGGACTTTAACATGTAGAACATTATGAAATGAAGCCTTGAGGAGAGAAATAATATTAATCAAATTTAGACGCAGCAGCGTTACTTGTGTATGATTTACATTTGCTTTCTCATAACTGTGAATAAGATGAATTAAGAAATATTATGTCTAAGTTATTTATTACCTTTTAATAATTTATAATTTTCCTAAGCAGAGAACCTTACAAAATAAAAATTTGTTTACAAGAAAGTTCAATATCCACGACTGACTACTCATCTTTTCCTATATATTTACTCAAATTCAATACCAAACTTCGAGTTTTTCCCTCAATGTTACAGGTTTTCTACCTACAAAAAGCCTGTCAATCAATCTTAATTTATTTTTTACGTAACACATCAACGCGATGGAGATTTAAGATTGATTTTCTCGATTTTCTAAAGCAATGTAGAATAACAAATACTCGAGTGAAATTATTTTTATTTTAAATGGAATATCAACATAGCTTACGTATTTTACATGTAAACAATAACATTGACGTATTCTAAGTCATCGTAGGATCTTCCGTTTCACCACATATGGTAGTTTAATTGTGGCCCCATCGTTAAAGAAATCTGTTGTACTTTCCCTTAACGATTTCTATGGACGACCAGTGAACATAATCGTTATCATTTTTCAACATTTGAATAGTTTGCGTAACTATTGTGAGAGTATAAATATTTAAGGGTGTAGGAAAAACTCGTTTATTCGGAAAATATGCTCCACTAAACAATAATGAGGGTCATTCCCATATTGGAGATAGAAATTCGTAAGCAGAAAAGATGGGATATTCTGTAATAATCCATTCAAGTTGTTCAAATATCCTTCAGGGAAATAAAGAGAATTTAAACAAATCAAGGAAATCTCTTTAAAAAGAAGTTGATTTGATCATTTCACGATTCAAAATATAAGAAAATATTTTATAACTGCAACCTTTAATATTACAGTGAGAAGATATCAGCGTTCTGAATCATTTTGTAATAACTTTTTATTTGTATCGTCAATACATTAATAATCTTAGACAATGTGCTGTATTCACCTGTCAAGTAATTAAATTACCGATAATAAGTATTTACTTCCATCAAATTGAAACAGCGATTAATCTACTTTATCTGTCTATCATCATATAAATAATTGATTAAACAACAACTGCTTTGTTTATGTTGTATGTTGAAAGTTAGATTGAGGGTTCAGTTAGATAATTATGGTTGATTTCTATTTTCATACTTTCAATTAGTTCTTGAAGTATGAAATTTAATTTGAAGATTTCCTACATGAATTCGATGTGATTTTCTTGTTACTTGATCTAAACAATCTTCTCTTTTCAGTCTGTTAATATCAACATCAAACACTAAGTTGAATGCCAACACGTTTCTAAAATATCAAGATCGTTTATAAATAATTCAATGTGTCAAGATACTTTTAAACTTTTTCTTCGTTCTGCTTCTAGATTTATATCTTTCAATGTTTGAAAATATATTCATGAAACAAATAAATAAAATAAACTGTTTAATTAGAAAAGTATTTGAGTGTCATAACAAGAAAAGAAATTATTTTTATGGGAAATTTTAAATTTTTCGGTTTTTCATGACTTTTCAAAATTAGCTAAGATGACAATTTAAAATCAGGTATTGGATTAAATGAAGAACGCATCGAGAATTTAAAGAAGTTCTGTATGCCCTTGAAACATTAGAAATTTTGAATTCCAAACGATTTTACATTTAAAAATTCTCCTCCCCCTCAATAACGTTGCTCAGACGCCATTTTGAAAAAGTTTAAAATGTCAAACTGGTAGATAGACTAGGTAGGTTTATCAATTTTCTATGAATTCAGAATGAAACGAATTAAGGGGAAGAAAATTTGTTTCAAAATTACAGGAAACGACCGCTGCAGTTACAAGTTATTAAAATACGTTAAGAAGCTGCTACCTGATTTGATAATTATAAAACATTTTTACCTGGATAATTAAAAATTCAATCAATTTCCTTGGGTGCAGTAATTTAAGTGACATTAAAAAACTATTAAGAAATATATGCATGCAGCATCTGCACGCATCAACCAATCACATTCCTTCAAAGATAATAAAAATTGTCAATTTTATGGGAAATTCCGATTTCGAAAAAGGAGTGGGAGCTAACTGACTTTTAATCATTTCGAAGTGTCAATATAAGTCCACAAAATTCTTTAGTGTTCATCACATATTCTTAAACCTTCAAAAAGTAAAGACGTGTTTCATTAATTCAAAGTAAAATTATTATCAAGTATTATTATTAAACATGAGCAAGAAAATGGAAAATGTTCTAAAAAGGTGCGAAATAGTGCGCCGACGTTTGATGGTTCGTGGTGGTATAAGAAGAACAGTGCAAGACAATCAGCCAAAGTCAGTTGCTGAGACTTTGCGTGAATCAATTTTTAATTCATGCCTTGACAAAGACTATAATAAAAGCATGAAGCTTATAAGTCAGTACGAAAAAGAAAGTGTGGAGTATTCATCTCAGATGAAAATTATTAAAGCAATTTGTATGATATTTTTGGATATCCATAGGGAAGAAATTATGACGATTTTAAGAAATGTAATCGGAAGAGACCCTGACGACAGTTTTGCTCTCTATGCGACTGGGCTATTCTACTATATGCAATGTGAATTGGAGAAAGCATGCGATTATTTTAGATCAGCTATTGGGAAAAACTGTAATGAACCGCTTAATCAAGCACAACATTATTTGAATAATACGGAAACTATACTGGAATCGATAAAAAATGGTAATTGATATAAATTAACTTATTTCCTGGAAATATATTTTATTAATCAATTTTTTTTTCATTTCAGCAAAGCATCAATCAGAGTGTGGACAGTACCATAATGCCTTCAGCCATATCAAGCAGGCTACCGAAGTTGATATTGACAACGGAAAATTGCAACATAAATTGACAATGATGAGTCATCATTACAAAGACTTCCTTGAAATAAGCCTTGAAGCCAATAATGGAGAGAATTCTACAAAAATATTCAAGAAAGTTGAGAGTTTAATACTCGCTCATGACATGCCACACGCTAAAAAATATCTGAAAGTTCTTTCAGAAGGGCGATCAAAAAACGGCGAATATTTTTACTTAAATGCACTTTTTAACTACAAAAATGGAGAGCTGATGGAAGCCAAAGATTCTTTATTGAAATGTGTTAAACTTTCGTTTTCTGATCCAAAAGTTATTGCTTTAAAACAAAAAATCGAACAATACAATGACCTACTCAAGTCAGTTGCATTGAATATGAAAGCAAATCAGTATAAAGAGGCTGTAGACATTCTAACTAATGCAATTAGCATTGATAAATATAACCATCCTTTAAATCAAATGATTTATCTTCAAAGATCTCTTGCCTATGCAGCTCTTAACGATATGGCTAATTGCAATCTCAATAGAGTTTTATTCGCGCAAGAACCTCAGTTTTAGGTTCGAAAAATCAAATCTCACTTGCACAAAAAACTAGACTCTAGCCTAGAGTATACATTTCCCGTAACATAAACCATAATGCATAAATATGCATTCCTTAATTTTTTTTGTACTTTTTTCATTTCTTCTTATAACTAAAAATTAAAAAAAAAATAAAAAACTTCAATAAATGTTTAATTAATTAAACACCAAATTTGCATTCTTTTCATTCATTTTCAAAATAAAATCAATTTATAATCTTTTATTTCAGGATTAAGTTGACTTAATGACTTTGTCAAGATATCGATATTGAAAGACATTTAAATTTGACCTTCTTTTGACGACGTTTTTAAAAAATATAGCTTGTCATAGCTGTGAAATAAAATCAAATTTAAAAAGAAATTCAACATGATTTTTACATCATCGTCTTAATCTTACAATTTCTGAATACTTTGCGCTTTAGGTTTGCTCATCGGCAAACGTAATTCGAGTATTTTGTTTTCGTGGTCGTTTAAGCTTTGAATCTGATACCTTTGTTAGAAGCTTCTTCGAACATCTTGTCTTGATGTCAAGATTTTCTAGGAAATATTTAATGAAATGTATGAGAAGCAAGAAGAATTATTTGTTTTTGATAATGTTCCTTGGTATGCCAAAATGAAGAAGAAAACTTTATTGTTTTCACGTATTATGCATATCAACATCTTTTTAAACATAATCATAATCTTGAAATTAAAACCTTTTGACTTGAAAATACTTTTGCGAGTTTTTTCTTTCCTGATTTAAACATGACTGCATTGCCTACTACCTAAATAAGGAAAATATTTTTCCAAAGCTTTGAAGAGATTTTTTAAATATTTTCATAGATATCCAAGCGTATATATTTGTTTCCTCATGAGAGTATCTTTTCGTGAGTGTATCAAACAAGAAACCTTTTACTGATACTGAGAGGTAAATAAATAACTTTCATTTTTCAATAGAAAAGCATGTTAACCAACTCTTTCATCTAGGGGGCAAATTTGCTTCATTGGCCTAAGTGTCTGTGCCATCGGATTTGTATAAGAATCGTATCGATTGACTAATCGGTACGATCCTGGTTCCATTCTCGGTGGTGGTCACTTGCGCTGAGGTTTTCAGAAGTTTAGATACTTCGCCCCTGTTTCATTTAAAGTGGAATTTTTCACTAGGATATAATAAACTGAAATGTCTCTTTGTATCAAATTTGATAAAAATATAAATTTGTCAAATATAAACAATGAAGAGTATTCAGGAATATACAATCCTGTGGAACGCTACTGAAAGTGGAACCTTCATCATTCAAGTGATGAGACAAAGGGAGCGAAACAAGTTGGAATTTATATTCCTGTATTCTTAATCGCTTTAGTGTACAGTCGTGCACTCCCTACTCTGATGATGATGATGATGAACTCTTTCATCTCGTCCTTAGAAAAAATTTTCATTGGAATATCTTTTCATTATTGAATGCCTCCAACTTAAAGTCAACAATTTTTCAATACCTTTCCCATGAATTTTATTCCAATATTTCAAAGTTTATATTTAGATTTAATCAATCCTTTAGTATTGCAAGAAAGTATTTTAATAAAGGAAAAGGTTATTTGCTTTGAATCAATTCCGTAGCAAAATCTGTTTAGGTATTTTTTTATTTGATATCTTTTGTGAAACACTTAGGAAGCATTTACAAGGTATTAAGAGTCGTCGTTCATTGAAATAATTTTATTTGTTACTTCTTATCAGGTTTCTGGTTATGTAAGAACGATTATCTTACTTAAAAAGAATGCTTTGAAACGACTGTGTGAATATTACGAATCTTTGATAAATAAATATTCATGGTGAATAATAACAAAAGCTGATTTAGCACCTTCCCACGCATCATTCTACAAAATATGATAAGCATTCGAGGAAATCTACGGTTTCAAAATATCTGAAGACTTTCAAACGAATTTTAACTTCTCTTCAGTCAGTTTTTCTTAACATAAATGTTCACCCTAACAAAAAGTTATTACATTTTCCACATTTTGACAGTTAGACATGCAGACAAATGGAATGGTTCGTAAAAAATCAGACATGCTTTACATTTGAACGTTCAAATCAACTCGATTTGATGAGAAGTTCATAAACTGCATTTCAAATTCAAGCAATAAAATTTACTGCAACTTAATGAATTTACAGGAGTTGAACCCTTTTCAGAAGAAAACTTTCTAAAAATAGAATTAAAATGATGTTATTATTTATGTAAACTAGACTTTGACTATATTGAGATCGACATAAAGCCAATAACATTTGTGACATGAAATGGACTCTCGAGAAAAGATAATCAGATCAGTTGGAAACTCCTACAAATTAAAGATTTTGGAATTTCATACTCGGTGCATTCTCTTTTGATGGGACTTTCTTGTAATAACATTGAATCAATATGCATGGAATTCCTTTTAAAAAATTAATTAAATCTCGAAATTTTCATATTTTTACCTGCGTGGGAATTTATCTTTACAGAAAGTGTTTGAATGTTTTAAATGCAGAGAAAGGATATTAATTATGTATCATAAATGTAATTTTGAACACCTTGGAACATAATTTAATGCATTATTGATACATTATTGAGACAGAATTGGAATGGTAAATTTTAAGGAAGCTAAATTGTAATTAGCAATTGTCTGCTAGGTAAAAGAACACCAAAGAAAAGTTAAATAATTGTATTTTATGCCTGCTTATAATTGAAAAACGTTTTTCATGTTAACATTAAATTCAGTTTTTTTCTTAAGAAAAACATCACGTAAAGAACGTCGAAATGAAATGTTAAATTGATTCACTTCTGTTTCCAAGTATTTTCTACATCTATCATGAAGTGTAAAAAATCTGACAGTCGTGCCAACCCTTACAGATTTTGGACGACGTCGCATCTTCAAGAATCCTAGGAATGCTTTTATGAGAAAATCTATGAAATAAATTTTTGGATTTTATCATCCAAGACAGGTTCATAAATTGTGGGAAAAGAATTTTTATTTACGTACATTTCAAAATGAATATGTTAAACCGGAAAAACCGAATTGAAATCTCAGCTCACATATTTCCATGAATACTGTAATATCACATATTATGTGTATTAAATATTCATAGAACAATGAAACGAAAGCTGTTTTGGTTGCTTCTCAGTCATTCGGAACAATTTTTGACAATCCATTTGTGGCGTCTTGTTGGAAGGTTTTTAATTTTTTTTTGGAAAGCCTTTTCTAAATGGAAAAATTATTCAAATTTATTTCATCATAAATACTCATTTCATTGAGCTAAGGTTTATGTATTTTAGTTGATGGGGTTCAAAAAGAAATAAATGTGAAGCTTGAAATATTTCTATTTTAAACATGAAGGTAATTATGGCTGGAAATGTGAATGAAGCGTGTAGCAAGATAGACGTCTTGAACAATTCTCTTGTTTTATATCATTTCTCTCTTCACAAATGAGCTATTCTTTCTTACAGTTATTGCAAACGTCTTCTCAACAAATTATTCTTCATGTTCATTTTGCATTAAATTATTTTCTACGAAATGAAGTCGTTAAACAAATCATTCGCCTTTCTACCAATGCGTATTGTTGAATTTCAACAAACTTGTGTGAAAAGTTGTAAGAAAGCTCTTCTCATTTTCATTTCAGTTCTATATTGATATGAACTCTTTTCTCCATTTTTCTTTAAATTTTCCATTTAATTTAAAGTGAACATTCCTCCGTTGTCGTAGATATCACATGAAGTAAATTCCTAAGGTGATTTTTTTGCATTGCTTTTACGTCTCGAAAATGCTATGAAGATAAATGATGTTGGAGTAACGCAAACTATTTACTATCATAGTCAATAGATAACCATGATCTCAGATAACATTTCACACATCTTTTGTTTTCTCCTGTGCTCGAAAGTATTTTGATGCGAAAGTCACATAAAATTTCCATGTTTACACAAAAAGCTTTTCCACTTTCCCCCCCTCAAGTGAACATTTTTTAAACATTCCGTTCTGGAAAAAATAAACAAATAAAATTCCTTTCGAAACAATGTTTCAAAAACGTTTTAAGGGAGTTTTCTCTTCAATAATTCATAATCAACGTATGCTTGTTTTCAAAGTTGAGCTTGGAAATAAATACAAAATTTATTATCTGCCATTAGATATCTAAAATGTTTTCAGGAAATTGAAAATTATTTTTTAATGATTTCTGGTTGTATGGTAAGAATATTCAATTTCAAATCTCCTACTCCTCATCAATAATTTCTATTGTAATTAAGCTTATACATAAATTGCATTTAAACATGATTAGATTTAAACCAGCTTATGATGATAACGATTTGCATTATGATGAATCGTGATAGCTCAGAACAATGCTTAAGAATTGATTGTTGTAATTGCCAATGCCTATGCCATTACATGAAAATTGTGAAATTTTATCGCTTAAATTAATGTAACATCTGAAAATGTCATGTTTGATGATAAATTATTAAAAAATCTACATAAAATTCTAAAATTTTACTCATCAACAATTGATTTCAGTTTTATATCTAAATCAACAAATTTCAATGAAAAAGTTTACATTTTCAATGCTCTAACAACTGTCAATGAATTGTTTTAATCTTTTTGTCTTTTTGTTCACACACTGTTGCAACAGATGATAAATGATTAATGATCTTTTAATATTTGAGGCGTGAAGTTAGACATCAACTTCAGAAATGCTTTTAAAACCTTTGAGACTTTATTTGTTGTGGACATAAATCTTATTTGACAACTCACACTCTAAACGTATGAAATTTTCAATTAAATATTTAATTTTTTACATGCTTTGGCATATTTAAGGATCAAACAATAAATTTACATTTTTTCTGCTTTCATTTGTGCCAAAATTTATGCATCCATGATTATTTAATTATTCAAAATTAATTATCTACAATTCTCTGCCAATCTCATTAATTTAAAATCACTTCCAGCATTCCCGAACAAGCTCCTTAAAATACTGGAGGTCTATGATGTGAAAGGTTTAGTAATAAAATTTAAGAAAAAGTTAAGATCAAAATGTAATTAAAACCTTCATTTGCAGACATGAGTTTTAGAACGAAATTAATTTTTCCAGAATTTTTTTTATGAAACTTTTCATTCATCTCAAAACAACATTAGGAAAGTTATGAAGATTTTTCCTGAACAAGATGTCAAAGTCAATCAAGTTTTTGTTCGCATTTAATCAAAATGTGGCGCAATTTTTTGTGTTTTCGGAAGGCTAATGTGATGGATTTGAGGAAACATGACTTGGGATCTACAACAGAACTTCTGCTCATCAAATTTTATTTAATCTCGGCTAACTTTTTCATTATGGTAATTCTTCAGATATTTTACATAAATTATCATCGTCATCTCTCGTTGTTTAAGCAGTAATGATTGTCAACCTTAAACGCTGTAATTAAAAGTTAAAATCTCGTGAGAAATCATCATAAAATTTAGTGTCAAAACCTGCTGATAAAAACGGAAACATTACTAAATTATGATCTGTTCCATTTCTTCATCTACATTTTTGTAATTTTTAAACAATTTACTGTTCCTTATTTTCTCCCTCATCAATTTTACTTCTCAAATTCACCATAAAGAGATTTCGAATTTCCAAGAAAAGAGAAAAACATGAAAAACGTTTCATTTTCATATCCCACAATTTTCCATTTTCCCGTCTGCTTATTTCTGTTCATTTTAAGATGTTTCATTTATTCGCTTGGTTCGTGTTAAAGTGATCAGTTGAAAAAGATTTTGAGCTTTGAAATTAAGATGAATTTATTTTAAATCAGTGATAAGTTACACAAAGTTTTCACGAATAATGAAAACTTGAATTGAAAAAGGAAAATTGAAATATTAAAATTATTTGAATAATGTTGTAGATTGAGTGAGACCAAATCTGTTTAGTCAAATTGCAAATTGTAATGAAAATAGAAAATGAATCAAAAAGAAGATTGTGCAGATTCCTAGACCGTGAAAAAATTGTACAAAATAATTTATTTTTCCCATCTAAATGAAAGAAAATTACTCAAGTGATGTTTTAATCAGAATCTGAATACAGACAAAGTGAAATCTGCAATGATGTTAATGAAGAAATAAAATAGAAGAAAAGTAAGAGAACAAATAATATCCAAGAATCTAATTGCAGTGGCAACCATAAGATGTCGAATGGAAGGAAATATTTGAGCTTTTATTGGATTTTCATATTTGCGAGCTTATTTTTTGTACAAAGTAAGATCCTGTTTTATCATTATTTACATAGTAGATTGTAACTTATGCATGAATCCCCGCTCCATTGGTATGTTGCTTTGTAAAGAATCAAATAAATCTTCGTTACGATTGAACGTTCAACTGTAAATAGAAGACAAACAGCATAGAATGATATTCGATGTTTAGACGGAGACAAATTCCAAATTATTCTTTGACATTTCGCTTCCTTTCCAACCGCAATGAAAATACCATAAGGATTTACGTGGAAACAATAACATTACAAGGCAATTTTTAATTTGAATAAGAAATTACTTCCATTCTTCTGTAAGAATTTCCACTTTGTAGAAATAAATGAAAAAGTTCCAAGAAAGCTTCCGCGAGCAAAAATAATAAAAACAAATGAGTCATTTCAGTAAAGCTGTAAAAGATATTTCAGTAATATTCAAGCTTCAAATATGTTGTTCATGTTGTGTAGATAGAAAAGGTACGACAAGTTTTTCTTTTTTCGGGAACGTTATTTATACAACGACAATGTAGAATACAAATGTTGTTGACGTGACTTGCTGGGAGCCTTCAAAAAAAAAACGCAAATAGTGTTAAAAATTTTCTTTAGTTGAAGTAATCCTCAAATCGTCTCTTCTCGCATAACTTGAAATAAGATAAACATCTTCATCCCTTTTCATCATGCCATCTTTCATTGAATTATCACAATAAAAACCTTTTAAAGATACAAACTATGGAATAAGAAAGAAGAATCTTGTTTTTTGGTAGGCTTCAGAGGGTTGTAAACTTTATTTGATGGAATTAGATCTTCGTTGAAAGCATCGTAGATACTCAGAGAAAGTTACATAATGATAAGAAACTCAAATGGATTCTTTTCGCTGTAATTTAGCATTGAGTTTATGAAACAGAAATAAATATATTGACATTAAATAAATAGATTGTGAATGTTCATCAGCATCAAATTTGTTTAATAAAATACAGAAGATGGTTTATTTATACAGCTCTCAGCTACATTTCATTTGAAACCGCTCTTCGATTACTTCATGAAACAGAATTTATGAGAATTTTGGATCAAACCAAAAACTTTTCGAAATGATCAAACAAGAAATTTGCTTTCAGGGAAATGATGATGAAAGTTTTATTAGAGAAAATGGATTTGAGGATCTTAGAGTTGTGTTGAACATCAAATTACATTCTGGAAGTGTTGAATTTTTTATCTATGTTGGTAAAATCTAATGTTTTACTTTATTACTTAAACTTCTGCAATAAATTCTAATAGAATTTTACTGATTAGACATCTTAATATGTTTTTTTTACAGTTTTAAGCCGAAGAGACAAAAATTTAAAAGTTTTTACAACTTCCTTTGCAATGACACATAACAAACATGTCGTCACTAATTAATTTACGATAACTTTCAAACATGGATAGGAAACCAAATGGATAAATTAATGGAAGAGTTTTCTATTTATATTTGTTTCTCTTTCGTTTCAAGATATTTACACATAATTTCCTTTGATTTTCGTTATAAGATTGCAACGTAGATAAGATTTCAGATTTCACTCCAATTAGCTAGAAGCTTAAACATGAAAAATATATGAGTTAAGCGAAGGCTTATGAAAAGTTTATATCTGGATACATACACAAGAATTAAAATTAAATAATGAACAAAATGTTGAGATGTTTACCATTTTAAAAATAACATAAAAAATGAAAAGTTTATTGCAGCTGACAGAAGATTTTCTTTATAATAATGTAAATAATGTGAAAAACATTTTAAAAAGAAGAATTTTTGGGACAATTCCAAAATATTTCGGGAAAAAAATTTAAATTAAGTTAAACTTCAACTGAGATTTCTCATTTTTCAGATGTATCCATTGAGCTCGAGGATTCACTGGAAAATTATCAGCTAGAAAATATAGAAGAGAACATGATTTTAACATCTGATACATTCAACAAAAGTCGTAACGACAGTGATGCATTTTTTGATCTAAATGTTAATCAAAATGTTACAGCATTGGTGGGAAAATCCGCATATCTGAATTGTGTTGTTAAAAATTTAGGAAACCGAACAGTTGAGTATTTATCAGTGTGGGTTTTTTATGTTTATTTCTTCCGTTCACTTTTATATTTATCCAATTATATTTCGCAAGTGAATGATGAAATGTTTCTGAAACAATTTCCCTAATTTGATTTGCATCATTCACAAATTGTGAATTACTGCTGCATTAGGTGTCATGGATCCGGCATCGAGATTTACATATTTTATCTGTCAGCACCTACACCTTCTCGTCTGACCTTCGTTTTCAAACATCACATCACCGAACGACAAACGAATGGACATTACTGATAAAATATGTTCAGAAGCGTGACGCCGGTAGCTACGAGTGTCAAGTCTCATCACAACCGATTAAAAGCTTTTTCGTTAATTTGAACGTTATTGGTGAGAGAAGACATTTTAAATTATTCATGTAGCAAGTCTTTGTTTTTATGCTCGTTCTATTATCCCACGCTCCTCATGGTTCTTCCTATTCATTCATTTTTTTCTTCTTTCTCTTTCGTTATCTTCTTTTCTTTTCATTTATTTATTTATGTTTTCCATCGAATGAAACTTATATCCTGTTTTTAGAAGAATGATAAATCGATGTTTCTTTTTCCGTTTGATGACTTTATTATTAATCATTATGATGAATATCAACCTCAACCCCACATTCGACCTCAGATGGTGCTAATAATGATATTTATGGACAAAAGTTTATGTGATCGAAATTCGTAGTGAATAGAAATTGAAGTTAATCATCTGGCAAGTAGCAACAAAATAAATATATACGTGGGAGTGACAAGAAATTTTCCTTCCTCGAAGGAATTTAAACGGTCTTAAGAGAACATTAATCTGTGATTCTCAGCTTATCAAATATTTATTTAACCCGAATCAAAACATAAATATTACGTTGGATGAAAATAAATCACACAAAGCATAATTTGTATGATATCAAACATAAAAAGAAAAGCTTTCATCAAATTTTTCTTTTTGAAAAGCTGGTGATGATTTTAACTTATCAATTTAAGTATCTCATCATGTGGGTGTCAGCTTCAAGATTAATGTTACTTTAATCATTTTCCTACTTTGATATTTATTTCAATTTGAATTTTATTTTTTTGTCAATTTGTTAAAGTTCAAAAGCTTGAATAATTTAAAAATATGTTTGAAACAATCTACATCTGTACAACAATAAACTTCTCTTTATCTTGTTATCCATACTTTACATCTTTTCTTTCGTCGACTTTTATGTCATGGAAAATTGGAAAACGCGCAGTTCCAACCGCTTTCATTTTGGGAGGACCAGAATATTTCATTAGCACGGTAATCAAGCTTAATTATTCTCAGTTTTTTTTTGTATTCTCTTCTTAATCTGAGGAATTAACGTTTGTATAACATTTAGGGATCAACTATAAATCTCACATGCATCATAAAATATTCACCTGATGCACCGACGAATACGTTTTGGCATTTTAAAGATAAGGTGATTACTTATTTGCTTAAATCCTATTTAATGGATGGAAAATATTTACCAGGGATGAAGTTATTAACTTGTTTTCTATTTATTTACGTGAAGGTATTAAGCTTTGAAAGAGAACCACGGTTATCACAGTTTACCGAGAATGGAGACAGTTTCACGAACTATTTACATATAAGAGATGCAAATGTCAACGACTCTGGAAGGTATGCTTGCGCTCCAGTCAATGCAGACCCAGATTTCATACAAGTTCATGTTGTGAATGGTAAGAAGCTTCTTCGCTTGCTGAAACAAATATTCATCACCTCATTCGTTTTATTTATCTCTCAACAGGTGAAAATCCAGAAGCTTATTCGAGCTCTCCGAAGTTATCGACTTGTTTTTCACGGAAATTTTCATTCCTTTCCTTTTGTATTTTAATTTTAAATGAAATAATAAATGTCTTTTATGAGCGAATTGTTTCAAGCAATTCAAAGAGCTGACACTTGTAGAAATTTGCTTTTTAAATTGAATCTATTCAACGCTGAGATAAATTTTGTAAGCAGGTTCTTGAATGAATAAATTTAAGCGAATGAAATTCAATCAAACATTTTTATCTTCGAAGAACGAGTTTTCATTCATTTGAAAATTCTTCAACTCATCAATTTCGCTTAAAGAAAAACTTTTGAAATACCGAAAGATAAGCTGTCGAATTGTAAAAGAAATTGCTTAAAGTTTAACAACTACAAAAGTCTAAAACAAATTATTTAAATGATAAAAAGTTTTTTGAAAATCATCATGACGGTGAATTGATAATGTCTTCTAGACTTTAACAGATCAATGCGTATATCTTTTTAGTTTTTATTTCTATAAGCTCCTTTCAGTTTCATACAATTCTATAAATAAGATTAAAATGTGAAACCTTTCCTATGTCTATTTCCTTTAAGTTGAAATATTGAAAGGTCGATTTCAAGTCACTAGTTTTTTTTTCTTGCTCCATTATTACGATAGAAAAAGTATTTCAGACTTCTTCCTTTCGTCGTTCATGAATATTTAAGAAGAATATATCAACAATCTCATTCTCTCTAACGGTCCTTTTCAAACGAGTTAGACTGGCTATCGTTTAAAATGAAATGTGATTTTATTTTTACAAAGCCGACCTTTTTTTCATCATCCACAAGTAATATTGTTGGGAAAAAAATGTTGTGAGATTTTTGTTTGCTTTTTCAAAGCGACGAAAGTTGTAAAATGTTTCCTCGATTATTGTTGAAACTTTTCTAGTTTACAAAGGGTGGAAAAGGCTTTTCAATTTAAGTGTTTTTAAAGGAAAATGTCACGTTAACAAATGAAAACTTTTAGACCAAATTAACATGCATAATTTAAAGCACGCTTGGAAATGAAATAGAATAGAAAATTTCAAATTATATCTCAAAGGTTTATTTAATGATATGAGTTACATTACTTTTCCAAATTCATAACAAGAAAATCATTCATTTTTGTTGAAGTATGCATTATTATGGTTTGTTCATGTGTGTAATTTAAAACTATCAACAATTAATATCATATTCACGTTTAAATGCCATAAAAAAACTTTTCAGCTTTCCAATTTTTTGAAAAGAAAGCAAGAAAGAAACTTCGAAATCCCTCAAAACAAATAAGGCAAGTATTTAACTCTGATCTACTCAATAATACAGAAGCAATTAATTCGTGAGTTAATTGCTACAGTTTGGGAAGTAATAAAATATTTAAGCTGTCAATAAATTCAAGTTTGTGGATTAAGGAATGATTAATGATATTTATACAGATATAGTTTAATTTATGAGTTCTAAGTATTGATTATTTTACTCTCAGCTATTACACTTACTGAATCAGTAGTGGTTTAATTTATTTTCAATAATTAAGTATTCAAACCCTTAAGGAGTAATTCAATTTAAATTGAAGTTGTTTCTATGTAAATGCAGAGACGACGACGTGATTACAAGAGAGATTTTAAGTTTTGTTGTTTTAGGAAGCTCTTTCAATTTAAAGTCATTAAGTTGAGCAATAAACAGAATTCCAGTGCGAATTTTCTACAGAAATAAATGTGTTCAAAGTCCCGCTAAAAGTCCAGCAAATACTTTAAATTTATGAGAAAAGTTTTTCTTTCAACAAGTATTTATCAACGTAAATGAAAGCAGGAAATTGTGCAATTATTTCTTCTTACAAATTTTTCTTGAGAAGGAATCACGAACTTTCTTTAGAATGTACAAGCTTTAATAAAACATAAATCAGAAGTCCGGAAGCACAAACAATATTCACGTTTTGCCTTCGATAAATATTTTGATTATGTTTGGTCACGATTTTTCTGGAAAATATTGATGATTAAAAGACGTTTAGCAAATTCTTTTCCTCCTTCCAAGAAGAGACAAAAACATGAATTTAATGAAATTTCTGAATAAATTTTCCCCGTGATTTTGAAACACATACTTTCCTTGAAACTTTAATCATTTCTCTTCTCCACAAACAGAGGCAAGGTTTTTGTTGCTAAATTATTCTCCAGACTCCGCCATCATCAAATTATGATAAAAATCTCTGAAGAAGCATTCGTTAACTTTTTTTTTCGTGCCATAAAAATGGTGAAATAAAATGTTTATAGCTTTCTCATGTATCTGAGATTGCTGGTTGGCAAAAATTATATCAAAAGGTATAAACAAACGAAATTTAAAATGAAGCAAGTTTATTTTATCAACGAAATCAACAGTCTTTAATTAAAAGTTTGTATTATTTTAACAGCATGAAAGTCGTGGGGTGGGAAACATAAAAAAGTCTGTTACCGAAAGTCGGCCCCAACAATAAATATCGTGCAAAAGCCCGATATTTAAAACTCCGGCAGTTATAGAATTTCTAGACGAACAGTATTAGTAAAAATCTAACTCCAATAAGGGGCCACTTTGTATAATGTTTCCACCTTCGATATTCCAGAAACTTTTCACACAAAGTGGCCCCTTATTGGAGTTAGATTTTTACTAATACTGTTCGTCTAGAAATTCTATAACTGCCGGAGTTTTAAATATCGGGCTTTTGCACGATATTTATTGTTGGGGCCGACTTTCGGTAACAGACTTTTTTCCCTTAAAAAAAACACGCTCTGACGCTTTGAAATGAGACACTCGTCTGAATTCTATACGAAGTTTTTTTTTCTTCGCGATGTCATCATCATCATCATCAGATCAAGGACAGGCACCTATAGGCCAATCCTGGCCATATAGGAACCACCATCAAAAGCCATAAGCGTTTTGAGGGCAATGGTCATAAGTGGCACGTGAAAATGACAACATTACGCAATTTCATCTTCGCGATGTTTTTTTTTTTTCGCTGTGAATGTTTTTTTTTTTTCGCTAGGAATGTTTTTTTTTTTTCGCTAGGAATGTTTTTTTTTTTTCGCTAGCAATGTTTTTTTTTTTTCGCTAGGAAAAGGGCAACTTTGTATGGCAGGTACCCGAAGTAATAAAGGTACACACCCCATAATTTGATAGAAACTTTCTATTTGTATTTAAAACACTTTGGTAAAGAAATTTTTCAAATCGGTTAAGAAATGTGGAAATGGGAGTGTCTACATCCATCCATCCATCCATCCATCCATCCATCCATCCATCCATCCATCCNGAAATCAACAGTCTTTAATTAAAAGTTTGTATTATTTTAACAGCATGAAAGTCGTGGGGTGGGAAACATAAAATGAACGTCATTTTGTTATTATTAATATGAGAAGTTTCGTCATTTAAGTTTTCATCTTGACAAGAGTGACGACTTTGTAAATTCTTTATCACTGTATTGAATTTCCTTTAATCGTAATAAGCAAAAGATAATTACCAACTAAGCAATAAACATTGAAGATGAATAAAGCTGTTGTGGAAAATAAATCTTGTAAATAATTGGATTTCTTCAGGTTAATGAAGCAAATCATGAAATTGGATCTGAGACACTCTGTCATCTCAAAATCTCTAATTATATTCATGCATGAACAGAAATAAAACCAACCGAGACTACACATATTAGCAATTACGTATCTGCATGAAAAAGGTTGACTTTTACAAGAAAAAAACTTGAGCTGTGATGAGATGCTCCATGTTGATACTTGACAATGACTAAAGAAACATCAACGAATTGTGAGGCAATGAAATGAAATAACGAATGAGAAAAGCCCCTTGAGAGACACTCAACTCGTAATTTTTGAAGATTTCTTTCTCCTTCCTACGTTTCTTTTTAGGTTTATGATTCTTCCAGGACTCGATTACGCTTTTTCCGATTTCCTTTTATGCGTCTTCAGAAATGAATTCAAATAAAAATTATATTTTGTAACATAATCAAAAGCTCTTTGCTTTCGACATTTATGGCATTTTGAAGGGTTTCATTGAAAAGGTCGACAAAGTCAATACAATTCCTGCTTTGAATTCGTAGGATTGTTGATCTTTTGCTTGCTACATTTACATATAAAAATTTATTCAAGCTTTATCATAATTTTTTTCCAGGAAACGTGAGCTTCAATTACATTTAGATACAAACTGAAAACAAATTTCTCAATTTGAAATGAATTCAACAGGTTTCAAATATCACATGGTTATTGTTAAGGTTACCGGCACCTAATTTAGATCGATAACTTTTCAAATTTTCAGGTGTTGTTGAAAGATTTCGAGAAATTTGGTTTTTTTATTTGAAAATCTATTTGACTATGTTGAAATATTTGTTTAAAGATTAATGCATGTTGCTTCCATTTGTCATGGTTTTATGAACACTTCTTTATTTGGCAAGAGAAAATATTCGCCTCAACAAAGGTTTTTTGTTTGGTTACAGGGAAATTTAATAAAGAAGATGGATAAGATGGTTTGTGTACAACATTTTGTTTAAACTACTCTCTTCTGAGTTATCTATCTGAGTAATTACTAAAAAAAGTCAAATCCAGTCTTCCACTTTCTCTTTGTATGCTGATAACGATGAGAATAATGTGGAAACTTTAATACTTTAAAGCATTTCTAAACATTGAAAAGTTTCAACTAAATATGATTCTCATCTCTTAGCTGTAATTTGTAAAAAAATAATTTGCAAGAACTTTTCGATCAAAGAAGAAAATTTATTCATTTCTTTATGAATTTTGTTTCTTATTTTTCCTGAATTTTAAATTTTATTCAAGTGTACAAATGATAGAACATTCTGGTAATTTCAGCTTGCAATGCTATACTTAACGAAACTAGAGCAACTGTTCGAACATGAGCAGACGGAAACATTATAATTGCATTTCATTAAATTTCCCACGCCAGCTAACAACAGGAACCGCGATAAGTTTAAAATTACAAAAATTTAAGGAATTTCCCAATGTTTTGTCTAGGAATGAAATTTCAATTTGGATTTTGGTGTTTTCAAAGAGTTCACCAAATATTTGAAAATGCTGATTAACACTTCTCTGGTTACAATGAGTTGTTCACTGCAATTAACTGAAAAATTGCATAGATATGTAAAATCATTTTACAATTGAATGGAAACAATTTTTTATCAAGAAACTCAAGACGTTTTCCGACATTTCTTAAAGCCATAAATTTTGAAAACACGAACTAAAGAGAAAAAATGTGAAATAAAATTCAGTATCAGTTCTAAGGATGCATGTATGGAAAATCTAATCAAACGAATTATTCTTAGTTGAATAATTTATTTATAATCTCCAGTCTAGACGAAAATATTATAGAAAATCATGCTTTGGTACTACAAAGTCAATAATCTTTTTATGATTGGTTCTGCAGAATTTAAAATAAAAGAAAATTAATTTTAACTATTCACTGCACCTCGTTAAAAAATTCAATGTAAAGTATTGAACATATTTTTGAATTATTAATTAAATTGATTGTAATAATCATAACCTGAAGTAATGAAAAATAAAATGGAAAATTTACACAAAAAACTTTTCCTTTCAATGTTTTATTTTTATCTACATAAACAAAGCAAATGTAAAACGACAATCATAAAACTAAAACATGTGAACAGTTAAAGTTGCTGTTCTACATCAGAATTTTTATGATTCAGTTTTCCCCCAGATGCATGCAGCGACCGTTTAGCTCTTTACCAGTTTACAAAGTCCAACGTGTCAAATAACTGACGTTTGTTCATGTAAACAAATTTATTTTAGTTATTTTTTACGATTAGAAAAACAAATTATTTGTTGGTGAGTTTATTCATTTTTCTACTTAAATGCAATGCACAAACGTTTCTCTTTGGGATGGTACAAATGAAACCAATGCGCTTACAGTTGTACAATAAAATAACAACAAGATAAGGAAAGATTGCATCATTCAAATGAACGGCTTGAGTAAGAAGAAAGCATAAGACATTTGTCGCCGATTACAAACATAGAATGTTGAGGCTTCCTGTGAAATTTAAATGAAAAAATTGTCATAAAATTCAAAAGTAAAGGATAGCAAAATCTAATCAAGCCTTGGAGCTTCATTTCAGAGCCTTGAAAGGGATAAAATCTCGCGTTTTATTTAGTCTGGCATTATTAGCTAATTATGCACTTTTTTATTTAATTTTATTAACATTTATTTCAAACCTTTCTTTAATTTGTTACATTAATTTAGGGTTGTCACGTCATGGTGGATGTTTTTTTGTATGGGAGTTTTTTAAACTCATTTTATACATAGAAAACTTGGTTTTATATGTACAATGTTTTCTTATGATATGTTCAAATAGCAATTCTGAACATATCTTTCATACAATACAAAGTTCTATAACCTACGCATTGCGAAATATTTGAATTTTAAATTTTCCATATGATACGTAGGTATAATATTTTTCAAAGGTAACTTTCGTTCTTTAGCTATAAAACTTAAACTATCATATTTAAATATATAGTATGTTTGGGAAAGTTGTTCCTTGATACATTCTGCAACTTTTTTTTATAGATTGTGTTTCTGTAGAATGGCACCAGAGGGCGCTGGTGACAAATTTGTAATTAATTAATTTCCAGCGCCCTCTGGTGTCACCTTACAGAAACATAATCTAGAGAGAGAAGATGCAGAATGTATCAAGGAACAACTTTCCCAAACATACTTTATACTTAAATATGATAGTTTAAGTTTTATAGCTAAAGAACGAAAGTTACCTTTGAAAAATATTGTACCTACGTATCATATGGAAAATTTAAAATTCAAATATTTCGCAATGCGTAGGTTTTAGAACTTTATATTGTATGAAAGATATGTTCAGAATTGCTATTTGAACATATCATAAGAAAACTTTGTACATATAAAACCAAGTTTTCTATGTATAAAATGAGTTTAAAAAATTCCCATACAAAAAAACATCCACCATGACGACATGCATGATGCCATGACGACATGCATGTCGTCATGGTGAAAACCCTACATTAATTCTAATAATGCCTTGACCAATCAAAAGCTGAGACAGTTCTTACATTGTGTAGCAATCGGACGTCCCGAAATGGCAAGCAAACCTCGTAATAAATTGCAGTGTAACGAAAAGAAGATCAAATAAAGAAACATAATTAATAGTGAAGGTGTTTCAATCCAATAGTTGTAGTTACTCTTGAAAAGTCTTACAGTGAGAAAGAAAACTGGAAGAACAAATATCACAGTAACTGAAAAGACGACCCCGAGGTTCCCGACTAGCAGGAACATCAGCTACCAACTCACGAGATATTTCAATTGTATGATCGTTCCCGCTCCACTTGGAACGAACGCGGCCGAAATTTGTCACATTCAACAACACACTTTTGTAAACAGTCATACGCATAGTGCGTATGTGTTGGCGGGAGTGAAACGAGTAGAAAATACATAAAAGATCATCTAAACATAGTTTGTAAAAACAAAAAACCAGATATGTACAACTGTTTAAATTAAATAAACAAAATCATAATTATTTATGTCACTGAAAATCATAATTTATACAAACTTCTTTTCTCACTTCGAGAAATTAATTTGTGAAAATATAAAAATATTAAAACAAACAACTATTCAAAAAAGTGTTCTAGAAATTGCTTTGACGAAAACTCAGATTAAAATCTGACTACAAAAAGGGATCAGATCTTACAATAAGCGTTCAGTTTTTGTCATAAGTTTGATGGTGTAAAATCTCTGTTAGAAAAGTGAAATATAGTTAAAAGTTGTTCTATCTTAGCATTCAAAAGGAAGTGGAACAAATTTTAATTGTTCTTGACTATTAAGAAGGAAGTAGCCAAATTTTAGAAAAGAAAAATTTTCTGCAGGTAAACGAACGTCATTAATTAACACTTAAGTAGTCACCATCGTGACAGTATCAGTTAGTTACCCTTTAAGTTATTTTTGCTTTCATTGCAAATTCATGTTTATTTGTGTATGTTTCAAAAGTATATTCGATTGAAAAGACGATCAACGAAATAAAATATTTATGTTGAAGTGCTGAAACAGCATTAAAGTTCAGACTATGCAAAGAAATATCTTCATTTAAGTGCGTCTTTCAATTAGGCATATAAAAGGAAAATTTCGTTCTCTTTTTCATTCAAGTTTTACCATCAGAACAATAAACATAATAAAAAAAATTAATTAGTGATAAATTATTTATTTAAATCTGCATAGATAAATCGATAAATGGCATTGGATTATCAACGTTACCTGTTTCGTCTCATCAGACAAGAAAAGTCGGAATCATTTGGATCTTTTGTAGACCGATTGCGTTATCAAGTTGCACAGTGTAAATTTTCTAATGAAGAAATTCATTTGAAAGATCAGATCATTGAAAAGTGCAACATTAACGAGCTTCGTGCTAAAGCATTTCAGGTGGAATTATCATTGAATCAACTGATAATAACTGGAAGAACAATAGAAGCTTCTTTGAAGAATTGTTCGAATGAACAGCCAGGGACTTCACGAAGTTTTCTGATTAAGGACAGAAAGATCTCCTGTAAGCGATGTGGATCAAAAGTTCATACAACTTTTGATATATTATGTCCAGCACTTAAAGAAATCTGTTCATCTTGTAACAGAAAAGGTCACTTAAATTCCATGTGTCTTTCAAGCATTTTCAAGAGGAAAGCTGCAAAGGATTTATCTTCAGATAACCCGTATGGTCACTTGTTGTTGAAAAAACGTCCAGCAGTTTCATTTGCACCAGACACCAAAGTGGAAAAACATTTCTCTGCACCTGAGAACGTCATTAAAAGAGAACCCGGAGCTTCAGATGAATCTTCGAACGTCGTAAGATATTGCAAATATTTATTTTCCGTTTCTAAAATAATTTAATGTCTAATATTTCTGTTTGCAAACAGCAGCGACCAAATTCATCAGCACCATCTTCAATACTCGTTCGCACGTGTAAAGTTGGAGGTAGAAAAGCGAAGCTTTCGGTTCAGTTTACAAGCGTCTCGAATGTCATAAGTAAATCTCTGCTTCGAAAATTAGAAGCGGAGAAATTCAAGTATTTTACATACGATATGATTCCATGTAAGATTGGAATCATGGAATTCATTGGTCAAGTGACATCTGATATTGAAATCAACGAAAAAGTTGTAAACATTGTTTTCTATGTTCAAGAAGGGAACTCGGATCAGGTGACTATAAATCCCAAAACTGCAAGACAGTTGGGATTGTAGCATTAAAAATAAAAGAATGTTTTAAATTTTGAGAAAAGAAACACTGAAAATCTTTCACATGTCATCAGTTTTCTTAAAAGATGTTTAAATTTTAAACAAATACAGAACTAAACTGAACAAATTTGGAGTTTAATTTTTTTAAATATAAATTTTTAAATACTTTATTCATATTTCAAAAAGGCTGTGAAATAACCAAGGTTTGAATTACAGGCTTTGTTTATCATGATTTATTATCTTGCACATGTCAACAGTTATTTATGTCGAATTGACAACTTCACGGAGACAAAAAAAATGCAAGCAAGGAATTTTTCAGATAAAAATTGGATTGTGAAATTCAAATTCAAAACTTATCGAATAAATATTTCTCATTCTGTTAATAAACATTCAAACATATCTTGAAGTATTTCAAGATTAAAGGATTAAAGTTTTGAAATAAATAACATGACAATGCTTGACTGCATCGCAAAAAGGAGAACACGAAGAAAGGGTCAAAGATAAAAATTTTATAACATGATTAAAATTGAAAAATTATGAAAATGAAAGCTAGGGTTTTCTTAAAAATTTTACATATCTAAGATTTTGCCTTTGAGACAAGGCGGAAGAAGATTTTTTTTACGAGGAGAGATAAACTTACGCATTTCATGATAGAAAGGAAAACATGCATCAACTTAAGGATAGAAAATGTGATGTTACAAGATTCTTTTTGTGAGCAGAGATTTCCTACTTATCTAACTACTCATCTTAGAAATGGAAAAAATGACCCTTCATCTAAAACGGAAGACTTTCTCACAACTAAAAGGATTTTCGTCGGCATTAAGATGTGCTTTGGAAAGTAAAGCAAGACGAAAATAAATGTGGGAATATATTTCATCTCTAAATGACAGAGATCACGTTCTTTTTTGATAAGTGCGTGAAGGAAATATGTTTCAATCTACATCTTGACCGGAGGCGAACTAGAACAATTTTTTTATTGATTTCAGATGTTTTCTTTCTTATTCCAACATTTATTTATGCTTTTTGCAGCTACATAAAAATTTTACGTAGGTTATTTTCATATGACGATGTCGTATGTGGGCTAATTGAACGCCTACACAGTTAAAATAAATAAATACCTTTTTGCTTAGATATTCCATTTTGATTTCAGAGATATTTTTATTCCAAAACCTACATTATTATAAATAGATAATTGCTTAATAAACTGAATATTTAATTTCAACAAAACAAAACCTCATATGTATCCTTTTCAACTGTATGAATTTGGACAAGAGTTGAGTGGAGTGGAGGAATAATTAATTGGTTCATTTGAAACTTCAACTACCAAAAGTAAAAACCACGTACAAGTTGCATAAATTATTTTCATTACGAGATGAATAATAGCGTTTGCATATAAACTTTTCTGAAGCTTTTTAAGCGCAGTTTGATGCAATGGAAAAGACAAAAACATAGCTGAAAGGTATAAACATAGCTGAAAACAGAAACCAATTAATTTTTTATGTCAAAGTAAGTGACATTTTTATTTCACGCTCAATTTTCAAACAAGTTCATTAAAAATTCCATTCCACAGATCATCGGTCAAAACGACCGTCTTTACAATGAAATTGGATTCGAAATTTAAATTCAATTATTCTTATTTGAGGACTCGGTTCTTTAATCTGATTATTTTTCATCTCACTCTCATCTTCTCACTTCATTCAGTAATGAAATTTCATTCCATCATCGATTATGAATCAATTTCAGCACCGCAATGGACTTTTTGCTTTCTGTTTAATTTAAGGATTATGAGGGAAATATGAAATGGTAAGCTCATGAAATGTTTGTTTTTGCTCTTATGTTGAGAGCTTTTTAAATTTTAATCATTAAATTATATTTTTCTTTAAACTCGAAAACATCCATTTCCGGTTGTTTGCTCGGATCTGTTTGTTTGAACTTCAAACATAAGCAGCTATTGCATTTGGGTTGTCCTTCAACGAATTCTTTGATTTCTTTCTAAAATATTCTAAATTTAGCTACATGATGAATTTATCCAAACATTAAAGTTTTATTCTAGAAATCCGATTGAAGTGAACACCGCAAGCTGTTGAGTCATACAAGAAAAACATTTAGAGACGAGAAAAGCTTTTAATGCATTAAAATTTAACAGTCGTCGTTTAGATATATGTGGGTGAGACTTTAAAAGTGTCATAAATCTCTCCACGCCCCATCAATGCTCTTATTTATGTTGATGAGTTGAATGCTTTTCAAAGTTAATACATTTAAGCTTTCAGAATGACAATTTTAAATGTAAGTAAAGACGCAGTTAGGACATTCACAAACATATGAAATTAAATTTCTATGACGTCTTCTCCTTTCGAAGCTTTTTGAAGCAAAAAATTAATATTTCCATCATTTTCATCAAATCATCATAAAGTAAATTAATTCTGTCATAGCTTCAAGTCATCTAACATATCTTCGTATAGAATTATTCAAGTTTTTACTTTAAAATCAAATCAAACATTTAATTTCAAAATGTGAAACGAGACAAAGTTGATATAAAGGATGTTTGTGTATAATTTTATTAATATTTATCAAAGTGAAAAGAATATTATCACGTAGTTTTGTTATTTGCATAAAATAATTGAGCGCTTTGATTATTGATGCGTGCTTTACCGAAAATCGTGAAGTAACGTGAAAACTTTGATAATTTACAAACTTGTTATACATTATAAATCACCAAAGTCTGTCTCACGAGACAAAACTTTGTAAGTTTCACTTAGTCATGTTCCATTTAATTTTTCATATTTTTTTTATTCGTTGACGAAATTTTTATTCTACAGACAAATTATTTAAAAATTTTGCACCATTCAATGATGTTCTCCTTCACCATGATGATGTTTATATTTTTCCAGTCCTCGAGGATTATGCCAATCAATACCAAGAGCTTTTTCGATACCAAGTGTTGCCAAAAAAAGTCCAAAGCCTAAAGGAAAGCCACGGAAAAAAAGTTTTGTAACACGACCTCCGTGAGTTCCGAACACTTTTTTATCAAATCTCCAAACTTCGTTTCTACAAGTAGAAATTCATTTAAATTCTTCTTGATAATAATGTGGAATATTTAATTTTAACTAACCGTAACCACGGATCCTTCAATCCCATACGTGCGAGGGATTTCTCTACTTGCACCAATTCTGGTGCATCGACTTTATAGATTTTGTAGTTTGGTACTTTATATGGTTCATGGTGGTGATCGTGTCCTCCCATTTTAATGCTTAGACCTAGATATCAATGGAGAAAAGAGTTTAATAACTTAATTGCACAAGAATATTCTTTTGAAGAATTATCTAATCAAAAATAATCTTTTTCATTTTTCTCTAGTAGGTGAACACTCTGAACTAAAAGCTTAAGTAGCTTAAGAAAAGCAATATTGGTATGCCATTAAGCTAAATGAGATTTCAATAGATTATTGCTATATAAAACTATTTAAAATTGTTTTTAAAATCTTACAAATGAAAACAGAGGAAAAATGTGCAGAAAAAACGCAATAAACTGACCAAAATGTTTCTTGTCTGTCTGTCTATTCATGTCGGTAAAGTAGATTGAAGCAGAAGAAAGGCAAAGATTCAAATTTTACAATGGTCGTTAAATTTAAATTAGTGAAATGAAATAAGTATTAACTTGCTGTCAAGGTTTATTTTATTTTCATTACATTTTCTAAAATATTCTTCCAATATGACTTCTTCTACAAAATTTATCATTCATAGGATTTAAGTGTCTTTGATGAAAGAACGTATCAATCAAAACTGATTAATGTTCAATTACAAGCATAAAAATCGTATTAAAGTACATTTTAAAAATGGTTGTTTTTATCTTGCTAACAATCATCTTTAAATTTTTTAAGCAGGCAGATAAAACTATTTTTATTCAAAAATTTCATTTAAGTTTATTCAAAGAATTTTATTTTTCTCTCAAACATTGATTAAAATTTTTGGCACGTACTTCTCATAATTAGAAACTCATTTTTGTTTATTTTTATCTACCAATTTGTCATTTGTAATCTTTCACAGATTTTAGAAAAGACGTTAATGAAGGAAATGCGTCCCAAACTAATGCCACAAAAGAGAAAGGAGAGAAATCACTTTACCCCTTGAATTATTAGCTTTTGAGGAATTGTTCTTTTATCATGCAACAGGTGTGAGCTTAAAAAGGTCACGTCTTAATTTTTCCTCATTTGAAAAAACTGAAGTGAAAGAAAAGAAAGTTGAAAAAAGAAGAAGATAAAATAAGAGAGAAAAAACGAATTCAATGAAGCACGTCGTGCGTGAATGAATCTCCATCTTGAATCGTCAGAAGAATTTTACCGAAAAATTTTAAACACGTACACTGGAAAATTTTGTTGGAGATGGAGACATATGAAACGCTTTTTGAAATTATCACAATTGCTTATAAATTGTTATGTAACATGAAGTTTCCTGTGGTGGTTTAACTTTAATAAAACATAGATTTGTATCGTTCCTAAGGGAAATTCAAAGTTAATTTTATCGTGTCGTTGGAAAAGTTACAGCACAAGTAGCTAACAATTAAAAGGAGATCGACATGAAGAACTAGTACTTAAGTTGTTAATAATGACATCTCTTAATCCATTGCAAAAAGATGTTTCATAATAGAAATCCTCATGCAATTTAATGACAATTTATTATATTTAATGACAAAGGAACGTCCGAACGTAAAAGTTTCATCGCGTCAGTTTACTTTTACCGCAGATTTTTCTTTTGAAACTTTTACAGATTTTCTTTAAGGTATTATGAATGTTTTTAAGTATTTAAGCTCTCCTTCCACAGTTTTCAACAATTTGTTGTGCATTCGCTTGAAGCATTTCATTCATTATTGTCTCGAAAATTCATTAAAAGAAAAGTGAGAAAAATGATTTTTATGTAGGAATATTAAAAATTTCTCCCACCATTGAATTATGATTACAATTAAGATAAAACTTTTCAGAATTATCACAATATTCAATATGGAATAGCATTAAATCGGATATAAGAATGGCAAATTCGACTTCGGTTTTCAAAACGAAATGCTTGTCTTACTTTAACTTGCAGAGATTACAAGAATGAATGCTCAACCCTCCCCTTCCCCATCCCAAAACATCCACTGAATCATTACTAGCCTATGTTGAATGAATGTTATCTAGTGCTGAGATATGAAGTGATAATATTTTACTTCATTGAGATTGTATGATTTTTATCAATCATGTCATAGTTTAATTTGTCTTGTTTCAAGAATAAAATTTCATAAGATAAGCTGTAAGCATGAGAAGATTTTCTCAGAAAATCTTAAAAAGAGCATGCTCTTAAATGTTTACGAATGAACCAATAAATAAACAAACAAACAAACAAACAAACATCTTATTCACAATTAAATTTAATTTCTCTTTACCTCATTAAATAATTTTAATTGAACTGTCGAAAATTTATGTTTTATCTGATAATTTTGAAGCATTGTTAAAAAGTTAGCAAGATAAGCTTTTATCTAATCTTTGAATAACAAACTTGACAGAGAACATTTCCAAACGATCCAAAAAGTCACCTCAAACATTTCTGAAACAAGTCTCAAAGATTTGCAGACATTTTAACCTTCGGGGGTAATTCAATCAATGTTTCTTTTTTGCAAAAATGTTGTTTTGTTAGAAACAAACTGAACCAGACAGCAATTAGGTAGGAATATCCAGTTTTAGGTATGAACGAAAGTCGTTTAAATCAGTTTACTCTTCTTTTTATTCTGTGTTAAACTTGAGAAAATTAATAAAGTTAGCTCTTCGTTTTTTTTCCCCTACAGAATTTCGACGCTAACCGAATTTCCGAAGTATATTTAATGGTTTGAGAACAGAAGCCATCAATCGATTCGCATCGTCTTTATTTTTTCTGCACAGGAATGTCTAGAAAGAAATTATATTGGTTTGTGCTTTCGCAAAAGGGAAGGAAAAAAATTAGATTAATAGTCGAGATAGTTGAGGTCGACTCTCAAATTATAGCTCACCATAATTTAAAACTCATTCATGGACTTAAGGCACGTTCAATTTCTAAAGCACCCAAATAATTTATTACACAATCATATAAAACTCTTTATTGCTTTGAAATAAACAGCTGAGGAAACAGTTGTCTTCTTCTCTTCATAGCAATCCCTTTCCGTGCTTCACTTAGACAGCCAAAAACAAAAACTTTTATTTTCAATTCTCCCATTGAAATAAATTTAATTCAACAAACATGCAGAATGAATGTTAATTTGTCTTCTGGGACCTTTAATGTTGTTCATCTTTTGTGATTTAATTTCAGGCCGAGAACATATTTCATACGAAAAACGGATGCGGAGGGACTCAACAACAAACAGGATGTGATATGATAATTCAAAGTTTATCGTGCAGCAAGAAAAGCCTTTTCTCTGAACTCTCAGTGAATAGCATTTTGAAAAGTTAGGAGAGCCGGAAAGAACAGAATTTTCATTCCTCTTTTCTCATTAAATATATTATGAATTCTGATGTTATTATTATTTTCTCTCGTAAGATTATCATCATAATGATATGTTTACGAACCAAGAAATTACATTTTGTTAGGTGTTCAATATTAGATTCGTTGCTGTAGGTTTATAAAAAACTTTTCCCTATTTTCTTTCAAGCCTTTTCGAACTTACTGTCAAAAACGAGATGGGACTTCTCTCATGTTTAGAAGAAAAAGGTAAAAGGCATAAAATATGAAATATTTGTAAAAAGACAACTTAGATAAACTTGTAGGCGAATGTGGGATAAAAAAGCACTGAAGCAATGTCATTGAAATTTTCCGATGAAAATCCCGTATAAGCTGAAATAAAATGAGAAATTTTCTATAAAATCCTTTTTTAAGTTCCAGGAAGGAAAAAAGGTTTTCTTTACGAATATTAAATTTAGAGATTTCAAAGAAATGCCGTGATAAACAAAGTTGAATAATTTCTTCTCACACTTTATCTGCTAATCATGTTGCCTGGCAATGTCAATGAGATATCCAAGTATCAACCTTTTCACTTCTCAATCGAAAGCTTTTCACGTTTCCAAGCTCCAATACGACATTCAGTAGGAAAAAAATTAAAAGCAATAAAAGCCAGACTCAATAAAATTTTTGTGCATTTTCTGATAAAAGTAGATATTCGGTTTGCAGCAATTTTATTGTCACATTAAATATTTTAATATCAATAGAAATTTGCATATTTCAGAACAGCAGAAAGTTTGATTGGGTGTGGCTTTTAAACTTTCTAATTTCTTTTTCACATCGCAATGCAGTGTAGAATTTTCCTGATCTGACTAATTTTAGTTCTAACCAATTCTTAGGAATTGACAATCAACTAGAGAGACTTGAATCAAACCAGGAGCATTAAACTTTAATTCAAATTCAAAGTGATTAATACGATCAATGGCAGAGAAAAAGCAACTTGCAGAGAAGAAACAAAGAAATGAATATTTTCTGAAAAGTTTTGCAATAAAAGTTGAATGTAGTTTGTGGATATAAAACCATAATTTCTCATTTTCCTGACAAAATTTATGATTTCTTGTTTTTCATTTTGCTATCATTGCTATATCTTATTTGTGTTCAACCATTAAAATGATGATTTCAATAGTCTCCTGTTGGTTTCTAAGCTTTCATTTGAATGTGAAAAAGTTCCATGGGAACAAAATATATTTTAATTGGATGTTTCCATCTCATCATTACAGATTTTTACACGTTAAGAACATAATAACAATTAAGAGATATTTAAAATAAATGGTTCCATTGCTACGTTAATTTATTTCATCAAAGCAAGTCTTCTTTTTGTAACAGTTACAGACATTTATTCATCTAATTAGAAGAATATTTTACTAAAAATATCTCAATCAAAAATATGTTTTTCTTAAAGAATTTAAATTTTCCTCCACGTTTAAATCTAAGATAATTGAAAGGAGAGAAGAAAAGAAAAGTTCAAAGCAATTTGATAACAAAACCCATAGAAAGTTCTTTTTCCATATCAATAATGATATCTAACAATAAGCCCCTTATTGAGCAATGCAATAATAAAAAAAATTGTTGAGAAATAATTCACAAAATTCCATTACGAGATCTCGAGAGACAATAATTAAATTTTTTTCGTTTCCTTCATTTGTAATCGCTTTCAAATAGTTTAAAACGAGACGGCAATTTAAAACGAGCGAAATCGTTTTATTATCAAAGCTCATTTAATTCTCGGCATTTGTTTCAAAAATTTCGCACAGCATAAGAAAGATAGCATAAGAAAAGACTCGAAGCGTTTAATGTTCCTCGTTTTATCATCAAATTGATCAGCAATAAAGAATGCTTTTTATGCTTTGAAAGTCAGCCATAAAAATCAGAGCGTAAAAGTGAAAGGGGAATTTTGATTAAGCTCCACATCTAAATTACTAGCATAACAACCAGCAACAGAATCAGCAGCTTTAGCTGTTTCTCAGATAGTTTTATAGACACTAATTTGTTTCGACATGGAGAATTAATGGAAGTAATTAGATCAGATAGAGGAAGCTTAAGTGTGCGGATAAACGGATGTAATTTTTATGGAATAAACTGCTGGTGATGCTAGAGAATGTGAGCCATAAAGGTGAAGAGTGAATAGGCGAAGCATGTAAAGGATAATGGATAAAAATAAATCAATTTTATCAACATGTAGTATTGACTTACTTCTGACTTGAAGAATTCTTTCTTCATTCGTACAACTAAATAAAGTGTATAGCTTGAAGTTTTATTATTGGATTCTCAAGTCAGTCCATTCTTTTCTCTCCAAACAAGAAGAAAGTCATTGATTCTATGCTTAGAGAAATTTATTTGCAGGCTTATGGTTATTTAACCTTAAACATTCAAGATTTGTCAACATACATAAATGTTTGTTTGTTTATACAACAAAAACCGGAAAACATTGTATGGAATTCAGGGTTCAATTATAATTTTTTTTTTAAGAAGCATAAAAATTTAACTGGAGCCCCAATGGACGAAATAGAATATCATTACATACATTGAAGTATTTGTTATTTTCCCTTGCGAGCGACCTTATTAATCAAAGAATTCTGCATAGAATGCCTTTGAATATTCTATCATCATAAAACATTAAATTAGGTACATTGTTTTTATATCTTGATGAAAATTTGATTAAATTTTACTCTCTTAAGAGAAATAGGAAATATTTCAGAAGCTAGAAAATAATATTAATGTTGAACTTGATTAGAAACATTTTAAACTTTACAACAAGAAAATCTTGTACATCATGAGATTATCTTCCACGAATCAAAATCTGTAAAAACTTCTTGTATCTCCATTAATTTAATTCACAAGTTCATTGAATTGTCCTTAAAGCATATCCTCCAAAGTTTAAAACAAATCATTTTCTGCTACAAAAAATTGTCTACCTTTAAGAAATTCTACGAAAAAGGGACATTTACAATCTTTAAGAAATTTTCTTTTTTGCGGTTATTTTTCTACAATTTCATTTTCAAAGGAAATAAAGGAATGAATGACTTCATGTAATCTGATTGTCCGCAAGGTCAAAGAATTTTAGAGACACTTGAAAAACGATTTTTGTTAAGTTTGCGGAAACACATTAATTTTATTTGTTTATTTAGGTTACAAGAAAAAGATGTGAAGCAGATTGTGACATTTTAAATTGTTTATGGTGGGCGGAATGTCTTTCAATTTGAAAAAGGATAAAATTTTTATTGAATTATCAACATAGTAAAATATTGCGATTTTTGTTATCAGATATTTTAGAATATTTATGTAAATTACACTTTTAAAATATTTATCAATCATTGAAAACATTTCACCACGTCACAATCGAAAATATTTTGCGAGTCTGGAAATTAAAAGACGAAAAATGAAAACCCAGTGCAAGATTCATTTCATTGTGTAAATATGTATCTTCATAAGAATCTTCACGTTGTATAAGTTCATAAAAAATTCTGTTTATGAATTTCATCAGAAAGTCGCACTTATGTTTTCGAATTTAGCTTCCGGATGAATATCATCCCTAAAGCATAAAATGAGAAAAGTTTTCGTAAAAAATATAAAAATTAAACTGTCACAAACATCATTCATAAATGGCATGAAGGTACACGATTAATTCCAATAATCATCGTCGTTTCTATGGTTTTCTTTTATATTCACGAAATATCAGAGAGAATTCAAAATAATCTCGATAATGAACGCCACAGTGGAAAATGCAAGGCAAGTCAAACAAATTGTAAAACCAAAGCTGAAATGTTCGAAAGTTAGTACGATTGGTGAATAAATTTTCTGTTAAAAGGCTTGATAAGTTCAAAGCTTTTACGAAGCCAAATTCTTTTACTTTCTGTGACAAGTTTTGTAATCAATATTATACGAATAGAAGCAGAATAAAAAAATATATGCAACCACTACAAAATGAAGTTCCAAAGGTGATCGGAAATATATTTCATGTTTTACTTTAACCCACGTGATAGTCTGTGTACAATAAATAAATAAGAACTAACAGCAGTTATTCTTCTAATGGAATTCATAAAGCTTCAAACCCTAAATTGAAAAAAATAAAGTCGTGTAAATAAAAAAGTTGGAATTGATTTTCATTTTTCCTTAAACACTTGTGCACAAGGTGGCATGTTTGATATATGCGAAATTCAAATTTTCCCGCCACATTTTTCTTCGCTTCCCAAGAGGCAAAAACTTCTTTATCGATTTTTTTACAAACAAAAACAAAACAAACGTGTGCGACAAGTTTTTATTTTAAATTCAACACAGTAATATTAATTTGAATCATTTAGACTAAAAAATGAACCATGAGCTAATTTCGCCGCAAGGCTTACGAATTGATGGACGCCGACAGAATGAATTACGACAAATTTCTATTAAACTTGGAGTTCTTGATCGTTGCGATGGAAGTATGAAAAATTGTGAAAGGTTTATCTGGAAAAATACTAATTAATTAATTTAAAGGTTCATTCTATCTCCATGGAAATACAAAGGTAATTGCTTCAATATCGGGACCAAAACATCCTTCAAAAGCATCAAGCAAAAAAGATGAAAACTTTTATTTTAATGTTCGTGTAAAGTTTGCAACTTTTTCGAAGAATGGAGAACGTCAAAAAGTAATGAAAAACAGTAAACTACTTGGTGAATTTGAGCTTAATTTGAAAAACATCTTTAAATCTGTGATTCTTGTGGAAAAATATGAAAAGTCACAACTCGATTTAAATATAGAAATTTTACAAACTGATGGTGGTAGCGAAATTTGTGCAGCAGTTAATGCAGCGACTCTTGCACTCATTGATGCTGGAATCTGTATGAGAGAATATATCTGTGCATGTACTGCGTCATTAACAAGTGATGGAATTCCATTATTGGATGTTTCACATTTAGAAGAAATCAGCGGTAAGTCAATGACCACAAAAACTAATTTGAAATAATCAAACGAATTTCAATCCAAACACTAATAAGGCGGACCAACCTTAACTATCGCTGCTCTACCTCGTATCGGTGATCATGACCAAAGTGTATCGTTTGTTGAGCTTTCACAAAAATTTTACCTCAAAGATCTTAATAAGATTTTCGACTGCGCATTACGAGGGTGTGAGAAGATTCGTGCCATCTTAGACGAAGCTATTCGAAGTAATGCCAATGAGACAGCAATTTCAGAGTTGACAGACAATTAGTTTTCACTTGATAGAAAATAATTGTCATCCAGAATAAAAGAAAAATGAAAAAAACATGTCACAAATGAATTGAAAATAAAATCTCATTCCTTAAATAAATTTGACTTTTTGAATGCATCAACATTTCAAATTCATTCGATGTTTCCATTCTTCGTTCTAAATCGATTTGTGAAATGTTTTTCTTGAAGCTTAGAACTTCGCACTTCCTTTTTTATATTTGCTGAGTCATTTTTCGCCAATTTCTTTTGTCGTATTTCTTCCTCAATTTTATTTTTCTTTCGTTTGTTACACATAAGTTAAGAATTTATTTGGTTGAATTCACTTGAGACGTGTAGAAGAAACGGACGAATGTTGATGAAGGGAAATTGAAGTTGAAGGGAACATAAGAGAGTTAAATTTTCGAATAAAATTCAATCTGTCTCGATTGCAGTAAAAGGAAGAGATTCAAAGGCGACGGAAAAGTGCATGATAGAGAAAGGAAAAACCTCAAATGTTTGAATGTGCACTTAGAGGTTTAATGTTTGTACAGTCTCTTTCTGAATAGTTCGAAGGAATGTTTCCGAAGCTTTAAAATTAGTAAAATTTCTTCTTACTTTAATCTGACAGAAATGAAATTTTAATTTCTCTAATTCCCTTGTCTCAATTTTCTGAAGATAATTCCGATTCTTCCATTGAAATGAAATTCTTTTTCTTTTCTGAAATCCTTGGAAAAATCTTAATGAAGACTTATTGCAAGAAAAATTAATACAGTCAACTCTCTTTAAGAAAAAGTTTTCCCTTAAGTAAAATAATCTTGAAAATGTATGAAAAAAAATTCTCACTAAATCCGACTATTTAAAGTTTTCTTAAAACTTGTAAGTTGAAAGTTACCTGTATGAGTCTTAACAATTCTTAGTTCTTCGATTCATTAATCAGAGACATTTAATGATGAAAAATATCTGAAAATGTCATGAAAAAAATATTCGTCGCACATTCAACGATTATCGAGAGAAATCTGCCTTTGATGACGAAATCATTTCAACCTGCTTTACAAGATGCTGCCTGCATCGTTAACGAGAATCGATCGTTGAGAAAGAACAAAAATTTGTGACTCAATTTCGTTTTTACTCATTTCTTTTTTACTTCTTAAGGAGGGCAAACAGTTTATGTTTTATTGATTCGTGTTTTATGATGATTTGGCTTGAAGCAGAACTTTATGACATGCGATGGAGTCATTTTGTCTCGATTGGAAGAAATGAAGTTAGAAAAACAGAAGAAGAAAGAGAGAAAAAAGCTAATTTAAGCGAAATTGAGAAATCGACAGCTTTTCACAATTTTTTTCATATCAATTCTAAAACAATTTTCACATTTTTCTTTCGTCACTGAAGGCGTCGATATCAAAAGGGAAATAATGAAATGCTGAGATCTCCTGAATCGCATCAGATTAAACATAGCGCAAAAAATGAATTAAAGATTTTTCTACCTTTTTAGTATTTCTGATTTTTCTAAACAGCTTTTAAGATTAGGTCTAGACTGGACAAGAAAATTTATTCAAATGAAAACACTAAAAACTCAAAAATCAGAATCAGGGAAATTGAAAAAGACGAAGGAAAACTTTGTAATGAAAATCAGTTGAACCAATATTTACTTAGCCGTAGTAAATTATTTTGATTTCCTTTTCATCAGCAATTCTGAACGTTCTTCTTACAATCTTATTTTCATCTCAAATAACTTGAAAGAACTTTAAGCGCTCAAATGCTTTACCTCAAAAACTCTAAATATTTATGATACAAAAAGGAATAAACATCAAAGAGAACGTTTGAACTCAAAGGTTCGGTTTCGGTTTATCCAGCAAATTTCAAATTTAGAAATAAGTTGAAAAGAAAATTTTTCTGATAATCGAAGGACGCCTTTAACTTTGAGTTCTTAATTACCAAGCCAACAGTTTAGTAAAATATAAAAAATTAATTATTCAATGGTCGATGTAACAAAAGAACGCATCGAGACAAATCGTTAGAGGCTTTTGAAAAATGGCATAACATCGATAGCTTTGTGCTTGTTTGTGGCAGCATCGTCATTAATCTCAGTAAAGATATGCGATAAATATTTTCATTTCTCACGACAGCGCTTCAAGCAATTAGACAAAGAAGAAGACAAGAAAGAAAAGGGAGGATAAATAAAATTATGCAAACTTTAAGTAAGAAAAAGAAGTTTAAGTTTGCTACTTTCATTTTTCAAGCGTGCAACAAAATGTTTCGACATATATTTAATAACAATGCAAAAGGAAATTGTTTATTTCCAACATTTTCCTTCTCTTGAAACTTTCAGGAAAACTGTTTTATTTATATGATAAAGAAAGCAAATAAATCTGATAACATGGCTTGAAGGAAGCACGAATGAAAATAGTCAAAACATTTTTCACTATATTTATTGTCTCATTTTTCACTCCCAATTCAAAGTTCACAAAAATGTGCAACCTTCGCATTGTTGTTTTCATTTTGTTTTATTTTGCAGCTCAATATTGAAAATGGTGAACGGTAATTGGTTCAATAGATGTCAAGCTCTTTCAAAATAAATGCAAAATGAACTAATAAATATTTACTAAAGTTCACCGAGTTTCCTTCAATTGTTTGTAAATTCTCACCATCACACATTGGGAATGGTTAGGAACAAAAAGTGCAAAAAGTCAATAAAATTTTAAATATACATTTTAGGTATATGGTGTCTTTGGGAAAGTTGTTCCTTAAGACATGCTGCACATTAGTCTCTTATATTTTTTTTCAGTATGATGACGCTAGAAGCCGCTAAAATTTTTTTTTCTCTTGTTTTGCGGTTTAGACTATCGGTCATTTTATATTAGATGCAGATAAAATTATTGTGAACATCTTTGTCATACATCATAACATCATGACATGTCCGCATATGAAGTTATTTTCAATTTAAATTTGGATTTTGAGACATTTTACATCACGTACATTTTCATAAAGAATGCTTAGAAAATGAAAAATGTCAAATCTCCATACATTTTCACAAAACATGCCCTTACGTTTTGTGGAATAACTTTTTTCACAGGGCCCGGAACGCATTTTTGTTTCCAGATTATTGAAGTTGAAACATGAATGGACATTTCTGTTTTTGTAGTTTTTCATCTGACNAAAAAGATATGTTAAGTTTAATGAAAGCTTAGAATAATTTTATTGTATTTTTTATCATGACATGGTCAACTTTGACGGCATGTGGGGCAAATATGGAGATTGCTCAAAACTAAAAATTACTGCCACGCTATTCTACATATAGTGTAGATAATTTCATAAAAAAGAATTTTTAAATTCGGCACAACTTAACTCTGCCGACTAAATGCACGTAAATACCCAATGTGCATCAGCAAGCATTGCAAAATTTAGTGACAGTGAAACATCGAAAAGATGAAACAGAAAATTTATTTTAAAATTCAGGAATTTTATTCAAGTTTTGAAGATTATTCAAATCACTAATAAATTATACATTCGGGCCATTAAACCTTATTATCATCAGTCTTATGAGCTGTTAATGTCTTATCAATAGTTGAAGATTTTGTTTTCATATGTGAGCTGCCAAGTTTACCTATTAGTATACCTACATAAATCATAAGATAATTTCATTTATTTTAAAACAAGTAAATCTTTTTTTAAATAAAACTAATTACCGATTGATTCACATTTAAGTCCAACGATGTAGTTAGCAACATATTTTCCAATCAAACAAAACGGTTCTTCAACAATGAGATAAAAGAAAACAGCAACAACAAATGAAAGACTGAAATCCATTAGGAAGTTTTTAAACTAAAATTAGTGAAAAATTTCGTCATAGATTGTCATGAAAATTGGACATAAAATTTCTCACCATGACAATTTTTCCGAAATCATGTTCACGGATCTTTGATGTGATGATATTGTATTGTAAGACTGGATGAGTCATGTAAATACTGAAACCTAATTTTCCAATTGGTATCCAAAATTTACAAGACAGAAGTTTTTCTACAAAACCTCCTAAATCAACACAACAGAGATAAATTATCGCAGCAGTTGCAATTCCCCATCCAATTCGACAAGTAGATCCAAACATTGAATTCAATAAAATGTTGTCACCCATGATATCAAAGATCACAGATAAAGGCGGCCCTAAAATGATTGGATACATCGCCATCCAACATATCCAACGACAAGCCTACATTTATTGACAAATTTTTGTTTTCACATTAATTTAGCGTGAACACGAAATATTTTTATAACTTTTTACATTTACAATCTTTATCTTCTGATGAATTTGAATATTCTGATGATGAGAGTGACTTAGTCTTCAAAATACGTATAAAAGTAAAAATTGTAAATGTAAAGGGCTATGAAAGTTTTTCGCGTTCGTGCTAAATTAATGCAATGGAGTGTTGATTTTTACGAAATTTTGATAAATTGAAATGAAATCAAATTTTAAAATTGTTTGAAATTTACTTTTCCAATGTTTACCTTTCTTCTGAAACTAGTTTTCTTCAACATAATCACATCTTGATCTACTATGTGAAGAGCAAATCCCAACATAATTCCAATCAAATAAACGGCACCGCGAATATGTGTTGGATAGTAGAAGCTCGTGTATAATTCTCCAAAAATATCAGATGTACTGAACATTAAATTAAATGAATGAATTAATTATTTTCGATCATGTAACTGGCAATTAAATTTCCATTGAATGCATCAATAATGCATTTACAAAATTAAATTTATAAAGACCTGCTTACAATGTATAATCCCTTAAAATATATTTATTATGATAAANTACATAAATCATAAGATAATTTTATTTATTTTATAACAACAAGTAAATCTTTTTTAAATAAAACTAATTACCGATTGATTCACATTTAAGTCCAACGATGTAGTTAGCAACATATTTTCCAATCAAACAAAACGGTTCTTCAACAATGAGATAAAAGAAAACAGCAACAACAAATGAAAGACTGAAATCCATCAGGAAGTTTTTAAACTAAAATTAGTGAAAAATTTCGTCATAGATTGTCATGAAAATTGAACATAAAACTTCTCACCATGACAATTTTTCCGAAATCATGTTCACGGATCTTTGATGTGATGATATTGTATTGTAAGACTGGATGAGTCATGTAAATACTGAAACCTAATTTTCCAATTGGTATCCAAAATTTACAAGACAGAAGTTTTTCTACAAAACCTCCTAAATCAACACAACAGAGATAAATTATCGCAGCAGTTGCAATTCCCCATCCAATTCGACAAGTAGATCCAAACATTGAATTCAATAAAATGTTGTCACCCATGATATCAAAGATCACAGATGAAGAAGCCGGCCCTAAAATGATTGGCAAGGTCGCCATCCAACATATCCAATGGCAAGCCTACATTTATTGAATTCAATGTTTGGTCGCATTAATTTAGCGTGAACCTGAATTTCAGGTCCTGAAATACATTTATAACTTTTTACATTTACAATCTTTATCTTCTGATGAATTTGAATATTCTGATGATGACAGTGTTTTAGTCTTCAAAATAGGTATAAAAGTAAAAATTGTAAATGTAAAAGTCTACGAAAATTTTTCGCCTTTGCGCTGCATAAGTATTTAACTTTTAACGAGATTTTGATAAATTGAAATTAAATCAATTAAAATTGTTCAAAATTTTCTTTTTCAATGTTTACCTTTCTTCTGAAACTAGTTTTCTTCAACATAATCACATCTTGATCTACTATGTGAAGAGCAAATCCCAACATAATTCCAATCAAATAAACGGCACCGCGAATATGTGTTGGATAGTAGAAGCCCGTGTATAATTCTCCGAAAATGTCAGATGTGCTGCGCATTAAATTAAGTGAATTAATTAATTCTTTTCGATCATGTAAGTGGCAATTAAATTTCCATTGAATGCATCAATAATGCATTCACAAAATTAAATTTATAAATATCTACTTACAATGTATAATCCCTTACAATATATTTATTATGATAGACAACTTTGAATGCATAAGCTACTGATAAAGCAATCAATGATGCCACAACAATCAAACATTTCTTTCCGTATTTATGAAGCAAATAAATCACAATTGGTGCTACGATGACAGTCATTTGAAAATCAACTGATAGATACCAAGTTGTAGACATGCACTTTCCAGAGAAGAATAGAATAAATTAATTAAAACCCGTTTACAATCTATTATTGAATTCACTCACAAGTTCATTTGCATTCGTGTAGACTTGTAAGTGCAAGAGAGCTTCCCACCAATGTTTCTGACAGTTGTAAATTGAATAATCTAAATATTTTGGTGGTGCGTTTCCAACGAAGTAATATGCCAAACTGTTGTTTAGAAGAATCATAAATGCTAGCAATGGTGAAGTTCTCATGAAGCGTTGGAAGAACATTTTAAAATAATTGTATCGTTTTCTATATTATTGAAAGAGAATTTGACTTTAAAAAATATTAAAGTTAATTAAAATGACATACAATTCAAAATCTTTTAGAGTAGCTTTGGTTGTGAGCATTGCACTAATGACGAAAAATGTGTCAACATGCATATGCATACCCGAAACAAATTCAGCAAATCTTGTTCTTAGAAACTCTCTCAACAGATTCTCATCGCTGTGGGTTGTCAACAATCGAAAGAAAAATGAATGAAGGTACACGATGTGAATTATCGATATTGCTCGTAATCCTTCGAGACACCCGATCACTTCCTTGCCATCTCGGTTCAAATTAAAAAGTTTTCTTCCATTAGTGGATAAAGAGAAAAAGAGTAAACCTTTGCTTTGATTTATTTTCTTTCGCTTCTCAATAAAAATGTCGTAAACAGTGTAAAGAAGTGAAGTTGACATTAAAAAAGTCATTAAAATTCTGAAATGAAATACTAAGTTGATCACTTTGGCGACATAAAGCAATTATTAAAATTTACATTGAAAATCTGTTTATCCACATCATCAAATCCAATTGCGATTGGGGAACATCTCCACTTGTTTTCACAGTTATATCCGTAAGATTCATAATGAATTTTGTTCTAAAAATAATCTTCTTGACCTTACTAATTAAAACAGAATGAGACAAAAATCTTCATTGACTACCTCAGCGATTCTATGAAATTCTATATTAAACTTATATTTTTAGAATTTTTTTATATTAGAATTCGGAAATGAAAAGAAAATTTTTTATTCCAAATTTTCGTTACAATATCCTACACACACTTTTTATCAACAATGAAAGATGATCTCTTTTCACAAATCAATTAATTTTTTATCTCAAAAAGAGCCAACAGTGACTAACTTAAACCCGACTAAACTCAATGAGTTTAACACTGATACTAAAGATGAGGATGGAAGATGAAGCTTCATCTAGCATGACCTAAACGGCAACCTTTTTCTCGATCACGATCATGAACATTTAAATACATTGATAGTTATTTTACATCTTTACAACAACAAACCAGTTACAAATATTGCGACGAATTAAAGAGTTCCATAGTTTTGATTCAATAAAGTATCTGATTTTGGTAATCAGGTAAAAGCAAATAAACTTCCATACTAAACTTCAGAAGATTCTGTCATAGATGCCGCATAATTTTAAATTACTCCGGCCTATGTGGAATTTCAAGCAAAATGATTTCAAGTCCCCCTCTCTCTCTCTCTTTCTCTCTCATCATCATCATCATCAGTAATATGTAGAACGAACTGTTCTCAGCAAGTTTGGTCAAACTTGCCCGTGATGAGTTTATTTTCTTCTCGACACTTATCTCCAAAATGGAAATAGTGCGAGAAGTAAACTCGTACCACACCCGACTGATATTGCCATGACGATGAAAACTTCAGTATTACCTGCAAGATTTCATGTTTTTAAAGTGTCAGAAGATTATTGTTAATTATTATTCATTCTTTAATTCTTTATGAAATCACGTATAAAAATGCATACGTTTTCAAATTCATCTTTTTTTTAAATTTTGGATTGATTAAATAAATTATTTTAAACTCTCTAAATGAACAAGAATTTGATAAGAGATGAATGTTCGCTTGAACTTCGGAAAGTAGGAGAGAAAGGATTAGCAAATGCACATTTTTTGTACATTGAATTGTTCTTATTTTGTTTTGTTTATTCACTTCGTTATCACCATAATGCTTCGCTTCTTTCTTTTGTTTGAACTGTTTAAGGATGAAATTAAACATTCCATACGTAGGTATTTACTTTTTCCTAAATTTTATTAGAAAGATTAGTTGACTAAATTAAGAAAAAACAAAAAGAAGTTTTTCTATAAATTTTTGGTCACTTTGTTATTCTTTAGTTTTATGTTCTTATTTTAAAACAGGATGTAAATATGACCTTGAGTTAAAGTGTTCGTAACTAAATTTTAGCTGATTTTTAAGATTTACTGATAATCACGAAACATTCTTTTTCAAATCGCTCAAATAAATATAGGTATAGGTATTATATCATAATAAATATATTTTATTTATTTTGAATACCTTTTGATGCAGATGAATTTGTTATCAATCCCTTCGATGTTTATAATGAAATTGATGACTTTGAACTGAAATCTGAAATTTTTATTTTTTTGAAAGCAACTTTCAGTACACTTGTAACGTTTTTTATTCGAATTGAAATATGGAAAACAATTAAATTTGAAATTGAAAATTTTTGCTTGAAATTCCTCTTGGACATAGCTTAAGATAATATTTACAAAAGAGAGAATAACAAATGTGCGTAACATCTTCATTGTTCTATATTTCCACAAATCGTTATCGGTTTTTTTCAGATATTTACATCAGCACTCCGTTTCTTTCTTCCATTGTTCACTAGACTTTCTCTGAAAAGTTTAAAAATATATTTCAAAACAACTTTAATTAACTTTTTTGATTTATTAATTATTATTTTGATGATTGGATTTAATTTATTCAAATTAAAACTTTCATTGACTTGCTCTTTTTTTTATTAGAATTGAAACAGGTAAAACAATTTTTGTCCATCCTTGAAGGAAAAAGCAAAACCACGTGGTATTTTATTTTTTAAAATTGTTAAAATTGACTTTTTGCTTCAACTTCAGGTGGCTTCATATTGAAGCAAACCAGAAATCTATAGAAACTAACTTTATCTAACTTTTACTTTAGTTTTTCACTTGAATTTTGATGCTTTCAACTAATTAAAAAGAAAGAACCTAATATAGAATATTTTAATAAACTAATTTCTTGAAAGAATTCTTGAAACCTACATAGTATTCTCAGAAAAAAGTTGAGACACTGAATAAGTTAAAATCATAACAGGTACCTTATAGTCTTTGAGGCACAGACCTCATTTTCTAAAAATTATTTTCGAAATGAATGTTGTAACGAGAGAAATGTTATAACGAAAGTATGTTTTAGCGAGAGTTCACTGTAATTATTCATTCAGGCCATTAAACCTTATTATCATCAGTCTTATGAGGTGTTAAGGTCTTATCAATAGTTGAAGATTTTGTTTTCATATGTGAGCTGCAAAGTTTACCTATTAGTTTACCTACATAAATCATAAGATAATTTTATTTATTTTATAACAACAAGTAAATCTTTTTTAAATAAAACTAATTACCGATTGATTCACATTTAAGTCCAACGATGTAGTTAGCAACATATTTTCCAATCAAACAAAACGGTTCTTCAACAATGAGATAAAAGAAAACAGCAACAACAAATGAAAGACTGAAATCCATCAGGAAGTTTTTAAACTAAAATTAGTGAAAAATTTCGTCATAGATTGTCATGAAAATTGAACATAAAACTTCTCACCATGACAATTTTTCCGAAATCATGTTCACGGATCTTTGATGTGATGATATTGTATTGTAAGACTGGATGAGTCATGTAAATACTGAAACCTAATTTTCCAATTGGTATCCAAAATTTACAAGAAAGAAATTTTTCTACAAAGCCTCCTA